GTGTATGTGTGTATGTGTGTATGTGTGTATGTATGTATGTGTGTATGTGTGTATAATGTGTATAATGTGTATAATGTGTATAATGTGTATAATGTGTATAATGTGTATAATGTGTGCATGTGTGTATGTGTGTATGTGTGTATGTGTGTGTGTGTGTATGTGTGTATGTGTTTATGTGTGTATGTGTGTATGTGTGTATGTGTTGTATGTATGTATGTATGTGTGTGTGTGTATGTGTATGTGTGTATGTGTGTATGTGTGTATGTATGTATGTGTGTATGTGTGTATAATGTGTATAATGTGTATAATGTGTATAATGTGTATAATGTGTATAATGTGTATAATGTGTGCATGTGTGTATGTGTGTATGTGTGTATGTGTGTGTGTGTGTATGTGTGTATGTGTTTATGTGTGTATGTGTGTATGTGTGTATGTGTTGTATGTATGTATGTATGTGTGTGTGTGTATGTGTATGTGTGTATGTGTGTATGTGTGTATGTATGTATGTGTGTATGTGTGTATAATGTGTATAATGTGTATAATGTGTATAATGTGTATAATGTGTGTATGTGTGTATGTGTGTATGTGTGTATGTGTGTATGTGTGTATGTGTGTATGTGTTTATGTGTGTGTGTATGTATGTATGTAACGCAATTTAACATTATGTACTGTAATGTAAGGAATGTATATATGTAATGTATTTATGCTTTCATGTGTAAACGATCCACGTCTGCAGGCCGACATAAATCACGTGGGATGAATTTGGCTGCGCGTTGACACGGATAGTCATCAAGCCCCAAGTAGGAATTTAGATACCTGCTGAGCCGCTTAATGTTGGGTACATTGACGATTTCGCCAAAGTTTTATCCATGGCACCGGCGTACACACGGGTGTGGAAGGTCTGATTAATCGCTTGGATTTTCAACCTGCAGTGTCCCTGAGGCTATGCAGCACGGTGGATTCTCTTCTTCTACTGTATCACGCGAGCATTCAGGACGTTCGACGTCGAACATCCAGCTCTGTCTGGCTTTCTGCTTTGCATTGGTAGTGCTCAAGAGGGTTCTCACACTCCGTGCAGACTGAAGCACCTTGAAGTCCGATTTTGGCCAGGAAGTGCTCTCGGCACTGCCAATGCTGCTGCTTTTGCGCAGCCTGCCGGGATGACTGGCGGTGTTTGCAAAATCTTCCTTGCACACCAGGCCAAGTCATGCGTTGCTGTGGATCTCAAGCAGGCATCCTATTTTCTTTGCAGGTGCAACCAAACATCTGCAACCATCACAACTTGCGAAATTTGAACCCTGCGTGTCCAGCCAAAAAGATGGATTGCAACTCCGCAGGCCGAGCTCGGCTTCGGTACCTGATGTACTATTTGCTTACGCGCCCGCCCTTCCTGGTCATCATGAATCTACCTCTAGGCGAGAGTGCTTCATGGGTTTTGGATAGATGAACAAGAGAAGGTCTTGCAACGAGGCAGATTCTCAGATGCAAAGGTGTCCGTGTCAGCTTGGTTCAGCTTGGTTGCGAATAGATGGATTCCACTGGTTTCCGCTTGATTCAATTTCTTTTGCCAGTGGAATCCATTCCAATGGGCTCCATTGATTTTCCCGCCAAGTTTGGTTCAGATTTACTTCCCAGTAGCCATCCATTTCTTCAAAGGACACCTGACAGGCTATCCGCTGGGATTTCTGGCGACCTGGGCCTTGACGCTGCGCTGCAGCTTGGTGCTGATCACTGCTTGGTCCCTGCGCCCGGCGCCCATCGCAGGGTGCCCAGTGGGGCCCGCTGGATGTTTTGCGGCCGAGGGGTCTAGTGGAAGTCGGGGGGTTTGGGGTGCTTGTGGCGTTTTTGGCAGCGTTTCTGGAACGCAAGGTGGTTTTTCGTTCTTTTCAAATGGAAGTAGGTGAACACCACGGATGTATCTGGAGATACTCTCCCAGGCAAAGCTCAAGCGCCGCTTTCAGCCCTGAAGCGACCAAGCGTCGCCCAGTTGCTTCGAGCATTTTGCTGAGAGCGTTGAACTGTGCCATGCATAACCACCCGCACTCCTGCCAGACAACAGAGTGGTTGAACAAACAATCTGGAGATATCCTCCAGCCGTTGCCATCGAACCTGACTGGACCATTGGAGCCCCAGCTAAGAAGGACCCTGTGGTGGGTTGTCCCATGGAAGGTAGAGGAGCACGACCTGGAGAAATCCACGCGGGAACTCTTCAATGTGCACTTGGCACTTCGCCTTTGTGACTTCTCCTGGGTCAGGCTCTCAGGCGTGCGGTGTTTCTGGAAGTCGGGTGTGTCTCTTTTCTTGATGGTACCGCTTTTTTGGTTGGTTTAAAAGGAGGGAATCGGCCCTTTTTTTGTTGGGGGGGGCCCTAAAGAAAGACACCCAAATGGTTTGTTTCCTCTTGGTTGTCCTTTAACTTTCAACCAAAATAGGGCCCAGTTTGAGAACCCCCCAGAGGAAGCCTTGCTGAGTCGTGTGAACCGAGGAATCCTACGTGGGTATGCCCAAGCCGGCAGCGGTCGTCATTTCCGGCTGTGGGCACAAAGAGCTGAATGGCACATACTTTCAGGAGACATGATGCATGGCTTTGATTTGCGTGCGGAGACTTCGATGAACACGAGGGCGCCACATAAAATTGCGCCAGACTCCATTTGGCCCCAAGAAGCTGGTATGCTTCCAGAAGAAACGGCATTTCAGGATGGCCGGGACCTGAATGACTTTCCCATCTACAAGCGAAAGCTCCTAAGACCGAACGTCCAGGTGGGTGAGCCGTGGCGACATGTGCCATCCGGGCCCCAAGCTGCAGGCTGTGCTGCGCAACACAGATGGCACCTGGGAGGCGATCGAGTTTACATGTTTGAGCGTCCGGAAGAGAAGCATAGTTTGGTCGCTACACGGGTCATAAGACGAAACAGTTGCTTGCGTCAGAAAGACAAAGCTCGAGTCAGGAGCAGTATGTCCTGGCGTTTTGCGGCGGGCGCAGGTGGTGAGCGCACCTTCAGAGAGCGCTGCCCCGCGACGGCGCCGCGCTTGAGGAGCAGTCCAATTTAGTCGGAGAAAGATGGGAAAAACCAAAACCCTTCAGAGTGGCTTCCAAAACGGGGCTCCCCCCAAAGAGTTCAATGGTAATGTTGTAGGGGAGTCTTGATGCCAAGGAACTTTCTGAGATTTGGACACCAAGATTATGTGGGGTGGCACTTTAGTCCTGATTCACTGCTACTGTTGGATATCTGAAGCAGTGCGGAGAGCAGTGGCCATTCTTTCCGTGGATTGTCGTACAACCTGGCGCAAGTCAGCGCAGAATCAGCCGATGTGCCACTTTTCCCGAGGCGGGTGTATGCCCAAGACGAAGGCGCCACCACGCCAGACCAGGCCGCCAGGTTTCGAAAGGGGTCAGTGGGTTTGCTTTGTCTCTCAGGTGGAAGGTCTGTGGTTCGAAGTCCAGGATCAGGAGGGATGGCACCTGCGGCGATTTGTGGAACAGGGGATCCCCCCTGTGGCTTGCGAGGGCCAACTTGTCTGGCGCTTCTCATTCTTGCGCGGGGAGCCTTGCAGGAGGAGGAGGAGCATAGGGCGAGCTCAAGCATGTGCCTTGACAGCATTCCATTGTCGGATAAACACCCGGTACTTTGTGCCCTGCTGCCCTCGTGGGCTCCTATGATCAAAGCCTGAACTGTTACCAGTGGGGGAAATAGCATGGTCGTGGATCTCCTCGTTAGAAGGACAAAGAGCAGGCTTCCCGCGCTGTGCCAGGAAGATACATGTAGCACCTGGTGAACCAAAGCGGCGCCACTCGGTGTCGGGCGGCTGTCAGCTGTTGGATGTGCAGTGGCTGTTGGCAGAGCAGATGGGAAGCCTTACAAGCGAGGACTGCATCGATGGTGCGACATATCCGATGCCGAAACAGCGTATCATTTTGGTCATTGGGCAAACCAAATACAATTTGGATTGGATACTGCTCACAGCCTGGGCTCAAGAACCTACCAGAGGTAGGGCGGTGTCAGCGGACCTTGAGCAATGTCGCTGATCTTCTTACATGTGGTGATAAGATGGTCATTATGAATCAGATGGCAGAAAGGTTCAGGGCGCCCATCGAATTGCAAACAATGCAATCTGGCGGCACCTTGGATGTCAAATCTTTGCGGGCGCAAGTTCCGCAACGATTCCACTACGCCTGCTTGTCGATGTGCTTGCTTCTTGTAATACCTGTCTTGTGGAGCCTATCGCGTTCGTGAACATGCTGGCGCTGATTCGTCGCGAAGCCGGCCGTCCTCGCAAGCCGGACCGCTTTGGGCTTAGATGGCAGAATGGTCGTTTGAGCTGCAAGCGCCCACTGCCCAGGTGTCAGGGACCTGGTGGTCTTTGCATTCAAGCATGATGAACCTACCGGCCGAGGCTCCTCGATGCCAGGGCCAGTCAGGGAGAGACACCCATCTACTACTGTTGATGATCTCCAACGCCTTGAGCGTACGCAGACTGATGAGACGTCTCATGGTCAATCTACTGTTGGTGCCGCTGCGCAACCTACGAAGCTCAAGGTGTGTATCGCTGAGCCCAGCGCTAGAAAGCACATGGTGTATGCGCGTTCTGACATATTTTGATGGTCCCAGTATGTTTGTCGACGAGTCTGCTGTGTTGCGGAACAGATCTTGCAAACAACCCAAGACTCTGAGCCAGCTACAGGCTCAAGGAGATTGTTCAGGCAGGTGCGCCCTTCGCGCCACAAAGTGGTCTGGCAGGCGTGAACACATCCTGCACTGCCACAGGCTGGTTTTTGTGCAATTGAGCAGCCCCAGGGCGGGTTATATACTGGCGTCTCTGCGGAAGCCATGGCCGCCCTGGGGGCTATGTCCCTGTTTTTGGAACTCTTTCGTCGTCGTTAGCGATGTCCCACACATTGCGTCGAACTGCACGCTGCGGCCTGCGTTCGTACACAGCGGCGCAAGGCTTTGTGTTTTCAGGGTTGGGGTGCTGAGAAGGATATTGCAATAAATTGTAAACGCTTCGCGTTGCCCGCCTCGGCCAGTCCGCTTTTGGCTGGCTTCGAGGTGTATGCCGTGCTTTAGTTTGCCTTGAAGCGTTGTTATTAAACGAGTGAGTCGGCGCCGAAATGCGTGAGCTGGTTTCCAAGCTAGCGGGTGGGTGCGTGTCCGCGCGGCTCCACCTGGCTTCAAGGGCCAGAACAAGAGCCATTTTGCCGGTTTCTAGGGGGATTTGACGGGAGTTGGACCTGTTTTCAGAGGGTGTTTCTGAAGGGGGATTTGACCGGTTTTAAGAGGAAGCTGGTTTCTTGGGGGATTGGACCAGCTTTGAGAGGAGGAAGTCGGCCGGTTTCTATCGGGATGTGACCGGAGTTGAACCGGTCTTTACGGAGATGTGATTGGCTTCTAGATGGGAAGTTGACCGGTTTCGGAAAACGGACATATTTTTGGAGGGATTTGTCGGGTTGGACCAGGGAATCCAGATCCTTGGCGAAGTCGAAGGGATCTGACCTCCCTCAGGGCCAGCTGAGCTGCTCCAAGGCTCGCGGAGCAGGGAGTTTGGCCGCGCGACAAGGGGTGTTGGACGGACTTTGGGGGGAAGGGGTTGGGGATGGGGTTGTAGAAGATTCCGAAGAGGTTCTGAAGGGGTCTGACCGCTTCCCGGCCCTGGGGGCTGAGGCGAATATTGGTTGCGGAAAGTGTGCCGATTGTTGGCAAAATGCTTCTGACGTGAATGCTGAGCAAATACTTCTGATGTGACAACGCTCTGCCACGCTCATTTCGTCACGTCCGAAAGCTTTGGTGTATGACGACTGTCGTAAGGCAACTTGTGCTGCTCTCAAATAGATTCGCATTGGTTCGCGCCAGATCGATCGACTTGTTCCCGCCCTGCCCCGCCCCAGGAGGAGTGTGATTATGTTGATGCTGGTACTATTAACCACAACGGTGACGCTCTGGTTGGATGGCCATGACGATGATGATGAGGACGACGACGACGACGACGACGACGACGACGACGACGACGACGACGACGACGACGACGATGATGATGATGATGATGATGATGATGATGATGATGATGATGATGATCATGACCGTGATGGCGATAGTGATTGAGATGTCACTGCTTGCTGTCGTTGGTTGCAATGATGGATGCCAGTCTTGTTTTCCGCACACGTATCCACAGACGAGAACCCATCCTGTTGGACTGAATCAGCATGGCCATGCACACTGGTTCTTGGAATGCCTTCCCTCTGGAAAGCAATTATGCATGTGTGTTCGCAACATTCGGTGTGACAGCGGCTTGCTGTCATTCGGGTTTTCTCGCCGCGCAGTCGTTGTTTCAGAGCAAAGCGATATCCGATTTCAATGCCACACTGGACGATTATTGCGATGAACGAGTCACTCTGCTCGTCAGGATACGGGATGTGAACCACCGAGCTCCGAAAGCTCTGTGCTCAGAGAACCACGCTGCTCTCGAGCCATGAGCTCTCGAGCGGTGAGGCGGCTCTTCGAGCAGCTCGAAGGTCAAGGAAGTCTCCATTGTCCTGGCCTTTCGAGGGACTGCCAGCGTGAGAGGCCCAGATGTAAAACTGTTTAGCTGCGGTTGGAGTCAAAAGTAGACCCCCCAAACTTGAAGTTTGCCTCAAACACCCAGTCTCCTTCATCTTTCTTCTTTTTCAGCCACTCCCATTTGCTCGAAACAGTGAATCATGTGTCAACTGCTTCTTGACCGGTGCTGCTTTTGTTCGTGTTGCCTCTCCCGACATGCGAGAGCTAGGTGCAGAACATGCTCACCGACGTCCGAATTTCGTTGCAGCCGCTGGCGGAAGAGTCGAAGACAGGGCCTTTCGGCGTTTCCGAGGGGCCGCCAGCATGCTTTGACCTCGAAAAGAAGGCGCGGTGTTGTGTGGGTGTGTCAACACAAATGGTGGCTTTCCATTTTTTTCATCAGTACTGTACCATCAAACAACCAGCACAGGGGACATTGAGTGTGCGTCTTTTCGTACAAATGCAGTCTGAATTTTGCAACATGAGCACAACGAAGGGCACACAAACACTTGTTAATTTACAGGGCAAGCGGAAGCCTGAGGAGCACAAGAACCTGGACAAAGCTTGGAGACAATTAAACGATATTCAGCCAAGTCCGTGATTTCCTGACACACAATTCAACTCTCAAAATGACCATGACACATATATCCAAGGAAGCTCACATAAACCAACAGTGATCAAAAGTGCAAAATAGGGTTTGAATGCAGCATGTACATACACCTGTGCAGTTGTCATTCACCCATTTCTTCAATGGATGAAATCCTCAACGGGCATGCCCGTTGCTTGCAGTGAATTCGAGCACCTCTTTCTCTGAATCTAGTTTTGAACTATATGTTACACGATATCTATATTTCAGCACACAGACCATACCTAGGTGAATGGAATGCGATACGATAAGCGAGTATGCCCAATATTTGCTCTGATCTGTTTATCCTTGTTGGACAAGTTTGGGAAACACATGAATTTTACCTTCGTTTATTTCATGCAGCAGAAACATACTTGTCATGGTATGGATATAATCAAGCAATCACTTAAGCATGTGAACAAACAGTTGAACTAGTTAAGTCTGACTAACCGAACTAGTTGAATGTTTGCTACCAAAGTCAATGCGCTCACACAGCTGCAATACCACATGACACGAGCCCAAGCGTGCACAAATATTGAATCTTCTCTACTTTAAATGTAGAGAAGCACATGCTCATAGTCCCCCGTCCCCAAAACCACACCCGTGTCAGAAGTCTGCATCCGTTGCACGCAGCAGGTCGTGCAGAGGCTCTCCACGGTAACACGCAACCCTTTTTCGCCATCAGCTCGCTCGGCTGCAGTATCTTGGCCGGTTGGCGATTCTTGTTGTGAGTCTCAGCGACGAGGTCCTGTTAGCGAGCCGCTTGAGTCGATACTTCTGAGATGACTTTCCATGTCCTGTTCGGGCCCCTCACACGTCTTGATTGCATTGAGAGCAAGGAGCCGTTGCATCTTGAGACTGGCTCAGCAGCAAGTTCAGGAGTGCCACTTGCATCCGCAGTGTTCAGCTCCCGGCTTTTGCAGGAGCTGGCGAGTCAGGATTTCTTTGGCAGCTGCTTTCCCGGTGCCTTTCAGTTTGCATCTTCTTTTCTAGTTTTATTTCGCCGGACTCAGCCAAGGTGCTGCTCGAAGCTGTGCTTCCCCTTCCTCCCCTCGGACTTTGACGACGACGAGGATTTGGGTCTTGAGGCATGGGAATCGGCATGTCGCCGTAAACATCCCACAATAGTTGGGACGTCCAGGCACTGGACAATGTTCGAGTTCACCAGGGCTTCGCCCAGGCGGGGAGCTTCTGGCTAACTCAGCCCCAACTTATGCGCGAGAATGATACGCGGCTCTCAATCCAGAGCATTGGAATCATAGGTGCCCTTTTTAGGTTAGTTTAGAGGAGTTTTATTCCATTTACCAGGGCCATCTATTGGTCCAAAAGGCCACCTATGATTGAAATGCTCCTCCTCCCATGCCCTTTGCGGGAAGTGTGGATTCGAGCGGCTCGGAGGCGTACGCTGCCATCCGAACAGATGTGCTGGCCATCCTGAAGGCCGGGATGGCCCCAAAGCCATAGCTCCAAATTGGGTTTGTCCTTCTTTGAGGTTTTCCTGTGTAGGGGTTGGTTGAGGGGGAAACCAACAGAATACCAATCTATTTTGGGGTCACCCAAGTCTAGTTTCACCCAAAGAGGGAACCCCTCCAAATTGGTTTTCCCTCCAAATAGGGGACACTTGATTCAAAGGGCCCCCGATTCTCGCCAGCGCAAACCCAGGCGCGGCTGCAGCACTGGCGCGACAAGGGCGTCACCGCGAAGGTCTATGCGTCACAGCTGCAAGAGCACCTCTCGTTGTTGAAGGATCTGAAGCGGGCGCCAATTTTCAGTTTTTCAGTTTTGGAACGACAAAATCCGAAGAGCTACTGGTTTCTATGACAATCAGTAGATTCAGCTATGGCTTTTGGAACTTCATTTCAGCGTTGATGTCCAGCTGACAATATTGGTCCACTATAGGGCGTGGGAAGGAACTTGGGAAACCAGACTTGGCAACCCAAACTTGGGAACCTGATTGGGCAGATGGCCTAAACCGACCAAAACAAGAAACTCATTAAGGTACTTGTTGGAATGTGGTAGCAACCTTTCCTTTCAGCGGAGTTTGTTTGGTTTCAACCACCACGAAATGCCTTGCTCTCAGCATCATTTGCGTGAGGCCACGGGCCACTCTCTTGGCGGATCCATTGCACACCTCTTCGCGCGGGGATGCCGAGAGGATTAGACCACAATGGAATCTGGGGAGGACGCGCCTTGGGCTAGGATAGTACCAGAAAGAAAAGAGATTGTTTGAAAATGAGAAGCATGGCTTTTGGGAATGGCAGGTGGTTCTTGTGTCGCTCTTACAAGCTGGTCCCGAGGCTGGACATCACCGCTGCACCCGAGGAATCTACAAGGCGCGAGTGGTTGCAACGCCTTTACTTCGCGGCTCTTGGCAGGTTCCGTTTTTGGCTTTCTTCTTTTTGGCTCTGAACAAATATTAGTTTATGTGTTTTTGCTTTCTTTCTAGTGGGCTGCAAAGAGCCAAGTTCGTGTCAACAGACCAAGTGAGGCTCAAGCTTGAAGAGATTCTGTGCCAATAGACTATAGAGAGTGAGCGGACTTTCCGAATTTGCAGCCATGGATATGGTCAGCGAGCTACCAATATCCGATAGGCAGAAACAGTATATAGCAGAAGTGCTCAACCCCATTGTTGAGGATATGATCACAGATTGCGTCGAGAAAATGCCACAGGACTGCGCTAGCTTCATGCAAGACTGGCTGATAACGCAGAGTGGGATACCAATGTCCGATAGGCAGCAACAGTATATAGCAGAAGTGCTGAACCCCATACTTGAGGATATGGTCGCAGATTGTGTGGAGAGAATGCCGAAAGACTGCACTAGCTTCATGCAAGACTGGCTGAGAAGCCGGGCGGAGGACTCAAGTGGCCTGAAGCAGCTGACTGAGCTCAGGAAGGACATCGCGTCCTTCAAGGAAGAGCTAGCAGCCATGAAGGCCGTGCGAAGCGACACGGATCTGGCAAATCGAGTGGACGCCCTGGAAAAGCTTATGTCGAAGGACCTCGAGCTGCGGGCGAAAGAGACAAATGGCCAAGAGAAACGGCGCGAGTCGAGCGCCGAAGCCCAGCGCTCGGCCCAGCCGAACACGGGGATGCCGACGGCCCAGACGGCCCAGACGGGCCAGACACCCCAGACGGCCCAGACGGTCCAGATGCAGACGGACCAGCTTCCCAAGACATACGAAGAAGCCTTAGAGCAGCTTGGAGGCCAAGAGGAGCTGGCCAAAACCCTGCAGCTCAGTAAAGATTTGCAACAGAAGCACGGTTTGGCTCCTGAAATTACACACATGCTTCCCCTGCACTACTCGGAGCGAATCTCCTTCTCGGTCAAGCTGAACTATCAGCCCTACCAGACCAGCCTTGGAGACTTGATGCACTTCTGCAAGGTCAGGAAGCCTTTGTTCGATCAGATCGTGCAAGACATTGCCGAAGACTCCGGCGGGAAGCCCATCGTGCCTCCAGTGAAAGGCGAAAAGCGCTGCGGGGTGAAAGCAAACTTCAAGTACAAGGACTCTCAAGGCGGCATCGCTTGGCATCGGCTCACTGATGTGGTGCGAGCCACCATCATCTACGAGAGGCTGGAGGACATGTACAATGGGCTCAAGATGATTGACAGGTTGCACGACGAAGAGAAGCTGAAAATCATTGAGCTCAACGACAGGTATATGACGCCCTTGAAAGGTGGGTACAGAGACATCCAACTTTGCTTGAGTGTGAATGAGCTGGTCTGTGAATTGCAATTGAATTCCGTTGGCATGGCACATGTGAAGGAACATGCCGGCCACCGAGCTTTCGAAGTTGCCCGCGAGCTTGCCGCAGCGATTGAGGAAGGCAGCCTGGAGCGCTGCCGGTCCATCTTGGACTGGGGCAAGGTGAATCTCGGGAAGGATTGGCAGCAGCAGCTGGTCGCCATTTTGAATGATCCAAGTAAGCCTTTGCTGCATCAGGCAGCTCGAGTTGGAAACTCTGACCTCATGGAGGTTTTCCTGGAGTACAAGGCAGATGTGAGTTTTCAGCAAGTGTCCGATAAGATGACCGCCCTGCACGAAGCGATGACTGGTGGCCATGAGCGAGCTGCGTGGCTTCTTCTCTCCAGAAAAGCAGACCCCGAGTTGCCGGATGCCACCAATCGGGCACCGTTGATGCTTGGGCTCTTGGCTCTGCGCATGCAGCCTGACTCCGAACCGCTGGCTCGCTGCGTGACCATGCTGGTCCAGAAGACCTGCGACGGCGGTTTGCACCACCTGCATGAGGTGAAAGAGAGGCTTCAAGCGTTTGTGAAAGAGAAGATGCAGCAGAGCAGTCAGCTTTTGACGTTTGCCGGCGATGGCAATCTAGTTGAAGTTCAAAGACTCCTGCGAGAGGAATTTGCTGACCCGAACTCACGCGATGCACAAGAAAAGTGCCCAATGCACGTAGTCCTGGAGTCACAGCATGCGCAGCCGGAGAACCGGATCAAAATCATGCAGTGGCTCGTTCAGTTTGAAGCTGATCTGGAGGCAAGGGACAAATCCAAGAGGTCTGTCCTGGCGTTTGCAGTGGCGTCACGCGATGGGCTTGCGTTTCAGGTTTTGATTCGGGCCGGAATTCGCCTTGGAAACACCGCTTTGCGTGATCAGCTTTCAGCAGAAGACTACAAAGAGCCGAACTTCAACAATCTCGTGGGACGGATTCTCACAACAGATCCATACAGCATGCAGAAGTTTCGAGATGCAGGCTGCAGCTTGCAGGACATGTCGCCAAGCCATGTAGCAGCAGCAGCAGCGCAGTTGAAGGGTCTCTCTGGTGGATGGCAGGGGTGATGTTTATTCGCCGCGTTGAGATACAGGTTCAATCGCCTGCAGGACGTTTGTTTCCATTGACATCTCAGTCCAAGTTGATCGCTTTGGCAGTGAGGCATGCAGATCTGCCTGAGACGTCAAGTTGGATGCACCTCCAAAAAGTCGTCCGGACACTACCAAGTCAACAGATCAGAAGCTCGCAAGCAGTGACATGGCTGATTCGCCACAAGTTCATGAAGGTGGTGCCTGTTGCCACAAAGTTCAAGCTTCAGGGCGAGGAACGTTTGGATGCCACATCGCACAGATCAAGTCTCTGGGTCAGCAGGATGAGACATATCGAGCCTGTGAGTTAGCTCGGCACACATCTGAGTAGATTGACCCTGCGAAATCGCATGCGTCAACAACCCCATTTTTTTTGGCCAGGATTGAGAGACAATCTGCGGGCCAACGCTTGTCCGTGCCGGGCAGGTGACTAAGAAATGCTCACAGGCAAGAACTGACCAAAGATATATATGAAACAGGCAAGGAGAAGCCAAAACAGAAAATACGGATAAAAACCGAGGAAATATGGAACTGCTTGCAGGTCGCTTCCACTTGCCCATCCAGTGGTAGTGTACACTTACGGAGCCCCTCGGCCAGGCAGGTGTCCTCGGGCTGGACTTCATGTGTGTGTCACGCGGTTCCCTTGTCGTCTAAAATCCCCTACAACAGGTCCATGACCATCCCTGGCCCATGTTAACAGCCCGCCTTCTGGTTCTTGAAAGCGTGTTTTTACCGATGGCAGCTTAGGCCATTTGAGCCCACTTTTTGCAGGTAATGCGGCGTTTCGCAGCATTTACAATGCGCTGGTGCCACAGGCCGCACAAAGTCAGAGAGTGGATTGGTAGCTTGCGCTGTGCACCTTCCGCCAGACTTTCCGAATTGTGGCTTCCAGAGACGTGGTGCCGACTCTGCCACCCAGCTTTTCGTACAGGCTTCGGTGAGGGAAGGGTATGAAGGCTGCACAGCAAAAGACATATGTGCAAGGCAAATTGGCAGAGAGGTTTGGGTGGACGATGCTGGTGCTGCTTGGATGCAGATAGTGCCGCTTTGCAAGTCCAAGTTTGTGCCCGCAGTACTGGAAGGAGTTGACCTACGTCATGTCATGGGCAATGCGGCACATCCTGCCTGCGCGTGACAATGCCGCTTTGCAGCAGCTTGCCAAGTTCGATCTTGGGACGGATGCAAACGTAGACACATCATGAGGTTTGGTACCACCCATTGCTGGCCTACTACCGGCTGCTGAATCGAGCCCTCACGCGCAAGACCGGCATGCCGAATTCCCAGAGGTAGGCCCGGTGAGGCTCTTCTGCTTGGGTCATATCGCCTGAGGCCATATCAATCTCCTTTCAGAGGCGAAGCAATTGTGCATGAGGCGCGCCACACTGCCTGGATCAAAATTCGCAGTGGGGCTCATGAGTAACTATTTGAGGGGACCACTAAGAACCCCTCCCGCAAATGTTGAAGAAGTGGTGACAGATTTGGCGTGCATCTATCAGTTGGGCTGATGCTTGTTCACATCCGCGGCAAGGCTTTGGATGGGAGGCCTCTCAGCGTCTAGCGGCTAATGCCGGTGCCACCGGCGCTGCGTGCCGCACATGTGCATCGGCAATGCCGACTGAATCCAAACCACCAACTCAGAAGAACCGTAAATGTTCCTCGCTGCAGATCTCAGGGAATGCCCGGTAGAATTGGACTTGCATCAATCCTTGAGGGATCATGGTGGTTGCTTGGAGCATTCTCTCTCTCTCTCTCTCTCTCTCTGGAATAGATATCCCTCGGGAACGACTGGTAAATCCCCCCCGTTTTGCTTTGGGCCTGCAGCGGTCTTCTCCTGCGATGCTTCCGCAATGGAAGCCGCTACAGAGGTAGCACATCGCCAAAGAATGCAGAAGATAAAAATATGCGTTTGTTCGTCCGTGCCATGCCAATTTCAAAGTATCAGTCTGTGGGACGGGCACTTCTGATGGAGATTGCATAGCTTGCCTGACAGTCGTTGTTCGTCAAATCAATTTATTGGCACTCAAAGATTCTTGAAAGGGACATAGGGGCATAGCGGCACAGCCAAGTTCACACACTCTCACAGGCGGCTGTGGCCCAGAGAACCGAACCTGTCCATTTTGGGCGCTTGCATTGCATCACACGGGCTGAGGATGCACCTTCCGCGTGCAATCCAGCAGCATTTCAGCACCAGGTGGGATGGTGCTTTCGTGGCAAAAGGATGCCCATGGGTGGTTTCCCTTTTTGTTTCCCTTTAACACCACCGCAAGATAGTACCAACTCAAAAACGACAGAGACCAATTCGCGTATCCGCTCAGTCAGGCCGGCAGACGAGGCTCGAAGAGCAACGAGAACTGCAAGGTACAATTGCCCCAGACTCAGTGCCATTTTGATCTATGGGGGATGCAAAGGGAAGCCAGCCAGTTTTGGAAGCCACGTTTCTCCAAGTGGTGAAGCCTCCTTTTGGTTGTTTTTTAAAGGGAAACCAAAAGGGGAACAACCATTGCCAAACGTAAGTCCCTACCAAAAGGCGGGGAATCCCTGACTTCCTGGGTTGTGGGTAGACTATTTGATTCCAGGCTCAGGCTTTGCGATTGGCTCGTTTCTTGAAACGTCTGGAACATTTGCTCGGGGGGGACCCAACCAAAGCGCCAGGCCCTTTAGGATGCTTCGACTGCATCGCGGGGTGCCTCGCCTAAAATTCTGGACATAGCGCCGCTTCTACGTTTGGGTACACACGGGTCTGAATTGCAATGAAGGACTCGTCAGTGTACATCATTTTACAAGGGGGTTTGTGTCTATCACTCCTTTTGAGGCTGTTCCGCATTACACTTTGTAGGCACACAAGCGGCCGAGACCGATTTTGGCCACAGCACGCGTGCCTAATTACAGCAAGAAGATAGTGGGTTCGAGAAACGGGCAGGCGAACGGGAACATGATTGGCGGACGCAGTGACACGATGAGGGCTTCAACATCTAGATGGGGCAATAGCAACAATGACACGGGTACAACAATGCATGAACGAGATGGCGACCTACAAATTGTTTTCCTAGACTAAGCAACACAATGCGGCGCTTTTCCAACCAATTTGATACCCCCCCAGCCATCGACAAAGAATCTGAGGGCAGGTCTATGCTCTTTGCAAAAAGGGGCCACTAGCGGCTATATGAAGGCAATGCATTTCTGCTGTGTGGAGTTCCAGGCACAAGCTGCATGTGTGGTGCCCAATGGCACTGCTCATTTGCTTCTCCATTTGTTGTGCCGTTCTCAGTGGCTGGGCTAGAAATCTGTTCGAAACGGCCAGTGCGCACCTGAGGCATTGCGATGTTTGAAGCCATGCGGCTGTCGACGCATGTTCTCAGTAGCCCATGCACCATTACCAGATCGGAGGCACGACGGAAGGTAACGCGTAGCATGACTAGCGAGCACTCGAACGACGCTCAGATGACTGACGTGGGCACCTGCACTCTTTGTGACAGCCAGACGCCTTCTACCTGTCAGGCGCGATTTTGTGAATGGCTCACTGCCTGACTCAGTAAGTGCCCACCTCCCCCCAACAAAGGCACGAACCTAAGAGAGTCACTTTCTGGCCTCAATGAAACCTTAAAGAGTGCCGAGGGGCCTCGGCTTGCCAGTTGTACAAGCCCTGTTTTCCTTCCTACCTATGTTTTGCCCTTCATGACATGTTTGAGCTTATGGGCAACCAAGAACTCGGGTCTTTTCTTCGGGCCCGAAGGTGCATCCCATCACCACGGCGCGGCTCTCTGTGAACTTCAAGCATCGCCACCTGGACGAGAACATCACCGGCACCGTGTGGTGCGCTCCGTCGCTGTTGGTGTGGGTGCTGTTGTCGCCTTGGTCTTTCAGAAAAACCAAAGGGACAAACTACAGTACAGGCCGGGTAAGTGAATTTGGTGCAACACGGGTGCTCCCAAAACGAGGTAGGGCCAGGGCATAGTGGTTGAGATCACACACACACACATGCGATGATGGAAAACGAGATCAACAAGCCCAAGCGGGTGGGTTGGAGAACGAGGTGGAAACACCCGACCATTCAGCCAAGCAAACTGCCGTAGCTCACAAGCCCATTGAGTTGACTGTTTGCAACCCAGACGCCGCGACATTGGCTCAAAGCTTCGATCCTGCCATGGTAGGTTTTTGAGGGCCAGTCGGCAGATTTGCCACAGGCCGGTCGGCGGAACCATGCGACCTTTCCATGTGAAAGTGCAGAAATTCGCAGGTTAGACTCAGCCGAAGTTACACTGTGATTGCAGGTCCTCGATTGCAGGTCCTCAAACAGATGGCGCAGACCTCGGGGGCGGCAACTGGGTGAGTGGTGCTTGCCTTGCGCTTGCGTTTGAGTTGAGGCCTCGCACCTTCTGGGCTGGGTGTCATTCCCGTATTGTGGGCCGACGGTGGCTCGATGCATTGGCTATGTGATCCGCGCTGTTCGCGCAAGCGATGCCCCTGGGCAGGCAGAGCCATGTCCAACAGACACCATCAAACTGGACCCCAAGGACCTGCCAAGCCTTGGCAAGAAACACATGAAGGCTAGTCAGAAATTTCCGAGGACTTCGTCAAGAACCAGCCGGCTGCGGCCAACTTTGCCAAAGATTCAGAGACCTTCAGCTGTCTGCCTTCTGTTTCTGCTGCCGCACTGGCCCTGGAGGACCTCATTCTCGCATGTCCATGAGTCAGTTCGCTGACACACATCAGCAGAGTTCCAGAAGCAGCATTGCAGCACGTCACGAGCGTGTGTTGCACTTCAACACTTGTAGCAATGAGACAGCGATGCGTTCCAATACACCATTTTTGAGAAGACTCGGGGGTTATTCTGCTTCCTCTTGGCAGATGCTTGGAGGAAATGACATCACTGAAGCTTCTTAAGTTTTGTGTAGCAGCAACTGCATTTGCAGTATCGTCGAGCTTCCTCTTTTTCTCCAGCAAGAGAGAGAGAGAGAGAAAGGGATACACATACATATATATGTATATATATAGAATTAGATGTGTATATATATATATAGAGAGAGAGAGAGAGACATTGGGGATGGCCCCCACGTGCTGCTTGTTTTTTATTCCCGCGAGGAAGTTCGTCTTCGGCCTTTGAATTGTGCTGAGCCATCATCTCCGGAAGGCTGATCAGCTGATCCACTGATCAATGCTTGCATGGCCAAGTTCACGTGAGGAGCTGCGGCTTCGCAGCTTCGAGATGTGGAGCCGGAGCAGGAGGATGGCCGGAGGGTCCCTCCTTGGTCCAAAGGGAACGGCTCAATTTTGGCCTTTGGCGTCCTTCAAGGCGAGCTGAACAGGGCCCCTCAAAACCACGCACGCACTTCCGTGGAGTCAGAAGCTTGTATTTTTTCTCAGGAGCTGTTTCTTGATGACGATGCCGAGTCTCAGCGCAGCCCCAGCGCTTCCTTGGCGCAATTCCTCAGCCGCAAGAGCGAGGACAGTCAACTGGTTTGTATTGCCGTTTTCGGTTCCGGGAAAGTTGCGAGGGTTTATTCTTCCATGTTCCTTGCTTTTGCAGGACATGAGCCGGAGCTACAGTCAGATGCCCAGGTTTTGGTCGTGAGGCACTCGTGCTGGAAAGAGAATCAGTTACTCGTGAGCCAGGCGGCGGAGTCTACGGCAACTCGCCATGCGCGATCTCTCCGGTCACATATCCAGCTACCGTGGACCCCTCGCTGGTGACCTCCCTGGCCCCTGGAGCTTGAACTCAGCCGAAGTGCTCGCAGGTGAGAGACGAAGGTTACGAGGTGGCCGAAGAGGAGATGCAGGGAGAGGCCGGTTGTGCGCATTCGGGGCGCAGCAAGCTCTGTAAGCCTGGCACAGGACATGGAAGAAGCATTCCTTGTGACGGACCAGGATGTTGTTGCGACGGCCACAGAGGCAGATGCAAGAAACTATCCACGCTCGTTTGCCCGTCCAAGGAAGAGTCCTTCCCTTCCCGTGAGCCTGATCCGCGAAGCCGCACAATGCCCGCAGACTTCAGATTCCAGGCCTGCACTGGAAATTGCCCCAAAGGGTCAAACTTGTTGCGTTGTGAATCGCGGAGGCCTTTGACATGGACTACAAGGACACCAAGTTTCTGCAGTCCTGGTAAATCCTTGGGGTTTAAACATCGCCTTTCCCTGGGATGCCTGAGCGTCGAAAGCTTTGGGCCAGGAAGCTCCCCCGCCTGGCGATGTCATCGTGGATGATGCGCTGGCAGTCGAAGAGCCGGATGAACTGGAGGATGAGGCATGACCTTTCCCTTCTTTGGTAGGGTTCCTTTCTTGTTTGTGGCTTTAATCATCATCTTTTGAGTTGGATGGGGTGACGTTCAAAGGGGAAATATAGGGAACGCTGTCTGTTGAAATCAGAGGCAGGGACTTATACCCAAACTGAACATTCGCTTGCTGTCGCGGAAGTTGTGATTGTGAGTTGAAGGCTGCATTGGCACTGGCCAACTCGCACTTGCAGTGGTTGCCTCAGATACAATTTGTGAGTCGCTTGTAGATGTCAAAGCCGTGTTGATCTCTGTTATGTTGTGTCGACCATTACGCATGCAGGTTATTTTGAGCACAGGGTGCTCACTTTTTGTTGTTATTCAAAGCACAAATGAGCAACACCCAAAACTCCCATTGGCATTTTTAGTACATGGCTATATTGCCGGGGATGAGTTTATTGCAAGGCTTATACAAGGCTTGATCACCATTTGGTTTTCGGCGCTGCCCAGACGAGGGAAACCGGAACTGGCCGTTTGTGCCGTCACATCCTGACTTGACTGCAGGCACATCGAGGCAGAGCTTCGCTCCCATCGGGATGTGATCTCGCGCGAGGTCGAGGTGCGTTTGCCAGCTCAAACTGTGCGGGGGTTTGGGTCGGCCATGTTTCCGCAAACACTTCTTTTTTGAAGATCATCCCCCACGAACTTCTTTTCGGGCCCCGGAAAGCCGGCCTGGAGCCCTTGAAGCAAATGTGTCATATGGGGACCTGCACAAGTTTTTGACGGTTTTCCTTCTGATTCCCTTGAAGCCCATCTTTGAAAACAAGGTCGTACTCCAAGCTCCAAAGAACAAGCGCACGCACACAGACCCGAGAGCTCGTTTGGGACCGGATCTACTTGCACGGTCTGCAGGCCCGGCGGCGCCTGGAAGACGCCTTGCTCGCTGAGCGCCGGCGTGCGGAGGTGGAAGCGCAGGCGGCCTGGCGCAGGGGGGAGATTTTGCGAGCGCCCAAACCGCTTCCCGTTGGCAATTTTAGAGACTGGTACCAGACTTCACAAAGGCTCGAAGACCTATCTGCACCTTGACAACCATGAATTGGTAGCAAAGTCAGTGAATTGGTTTGGGCGCTGCTCAGATGTGCGGCAGGCAACCCAAGCCCGCATGGACACGCTTAAAATTACTTGTTTCCCCAATAGGACATGGACAATGTAGTGAGCTTTTTGGTTGTGTGGGCCATGTCCGGAACCTCAAATGCGCCACAAACAGATGCCAAGGGCCGGAGGAAGTTGCAGCAAGAGATCGAAGCTGGGAAGCGGCGCATTGAAGATGAGCGCCGTCTGAAGATGGAGGACATGGATTTTGGGAAGAGCCAGAGGTTCACACGGGTACGTGTCAAAGCAGGGCTCCCCCAACCCTTTGGTTTTCCTTTAAGCCAACCTGAAAAGGGTACCAAGCCTCAAAAGACTCACTTTCACTTGTTGAGGCAGAGGAGATGGCGGTCCGGCTGGAGGAGCAGAGGCGCTTGGAGGAAGAGCTGGATGCCGCGAGAAGGCCCATTTGACGTGGGTTTCAGTTGGTTCACTGATGTCTCGAAAACTCGGGGTGCTCGGGGTGCTTTTCAGAAACCCGCAAGTGGGGAATTTCTCGGGGGGCGCATTGATTTGGGCTTCCAGGCGTGCTGAGGAAGAGGCCAGGCTGGTCGCCCAGAGGTGTGAGGACCGATCTAAACGCTCTCCAAGAAACAGACGTGGCGGTCACCCATTGTCAGCTTTCTAGGCCACCCTATTGCTCAAGTTGATGGTTTCGGTCGGTTTGGAGATGGGTTTCTCCCAAACTGATCCCAAAAGGGTTCTATCGAGAACCTTTTCATGACCATGTTAGAGCCCAAAGTCAATGGGTTTTGGAACGCTCAGGTGGTTTTTCAGTTGAGCCGCAGGAACAGCGGCGCCAAGCCGAGAAGAAGCGGCAGCTCCAGGCAAGAATCCTCACGACGCACCGTCTTTTTGCACTGCCGTGGGGTGGGTGGGTGTGCAAGCCACCACCAGCTTCGGCCAGGTGTATATGATATGTTTCTCACAATGTGGAAGGGACCCTTGAAAGTCTATGAATCTTCATGGGACCCCAAGTGGTTGATGGACAGAAACGAGCATTCACGCCCAAAGTGAAGCCGAAGTTTCCACGGTCGTTTCCGGGGGTTTGGCCCCACTGGCGGAGGAGATGGAGCAGAAAGCGCGGGAGTCTGCCGCCCAGGCCCGGGGATTGTATTCGCTTCCGGGATTTTGCAGTTTTGATTGGAGTTGAGATGAGTTGAGGCAAAGAAGGAGCGTGAAAGCCGAGAAAGGGCCAAGGCATTTTTGGCAGCGGAAGGCAGGAGTGCTCTCCAATCGCATTTCGAGATATGGTTTGTGCGCAGGTTATCGGCATGTGCGCGCAGCACACAAGTGGAATCCAGTATCCACCTAAGTTTGTACGCTTTGACAGCCAAACTCAGTGGTTGAACAGCCTTTGGGGTGAGCGTGAGGTCGCTACCTACCCTCTACATCGAGCTGTGCAGTGCAATGACGCTGAAATAGCGAGGCCCGCCCAGTAACTCAGTAGCTTTGCGACAGCCACCGTCTTGCCCCTCGCGAGGCTTCTCTTGTGGATGGGCGCGGACCCGGCGAAATCCAATACTTTTGGGCGCGCGCCTTGGACACAGCGCACGGTCGCAGTGGCTGCCTGGAGTCAGTGATGAAGATGAGGTGCGGTCGAAATTGCTGGTAGTTTAGGGTTGATTTCGGAGGGACATTGGAGACTCACCAAATTTGCCACGACATCGACGCAGGGGAGGAAACCTTTTCTCCCATGTCCTCATGGGAAACCTGCGTAATTTTGACCGCGCCAGTTGTGACCAAAACAATGCTTCCAGTTTTTGGGCGTGCTTGAAAGGGAAACCAAACAAGTTCCCCTTTAAGACAAACCAAGTCGTAACAGCGCTGAGTGCGTGGAACTGTCCCAGGCAGACCCCAGCGGGTCTGGCGAGGTGGTTGAACAGACGGGATTCCCACGCAGAGGCCAGTGCCATTTGTAGCTCACGTCTAGTTCGCATTGGCCCTGTAAACGAACATGCGCAGGTCATCGAAGCTTTGGAAGCCAAAGCAGGTGATTAGCGAGTTTCATGCTGCAGAGAGTGAGTTGCATTCTGTGTTACGTCCAAGTTCTCTGTCGGGAGACATGAACGCTTGGAAGCAGCGCGCCACGTTCCGTGCGCTACAGCTTGTATAGGGCTACAGGATTCGTTTCACCTTGTCGGTGTCCGGAAAGGACGCGGCACCGCCACATGTGAGCAGCGCGAAGAACCCCATTGACCATTTTAGGAGACACTGTTTACCCCAGGAAGAGCATGGATTGGGGTCGGGGTCACTCTTCGGGGGGCCTTCGATCTCGCTTGCGAATGTGTGTACCTAGATGGTCTTATGGCGGTTATGGTAAGGCGCAAAGTCAATGGGTTTTGGACGCTGCTCATGTGGGAAGGCGACCAAACTTGGCTTCGGCTTTGGAGTTCCAGGTCAGGCGTGGACGCCTTGAATTCGACTGACTGCACCCGTGCGGTCCATGCAAAAGCTGCACGTCAGTCTTGATGTCACTTTGGCCTGCCACAAACAGTTTGCTTCCTCAATTGGAGTGATTTGAAGGCATCTTTGCGGTTGCGCAGGTACTGCAAGAACCGCATGTCGGAGGCAAGCACTCACGGGCGGCCAACATTCCATACGGCGGCCTGGAACTTTGATCAGGACCCCTGCCTTCCTCAGCTTGGGTCAGGAGCTCGATGGATGCGCGTGGGGCAGCATGCCGTCGTTGTTTTTCTGATGCCTGGTTTTTGTAGCTAGTTTTGCTGCACGGTCTTTTGGCGGCCAGAGTAATGCCCATGTAACCTTTGTAGCCAAGTTGGTAGAACCAAACATCAAAGGGTTTCGGGCTCTGCTCATGTGAGTATGTTTCAAACTTAGGCCCCCCAACACGGGCTTCGACTTTCCTTTGGTTTCCGCTTTACCAAGTAAAACGGGTCGGATCCCCTCGAAACAGCGACCACTTCTGTTGGCGAGCTGAGGTTCCTGGACCAATTCGCTCTCGACCTAAGGGGCCAGAGGTCAAGGCAGCCCCCGGGAGGTCCTGTGCCATGCACCACGGCAGATGCGCCGAGCTCGGGGCGTCGCCTGGGTTTGGGTTTGCCATGCGGCCAGCGCCGTAGAACGTTTCTGGGTCCTCAAAATGGAGCGGTTCCCTTTTCGGTTTTCCTGGAAACCAATCTGCAAAGGGCACCGAGCGTCCATACAACACGCACACACACACACACACCCATGATGCCGGCCGCAAGAAAGCGGCCGCATGTACTCGGGACTCCTGGGACCAACCAATCTGACAGACGCTTTCCGAGGTGCTATCGCACATTCAAGAGCACCTGGAGCAGCCGGATCAGGAGCACTGCAAGCAAAACCTTTAATATGACCACGTCATGTATTTTTGGTAGAATTTATGCCAATTACTCGAACTTCAAAGCTTGTTCTTGAGCTTGTGTCGTGTAAGCTCAGGATTCTTATCAGACTTGACATATATTTGTTGGCTCAAAGGAACAATTCCGATGCCACGGCAGGCCACCTGCTACTATAGCTCCAGGGACGAGCGTGGGGAGGAGATGCGCATATCCGGCGCCATGGATATGGATACACTACCCACCCGCTACCGGGGAGATGGCTTTCATTTGATTCAACGGTAAGGCTAGCCCAATTCTCCCTCCGGGTGGTTGGGGGTAGGGACTTGTTTCCTTGAAGTCAGAGACATGGCTACTGGTTGTGACGGCCCGGTGCTGTGCATGGATGCGATGTGACCCGTGAGGACGTTTGGCTGTCCATCCCTTCTCCTGGTTTGGTGGATCACGCCTGGCCTGGTCCTCAAATGGGTGTGTCTTTTTTCGGACCTCAAAATGGTGGTTTTCCTTTTGGCTTCCCTTTAAAACCGCCAAAAAAGGGTTACACTCAAACAATAGACAACATCGTTTACCAAAACCAAGCGCGACCAGCGGCAGGTTTCAAAGTCACCTGGAGTACCCCGTGCTGATGGCGCTTGGGAGTTTGGTGCTCCTCACCCTTCTGCTGGGTTGCCTGGCGGTGGAGGTGCGCGACCCAGGGGGGTGGGGGGGGCAGAGGACCCCAAAATGGATTTGGGTTTTCCTTTTCCCTTTAAGCAATCCCCAGAAGGTAGCCTCAACAACAGACACCCCAGCAGCTTGACGACCTGGTTTGTCACATCGCAGGGTGCAGAGCTCTACTTCTCGGGCATAGTTTGAGTCTTGCTGAGCAGGGACAGCTCGCCACATTTCGAACCCGACAGCCTGCGTTGGAGAAAGCCTGATGTGCTCAGCCTGCTACTGGACAACAGGTGGCCACGTTCCAATACGCTTGGCTCTCGAAGGTACCTCAGTCTCACCAATATCCATGATATGTTGTACGTTGATGTATATACATATATACATTGACATATATATATATATATATACACATATATATATATATACACACTAATCTCTCTCTCTCTCTATACATAAGCATACATCTATATCATATTGTCTGCATAATTACACATGTTATGCATCAGAGCGCTCCGCGAAGGGCTACCAACATGGACTCTCTCTCAGCCAAACCCACAAGTCTCGCTGGAGCGTCGCATGGCGAGATTCCGGCCATGACGCGCGGGGCGTCTCCGGAGCGGGGGACCGCTTCTCCTGGCAGTCCGGGATCGACTGGCAGACTGCGGGTACCTCGGGGTGATTCGGGGGTTGGTCAATATTCCGGTCGGCCCCCAAATGACCATGGGTAACTTTTCCCATGTGGGAAATATCATGTGAGAGGTTTCCCAACCAATGGTCATCCCATGAGGACCGTTTGATCAGCCCCTATCTTGTTGGGTGTTCTCTTTTTTTTTTTGGGGGGGGGGGTTGGAAGTAAGTCCGGTGTATTGCAACTTTGCTGGGTCGCTTCACATGCAGTGCATACAGCCGCTTTCATCCTTAGGCCGTTTGCTTGGTTGAATGGTCCATTGCACCTCTATACAGAATCAACATGTGCTGCTCGTACACATGTCTTCGAAGGCAACATCCCCAGCCGGTCATTACTTTTGCCGTGTTATTCGCCCCGTCAACTGAGGCCGCCGGTCAGTCCGAATGCAAGTTGGGCCCCCCAGGTCTTCACTGCGCTTCGCTGCACGCCCGTGTCTGGCAGGCCTTACTCGCTCCGCCAGTGATCCCTTCGCGTCGAGCCAAAGGAGCCGTGTTTGTCCGTTCTCGTGACGCGCTTCCGGGATGAGACCTTGCCTGAGTGAAGTCTGCGCAGGCTGCCGGCGGCTCTCAAGGGATCCTTCCTTCCTAGACAGATGGGCCACTCCAGCATCGCGTCCCGCGGAAGCCTCTTCAAAGCATTTCAAAGCGCTCGAGGGGAGCTCGGGTTTGAGGTCGCAACTTAGCGAAGCAGCGGCAGGCACATGGGAGTGCTCAGGTCTTCTTTGGATCGAGGGGGCATCTTTTCGGAATTGGATAAGGGCACAGCGAACGGGCAGTTTACACGCTTAAAAAATGTTGACACGGCAGCCACAGGCGTTGATGAACGAGAAGCGCTCATTCGAAGATACAGGCTTCTTCGGAGCACAGGTGCCCATGTCGCCAAAGGATGCATCCGAATTCACTACATCCGAGGGCATCGCGGGCTTCACGGCGCACTTGAAATCGCGATTTGGCTCCGTGCTGGCTGCTTGACAGCATCAGCTTGCTGCTCGTTCTGGGAGAAACATTTGGTGGCCAGGCTGGATGGCGACAACTAGATGCGGACAAGAAGGGACGCTTGTCATTTCACCCGCGCTTTGCTTGCACTTGGATTGTTCCTTCCTTTCAGCATGTTTAACCGTGGTGCTCCCCGAGGTTTTGCAAGGCAGCGCGGAAATCCGGATACCATGGGAACATGAAGAGGCCGAGCTCACGGTCCACGGGGCTGTGGGAAAGGGAGACGACAGGCTGTGGGAGGAGCTAGATCCTTCGCACCGCGGGTATGTCACCTTGGAGGACCTTGCGAAAGCGAACGTGTGAGCCTTGGGGTAGCTTCCCCATTCTTTTCAGGGATCCATGGGATCCGAATCTTTCTAGAAAACCAGCAGAAACCATGGGGAAATGGCGATCGGTTGTTGAAAAGAACGATGACTGAAAAGAATGGGGAATCGACCCCTAGAATGTAAGCCTCAGCAGATGACAGGAATCCTGCACTTGAAGGGCTGCCGCCCAGGGCCGCCCCTCTTACTGCGAAACGTCGGGCATATTTCTCATAGAGAAGACTGCAAAGCTGCATACACGAAAGCTATGGAAGAGGAGCAGGCCATGCAAGAGAAGAAGCGAGCAGCGAAGCGAGCCAAGACTGCTGCGCATGCAGCTCCATAAGATGCCTTCGGCGCTCCGCCCGCATGTCTGCCATTGGAAAGCATGGAAGCTGACGAGGCGGAATAGTGCGACGGCATTGAAAGCCAGTCTGGAGACCTGGAGACCCTGTTGGATTTTGTCAATCGTTATTGACAACAAACCCGCATTTTGCCAACACCCCCAGCATCAACAGCTTGATTTGACCGCAGAAGGAGAAACAGCTTGATTTGACCGCAGAAAGAGACAAGCTTAGAGCCGGAAAACAACACTATTTGTCGCGAAGCATTTGCCGCCACAGCCGCCTGAGTGGCAGAATCAGAGCTTCACGAGATGCAGCCTTTGGAGCGCCAAAGCCGTCCAGTGTCCAGCCAGGAATCGATCCCTTGGAAGGTCTAAGTTAACCGGTGCCCGTGACAACCACAGGCTGCAATCGCGCCCGGCGGGTGCCTGACGAAAACCAAATTTTCCAGAGCTGCAAGGCGGGCCAAGGAATTGGGCCCATGAGCGCCGTCCAGCCTTCAGATATGCAGCCTCAAAGAAGCAGTGCAGAGAAATCCGGCTTTCCGGAGGCCGCTCCTTGTGCATTGCGCCTCCTCTTTCTTTTTCTTTTCAAGAAGAAAATCGGCGGATTTTGATCAGCTTCAATGCCAGTGGAAGCGCACGGAAGTGGCCTGCATTTGCTGCTAGCATCGCAGGACGTTGACCCACATGCCGCTATCTCAGTCTCAAATGGACCGCTGCAACCGGGGGGGGGGTGTGGGGGCTGTTCCCCCCTATCAATCATTTTGAGAGATTCTGTGGATTGAATTGTTCGACGAAAACCAACATGAGCCCCACCAATTTGGAGGATCGCGAGACACCCCAAAAGCCCCGAACCTCATTTTGTTCGAGAACCAGTTTGACGCCACGATGGTTGGGAGCTGAAAAAGAGTTTTGTCCTGTTTCCAAGCTTTGCGATTGCGAGGTCTTTCATGCAGTGAGCTCCTTCAAGACGGAGCTCATGAAGAAGTGAGCCTTTTCGCAGTGTGTTCTTCTGGTTTCTTCTTAATTCTTCTTCTTGTCCTTCTTGTTGTAACTGTTCTGGTTCTTGCTCTGGTTCCTGTTGCTTTTGCTGTTGCTGCCGCTGCTGCTGCCGCCGCTGCCTTGAGTTGCTTTCTTGGCCGTGCGTGTGTGTTGTTTTGGAGGGTACCATTTTCAGCTTGGTTTGAAGGGAAGACGAAGGGAACGCCACCATGGGGTGGCCGCCTCCTATATATTTTGACATGCCCATAGCACCTTTCCATCCCTGCGAGGTATGGAGACATGCTGGTTGCCTGGCAGGAAGGCCTCGACCTGAATGAGACAGGCCGATGGGCTTCCGGACCGTGGACATAATTCGGGATGTGGCAACTTTTTTTTTCGTTCCGCAGGCAGAGTGGGGGAGGTAGAAGTGACAGAGTGCCTGAAGGATCTCGGTGGCTGCCTGAGCACCTAAATTCGCATGCGTGCGATGCATGCGCTTTGCCCCAGGCCTGGCACTGGACGCCAAGCAGCTCACATCCTAGATCTGCTGGATGCGCTTTTGGCGAATTTCACCTGCTCTTCCCTTTGTTGGTTCTTTTTGCTGTAATCGTTTAGTACTCTTTCAATATTTTTCAGGGGTGGATCCACAAAAGCTACATCCAAACCGTTTTCTAGACTGGGAACTCAGGCTGCTGGGCATGTTCTTGAGCGTGCCTGGAACGTGAAGCACCAAGCTTCCAGTCACAAATGTGGGGGCCTGTGTGGAAACAACGTCAGCCAAGGACACACATGCTCCTGAAAGACTTCGATCCAAAGGCACACGTCAGGCTGGAAGCTGTCAGTGAGTCAGTGCAGCAAAGTGGCTTTGCTCGAGCTTGAGATGCCAATTTGCTCGCACAGGTGGAAGACGGAGTCCTTTGTCTCCCAAGGCTCGGCATTTTTCCGTCACAATTGATCACTGGTAAACATTGTCGCGGGTGAAGCGAGACGTGCACTTGTACGGCATGTCTGCGAGCCCAACTTGACATTTTGGCCCTGACGCAAGTACAAGAACAAAGAGAAACGAGCATGCACATGCACACGCACACAGGCGCAAGTTCACACAACATGCTTCCAGGCCCGCACCCACACACCCGCGAGCAAGGACACACATTCGCACAACACGCGCCCACTTTCCACGAACATGGACACGTACATGCATGCACACGGTGCAAGTTAACACAGCACGCCCAGGCCCATTGCGCCTGGTGGAAGATCACACAACACGCGCCAAGGGCCTGACTCAGACCCCACGCACATGGACAGTGGACATCAGGTGGACATGAAACTTCTGACAACACCGGCAACCCAATAAGCAAGGTGCGTTACGGTTTGGATTGCTCCGGCCGGCAGGAGACGCAGAGCCTGCAGACGCTGCAAAGGCTGGGTAGTATGGCATGTCGCAGGCCTGTTTCCAACAACTTGGCCGGCAGGGCCGCACCGACAGAACGAGATTAGGGCCCAGCGCTTGTGGACATGTGATCCTGTTACAAACAGCCTGCGCCCAGGGTCAGCACGAAGGACGCCCTGATCGCAGCTCTGATTAGCCGCTTTGGATCGCTGTATCGAGCATGGCGGGAGGCCTTTCGGGCGGTTGGAAGATGCGGGCAGCGGCAAATTGGCAGGGCTTGGATCCAACCGGAAGGGGAAGGCTGAGCTGGGGTGAGTTTACTTACATCTATCGCCGGCCGGTGCCTCGGTTTACCCTGCCACTGCAGTGGGGATTTTCTACTCTGACGTCACTTCCACCCATATGGGCTGCCTTTGCTTTTGTTCAGTGCACGGGTTTGCTGAGGCTGGGACTTCATGGTGACTTGCAGGCTCATGTATCACTTGCGGTTGCGTTTTGTTTCTGTCTCTTCGCGCTCGTGTGGTTGAAATATGAGGGCGGAGGGCTGAGAGAAGGGCCCCCTCGCATTGGCAGCAGGAGCACTTTTCCCTGCGCTTGGCAGGCTTTGTGGAATGAACTTGATACTGAGCAGATTGGCGTCTTTCGATTCTCCGACCTGGACGAGGAAGACTGTAAGTCAGCATGGTGACAGCCGATCGAGTTGTCGGTGCGTGGACTGCCGGCAAGATTTGATAAGTATGACTGTCCAGGAGACCGACTCACTCTGGTCGGAGATGTACTGGTGTTTTCAGCAGGCGCCTTTTTGTGTATGTTTTGAAGGGGCGCAGAGGCTTTGGACCCTGCAACAGGAGTACGGCAACATGCTTCGAGCATGGATGAAAGGTGTGGATGCCTGGCCCTCAAAACCATCGCCAGACGTTGAAATCCACCATGGTTGCTCGAACTGAGGTAGACGGTGAAGGACATGTAAACAAGGAACAATTTGTACAAGCCTGCAGAAAGGCGCGGGGTCGCGCGGGGTCGCAAAGGCTTTGTGACGCTTCTGTGCATCAGGTTGGGTACATGAAAGATGCCGGCGTGCTCTTCGAAATCATGAGGACAGAGCAGCTGACGCTGCTGCTACTTTTCTCCAACCTGTTTGGGCTGAGCATGGTATATTGAACATGGAAGAGGCGCGTTGTGCTCCAACACACACACACACACAAACGCACGGTGCATACACGCCTTTGTATGGGATTAATCATCAGGCACAGAATTCTATGCACGGTCCCCGAACGCGGACAGCTGGCTGCAGATTTTACGAGTTGGGGCTCTTGCCTGGGCTGAGAAAGACGTGCCTTGTTCAGTCTACAGGCAGCCAGTGCCTCAAGCCCCATAAAATATATGTATTCCCTCGCAGCAGAGCAACAGCTGAGGCACGCGACTGTCTTGATGAACGTAGACAAAACCTCACGAACTGCTACATGCCCAACTGACGTTGCAAAGATTTCTGGCTCTCACACTTCGTCGCCCTAAGATGACAGCAACCTGCCAGTGTTGCTAGTCAGCGCGCCTCCGGAGACGCTCAACCTCCTGCACTTCAGCCACCAACACCACGCGGTTCGGCAACTACAATCCGTCGATTCAGCAACCCCGCATATGAGGTAGGCCAGCACCATTGCATGATTCGACGCTAAGCAAAGTGTGCATCGGCACACATGATCACGGATGATATGGCATGCCTGATTTACCGAATCAAATACAATTCTGCTGGTGCTGATGCCGCTGGCCTACACTCATGCAAAGGGAGTTCTGGTGCTGCCTGCGCAGTAATTTGATGCCAGAGAGTAGCAATGGACGAATTTGCAGCATTTCGCTGCAGGCCAACAGGAGAACGGCACTTCCTGAGCCTCCAGGACTTTGACATGAAGGCCTACCAGGCCGAAAAGGGGCGGCGAGGTGGACAGGCGGCCAGGCGTTGCTTCAGCTTCAGGCCTTCATGAGGAACGACTTTCGAATGCTTAGCGTGGCGGACCCAGCGGCGCTCGGGAAATTGGTGAGAGATGCGCAGAGAAAATTGAGGAGCCAGAGAAGAAAGGAGGAGAGCCGCTGAATGAGCTTGCTTGAGGATTTTGAGATAGTCATTCGTCCTGCACAAAGTAACGCCCCATGGATATTAAGGTTTAAGGGGGTAGGGGACGATAACCATCCCTGGAGGTTTTGGCTCACACACACACACACATACTATTTGCCGTCGCAAGTCAAGAGTCATTGGCTACGTTTGCGTCAGGACCTGGCTCGCTGCTGGATATGTCTCTGCAAGAGCTTCTTGTATGCATAGTGTTTGTATATATCCGGGAAGTTGATCACCCGCAAGCTCAGGCGGACGGACAAGGGCTTTTTCTTCCAGATCCGTCCAATGCTTACGACAGGGTGTGTCCTCTTTGAGGGGACCTCAAACAGGATGTCGGTTTTCCGTTTGGTTTCCCTTGAAAGCCACGCGGATGCAGCGGTCCAGAACGGCTGTCTTGCTGGTCCCCGGCGCCCCAAGCCCCGCAACCGTGGCTCCGTGCTCCTCTACCAGCCAAACGGGCATCAACTCCCCAAAAACGCTGAGCCCTTTTGAGCAGCGTCCTCCGGTTTTTCGCCTCGAGGAAGAGGCTGGCAAGCCTCGAAGTCCCCGGAGTTCGCGAAGAGCTGCAAAGTCTACGTGCCGCCCAAGCAGGAGCCGGAGCGGGTGGTCCCGAGCTTACTCTTGCCGACTTGCTACCTAGACAGCCGAACTGCTGCTTTTTTCAGTCACTGTTGCTGGTTGGGGGAAAGTTCGTGGAAAAGCAGCAACTGGCGATCCAGATATTCTTTTCGACTCATGGCCCATGGGCACCTCACTGAAGCTGAAGAACTCCCGGAACGCCGCAACGTTCAGGAAGGCTTCGCAAACCTTTGCTGCAGAAAGTACGGGTCGCTGGTGTAGCGCTCAGCAGGGCCAACATGCCACCGGTTTTGCTCCACAGCTTGATGAAGCCTTACCTGACCAGAAATCATGAATGCAACAGGTTGCGAGGGTCCTACTTTCTTGCTGGGGTGCGAACCTCCTCAAGTTCACTTCACCTTCTCACCCGAAATCCAACAATTGAGTCCCCAAAGGGGCCGGTGTTTTGTTCGCTCGGCTCGGGAACCCCATGGGAAGCCTTGCAGGGAACTCCTTTAGTCGGAGGCCCTCCGATGGTTTTCCGGGGTCGTCAGGTCGCTGCCTGGCGCTTTGGCATTGACCCCAAGGGCCGAGGGCAGCTGAACTTCAACGAGTTCTGCACGGCGGTGAGACGCTGCTCGCCCCAAACATGAGACAGACCCGACGTTTCGCGGTCAAACCTCGAGAGTTCTCAGGCAAGTCGGTTTGCGGTTTGAGAGAAGAGGCGACTTTTGGAAGCTGGGCTTTCAAGAGAACGCCCCCTCAGGTTCTTAACTTTGTCCCTTGACACATGCTCAAAAGGGTACCCTCAACAAAGACATCTAAGCGTTGCAATCGCATGCCCATGCTGATTTTGAACTACTTACTAAAAGCTTGGCCTGCGAGAATGCAGAAAAAATATGGTCCCAATGCTCAGAATAGTTTTGATTCCATTCTCCCCCCATAGGTTGTCATTTCTGGATGTCAGGATGACCTTTGAGCATGGAGTGCAATGCAGCCCCAACAAAACGAGATGAGGAGGAGTCTCTGCAAACGTCCTGAGGGGTTGGGTCTGCGCTCCTTGTGCATCGGCCTGCGAGGTCTTGGATACAGAGGAAGCTTGCGAAACCTGTGGGTGTCATCCTTAGTGATTTCAGAAGGTCCCGGCGGATTGCCAAATATTGCAAGTGAACCGACCATACTCAACCACGAAACCGGTAGATTTGCCGGTTTTCTTGTTCCCTTGCTCCTGCTATTCAAGTTTAGGGCATCCAGCGTAGCACTGACTTGCGCTTGCCGCTGCTTTCTTCTTGCCCTGCTCTTCCTTGGGCGCCGAGGAGAGCATATGCCCGGATGGCAGCTATGTCGTCAGGCTGAAGGATCTGTTCCTCTGCACTTGAGAGCATTTCCTAACTATCCCTGCACAAACTCTGTAGGGAACATCCACACGAATTGCAGGGCATGGGGGTGTCGTTTTCAGGATACTTGTTTGAGGTTGATGGAAAGGGAAGTAAAAGGAAACAACATGAATTTAGAGGTCGTGGATGTTAAGCCACACAAACATTCCGAGCACATTTGGGGCCTTTCAGGATCTGGATTTCGACAGCGGCGAGGCGGTGTGGCGCTGGCGGATTGTTGGGATTTGACTCCCTGCCGGCTGCTCCAGCGTCTGTTTTTCCCGTTTTTCGGTTGCCAGGACGCTGTTCTTCGAAACCATCCACGAGAAGTTTGAGGACACTGTTTGCCCTGCAAAATACAGAAGGAGCCCAAAACATGGGACGCCCCGAAAGGAGATTCGTTTCAAATGGGGATGTTTAGGGTTCCATGTATCGTTTCTGGCATAACAGGAAGCTGGCTTTGCTTGAGGACTTGGCCACGGTATGGTCGCAGATCTTCAAGAAGGAAGCATACGCAAGTGCGAAGCTCATAGATCTGAGCTGCGGGATCCTCTGCTTCCTTTAGGCATCTCTCTTGACGACTTGATGGAAGGATGCAAGGTGGGCCTCGGTTACCGGGGCGAATGCGGCGCTTGGGCTGTGCATTTTCATGGTTGGAACCACCTGAAAAAAGGGTTGATGCAATCCCCACCTGAACTTGATGTCCTGCTTTCAAATTCACAAGGGCGTGGCAGTTTGAGGGCACCCTTTTTCTGAGGCTTTTGTTGGGAAACCAAAAGGACAACAGAAGTCATTTTGGGGGTCAGATCCGAAAAAGACACCTTGCGAAGAGGCGCTGGACCTGCCTGAAGACTTTGTTGAAAAGCTGTTCCTCGGCCTTCATCCCACACCAGGCACGGCGTGCCGATCGGAACGATGTGAAGATGTGCCAAGTAGGGGGACGACCAAAATGGTGGTTTTCCGACTGCTTTCCCTTCAAACCGATGAAAAGGTGTCAAGGTGAGTCATCAAAGCCGATTCGGGTAAGTGAAGGGCTTGAAGGGACGGTTTCCTTGTATTCAAAACTCCTGCCTTTGATTCTTTTCCATGGCTTTTTGGTCCAATGGGATACTCGGTTTTTGATCGTGACTCAAGGTGTGTGGCTAAAGCGAGCATCGTACAACACAACTCACACAGCAGCTGCAACACGGCGAGCTAGGCGGAATAGATAGGCGATGCGAGTAGGAAGTGTCAAAACCAGTTGTCAATTTTGCCAGGTTTGGGATTGCACCATGCCCCAAGCCAATGTGCCATTCTTCTACACCGGCATAAATACCCAATATTGGCAGCCACTCGAGACACATTCTCGCTGGATCATTCCCTGTGAGGGCAGAAAGAGGCACTCTTCCTTTGGGACTTGGAGGACATGTTCGCCAGCTTCTCAAGATCACAAGACGGAGAGCTTCAGTCCTGCTGCGAAGACTGACCAAGGTCGTCACCCGCCGATTGTGGGAGCGGAAGAAACCCAAGGATTTGCGCAGGCTGTGCATGTGTTGGGCATTTGGGTGTGTCTTCTTTTTGGGGATCCCCAAGATGGTGGTTTTGTTTCCATTCAAGAACGCAAATAAAGGGCCCCTCAAAACGGACGCACCCGTTTGTTTTCGGCGACCCGCGACTCGATCCACCTGTGTTTGTTTCGCTAGGCCCGTGAAGCCCGTGGGCACGTCTCTGATCGTGGCCAAAGAGGCCGCCGATGTCCGATTTCCGTGGGCGTTTTGGTTGAGCAAATCCGCGAGGCCAATGAGGCACGTCTGAGATCGCAGAAGGAGGCCGTTGAAATTCCCGGTCGTGGAAGACTGGGAAATCACTCCACTCCCCAAACCACCAATCCACACCAAGCCTGAGTACAAGTTGGAGGCCGAGGCGGCAGAGGCTGGCGAGGCTCTTGTGGTGAACCACTCCTTGTCGTCGGAGTCTCGAGACAATCTCGGCAATGACTAACATGTTGCGGGGCATGTCTCAAAATGGCGAGCACTTTTATGGGATCATTTTGGATTCCAAAAGGAAACCAAAAGGAAACCAACCACCTGGAGAGGTCCCTCATGTTGAGACACACCCAAATGCCAAGGCCCCAATTGGTCCGTGCAGCGCTCGAGAGGCCAAACCGATGTCTCGGATTCGCGATCCGCCGAGCTTCTCGTTGCAGGGACTTTGTCTCGACGGTGGCATGCTGGAACACAGAGTTAGACTGGAGAGCCAGAGGCAGGGGCCCGGATGTTTTTTCTTCTGAATCTCAGAAAGAAAAGGCTTGCAAATCATGGGCATGTACCAAAATAGGGGGCTGGCTCCGCCAGACTGCGCGTTTCCGTTTGGTTTCCCCTTGAAGCAGCCTGCAACAGGGTTCCCTGAACAAAACCGATGCTCTCCCATGGGGAAGCTGCAAGTCCTCCAGGCTGCGTGACCCGGGGAAACTTCCTGGTGTTGATGTACCGCTGCGGCGTCAGTGGTGCCCCGGCCGGAAGTTGGCGACGGTTTGTCGGACCAAATCCTCTTCGCAGCACCTGGGATATGAAGCCCCACGAATATTGGGGACAAACCACCTTCCAACTGGGGATCAAACTTAGGTACCCCAAATGGACCCCTAGTAAATGGAAACGCAAGACTAAAACCTGCGTTTTTTTGTGGTTTAATTTTGACCCATACCCAACTGGTGCGAAATGGATTTTGTGCATCCACAGTTGCACCTTAAGCAGACGGACACCAGGCAACTTGCAGAAGCTTTGGACCGATCTCACAGGAGATCGAGGCGCGGGAAGCAGAATTTGACATAGCTGGGTGCCTTTTTGGGAGTTGGTACCCCGTTTTTTGGCGGTTTTAAAGGCAAACCAAAAGGACTACCACTATTTTGTGGATCCCCTCAAAAAGTCATCCTCAACTGTTTTAGCTTCACTTGCTACTTCATGCCTAAAACTAGGTTCCGACTTCCAATCTCGACACAAGTAAGGTCTTTTTGTGCCACCCATCTGAACACAAGCACGGTGACCACCCACTAACCACCAAGTAACCAGCCACTAACCACCAAGTAAGCACTGCAGCGATGCCTGGCACATGAGGACTGCTGCGCTTTGATGACCTTGACCCGGCTGCGCACAAGTTTCTCGGGGCCCGGCGCATAGTCTGGGAGAAAGTGGGCATGTATTAAAGGGGACCGCCACCCGTACGGATTCCAGATGAGCCTTAGGAGGCCACCCAAAGATTTGCCAGCAAGACCCTGTTGGAAAATCCATCCAGAGGCACCCTTGGCCAGGGTTCGCCTCGTGTCACGGTGTCAGGGGGGTTCTCAAAGTGGTTCCCACAAGAAGTTAAAGCATACATGGTGGATGTTGTTGCTTCTGCTCTGGGGGGACTCCTTCCAAGTTCGCCACAGGGTGCGTGTTTTGGAGTTGGTACCCTTTTTGGGTCTTGGTGTTAAAGGGAAACCAACACAGAAGTCCAGAATTATTGGAAAGAGAAGGGTGGTTTTCGAGAGTTGCGACTCATGGCAACGGAAAACATGCAAATGAAGGGAGTTGTTGAGCCACTGTGGGCAGTTGTGGTGAGATGAGGATGTTATGTTTCTATACCTGCAATATGAGGAGGAATGTCCGGCCCCCGCTCACCCCCTATCCCCCGGTTGCCTGCGAACTTGGCTGACGGCAGCCGCCTTATTTTGTCAAGAGGGAACTGCGACACCAAGCAGACTGCTACAGGAAGTCTTCATAAATAGTCATCATATCGTAGCCATTTGGGCTCAAGCTCCTCCTGATACAAAGAGAGTTGAACACCATGGGTGCGGCAACCTCTGCGCTGTTCAAGCGATTCAACCGACATCCGTCGAGCTCTGTGCTGGTGCGGGGCCTTGATGCCGCGGGAAAGACGACGATGGTCTACGCCCTGAGCTCTAAAGTGATGACCACTATCCCGACCATCGGCTTCAACGTGGAGCAGGCAGAAGTGAAGACGCAGATGAATGTAGTCAACATGACCTGCCTTGACGTGGGTGACGGACGCGACAGGATCAGGCCGCTTTGGCGCCACTACTACGAGATTCAGGATGCCATCATCTTCGTCGTGGATTGCAGCGACGAGAGGATTGACGAGGTGGAGAGGGAGATCCGCCAGATGGTGCAAGAAGATTCGCTCGCCGGCAAGCCCATGCTCATCTATGCCAACAAGCAGGACTTGCCGGGCGCCATGTCAAGCCAAGAGCTGATTGAGAAGCTGGGCCTACACGGGATTCGGGACCGGAAGTGGCACGTGCAAGAGAGCACCATGACTACCAAGAAGGGCCTCTATGATGGCCTGGATTGGCTGCTGTCCACCATCGGAGTCCACATGCCCAGCAGCTTGACACGGGAGGCGAAGACTGCCAAAGAGGAGACAGATGATGCCTCCACCGCTGACACGGAGAGTGCCTACAGGGATGGCACGTTTGAAGTAGAAGAGTTGGCAGCGTGAGAGATCGCTAGTCTTTCTTGTACAACGGACCGTCCTCAGATTAACGAAGTGCGCATTGTGCAGGTGTGCTCTTCAAAGGCTGCGATGTACTGTGGACTCAGTCGGTGTGAGAAAAGCACATAGAGATACCCACTCACTCACGTAGATGAAACAGAGTCAAAGCGGTGCAAGACACATGGACGGATGCGCTGTCTGAGGATCGCCGGCAGCAACTTTTGGCGACCTATGGCAACCTGAGCAAAGCATGGCATGAAGGCACCGAGAGCCCAATCTAAGATGGTTTCCACCTCCCCCCCAAGGGCAAATTGGGTATGTACCCTTGGCCCTTTTCTTATGTAGCGGCTGTTGTCGCGCATGTGTATCTCACTTGTTAGCCCTAAGGGTGCAACATGAGCACCACACAAATGCAGTGTGCAGGTTTTGACCCCGACAACTTGGGTATTGTGGACGAGCAGGTGTCAGCCTGATGTTGGCTCTGGCTGGGTGCGCCTTTGTAGGGAACCCCCCTTGTGGTTGGTTTTGAGGGATAGCCAAACGGTTGTGGGTTTCTCTAGTTTTAAGACACACCCAGCTGGATGTATCACAAGTGCCAGGACTTTGCAACAGCTTGCTCTCGAGCACTCCCATCACTTACATCCAAAGAGGAGAGATGGGCTGGGGAGCGATGCACAAGAGAGCAAGTTACCAAAAGAGCTCACCTATACAATTGCAGGCCAGCATGCTGTTCCATTATGTGATGGCCAGACATGGCCAGCGCGGGCATCTTAGACGCTTCCGTGTTGCTTCGTTTGCTTGATCTCTCTTGGAGGCTCCGCCAGGAAAGAGAACTGGAAAGCCTTGCTGACTGGGCTGGCACCGTCTGAGCGCAGCACAGCATGGGGAGAGGGCCACACGGATGCAAGAAATTAACACCATACCATTCGAAGCAACAAGATCCAGATGGCCGAGGCCTGGAAGGAGCAGCGGATGACAGCGCCATGTCTCCAGAACAGGCCCAGCAGAACAGACTTCCCAGCGCAATTCACTGAACCGAACGCAATCGATAGGAGCAAGTTCGCGCAATCGACACGCTGGAGGGCTTCAAAGCTATGCTGGTGGCGGCAGCCTGACTTGGACTGAGGGCTACTTGTGGTTCATGAGCAGCTGAGGCGAAGTACGGGAGCCTTTTTGCTGCCTGGAAGCATGCGCTTGATCGGGTGGGAGGCTCAAGACAGTCGGTTTTGCACAAACATAACTCACCAAACAATTGTTCTATCTCTCTCTAATATATATATATATACATATACACATACACATGGACATATGAATCGGCACGGTTTGACGTGGGCCACATGCGCCAGTCGACATCTTGGCGTGGGAGTAATCGGCCTCAACATGGCTGTTTCTCTTTTCTTTTGGTTTGCCGGCCTTGCCTTGGGGTTGAACATTGCTTGGGCCTGGACAAAAGTGTGAGCTGAGACAATACCCACAATATATCCACAATATATCCACAATATATCCACAACATATCCACAATATATCCATAATATATCCATAATATATCCATAATATATCCATAATATATCCATAATATATCCATAATATATCCATAATATATATGTATATATGTGTCTATAGACATGCATTCTTCAGTGTTATGCACACATACGTGAGCATATGTTTGTTTGGCAATCACTTAGGAGCACAACAGCTATGTGATGAAGCAGGACCATGGCCTTTCTTGCCCACAGCATTGCTTCTACTCGTTTGTGAGAAGAAGACATGGCTCGCTCAGGATTTCTCCTTGACGTGTCGTCGCCTTGGTGTGAAGGAGGCTCCGAACTCTTGGAATCCTTTTTGGGGGATCTGTGAGTGTGCAGGTTGCATCGCTGTGGCGGCAGTTCGTGCACGGCACCAACAAGGACCTCATAACGCTCGAGGCGCGCAGGGCTCCGAGCGAAGGAACTGCCGGTCTCGATCACAGACCCTCCAAAAGCATTGGCTATAGGCTGATTTGTGAGTCGCATGCTAAAATAAAGCAATGCCGGCGTGGTAATGTGCATATGTTTGTTGCCAATTGCACTGACATTGCAACAACCTGTCAGTGCCGTGGTCAGACCGCCTTCGGGCTTTTGTCAGCGTCCGAGGGAGTTTTGGCTGGCATGTTAGTCGACATAGAAGGGAACCACCATGATCCCCACACGGAGATTTAATGGCAAACATGCCATTTCAGGCCACCGATCATGCCAAGCACAGGTGTTGCATCCAGAGACAGCCGAATGCTGGGCAGAGCTTCACCGTTTGCTGCTTGAGGCAGGTTTTGGCAGTTCGTGCGTCCAATGCGACGTTCGCACTTTTGGTGTGTCAAACACACATTGGTTGTCTCCGCTGCAGGCAGCCCTGCGGCAACCAAAGGCATCGCATTCACAAGCATGTCAGGCGGTCTCAATGTTTTGTTCCCCTGCACGTCCTGACCTGCGCGCAAGGCTCAGGGAAGCCAAGACAAAAGCTTGGAGTGGGGAGACCTGGTGTGGCAACCCAAACAGCCCGATCCGATGATTGCTCCAAGGACTTGTGACAGCCTGGCCACATGTTTGCCGGAGACACAGAGGCCTGTTGCCTCACGCTTGGCTCGCTGTTTTTGTTCATCACACCAATCCATTGGGACTTTGGGCCTGCTCTGTGAACCAGATCAACAAGATGCGTGTGCTTTCCGACGTACTTGTGAAGGCAACGACTAAAACCGTGTGTGTGTGTGTGTGTCTGTGTGTCTGTGTTTTTGCGTTTTTGGGGGGTCTCTTTATTTTGACCCACACCCAGACCCAGCTCCGTGAGATTTGTTTTGCCTGGCAAGGCCCGAGGGCATGGAGCCCGGCGCTTTTGCCGCCCTTTCGCTGCGTTCCAAGCAACCAGCTCTGAGGCCAGACGAAAGCATCGCCACGAACTTGGGAACACTGGAGAGGCCGGGTTGGTGAGATCTAAAGCCTTCGACTTGCTTCAAGCGCTGCCCATGAGCCGCTGAACCACATTCAAACGGCAAGCAAAGGTTGGGGGACAGTCCCAACCATGAGTAGGGTGCGGAGTTCTCTCCTTTTGACTCTTTGCATTGGCTTCGAGTAGCCCACTTTGCCAGGTCTGATACTTAAGTGCGGTTGGCTGACCCGGCTCTTCACAGAACTGGAGGGAACCATGTCCACTGCCAAACATCTCGAGGTCTTCTCGGTTGCTCAACATTGGAAGTGCTGCCTTGGGCTACCCTAGACTTGACGCTGTAAGCTGCAGAAGGTGCATTAGCCCCTTCAGAAACCCGTTGACCTTCCAGCTGTTTGTAAGAAGTTTCTGCAAGGAGCCAATCGTTTGTAGCAACACAGACACACACACAAACAAACAAGCAAACAAACACGCCAACAAACAAGCAAGCACACAAATAAGCAAACACAGACCAAACCAACCAACCAACCAACCAACCAACCAACCAAACCAAACCAAACCAAACCAAGCCAAACCAAACCAAACCAAACCAAACCAAACCAACCCAACCCAACCCAATCCAACCCAACCCAACCCAACCCAACCCAACCCAACCCAACCCAACCCAACCCAACCCAACCCAACCCAACCCAACCCAACCCAACCCAACCCAACCCAACCCAACCCAACCCAACCAACCAACCTTTTGGCCTCGAAGTAAGCACCGTGGAGTTTCCTTGCTGCCCTTGTGAAACAGAATCTGCGGGGTCCGGGCCCTTTTGGTATCCTGTTCGGCACCAGGATCCAAAAAGGGCCCATACTTTTGAAACCTCACTTGCATCAACATGGGCTGTTTGGACACTCCTTGGCAGCGCGTGCAGGCCAAGATTGCCGAGTCTCAAGGACGGCCCTCCATGCCACGTTGTGACACCAGCAGTCGAAATCATCGTGAACGGAAGTTATGCAAAGCGAGATGGCCACAAGGATGGGTGGCGGCGGGCTTTCGACCCTCGCAATATCAGGCGAGTTGATCGGTTTGGGCCTCGGAGGATCCTTTGCCGATTTTTGCAGCATTTTCCAGCTGAGGCAGCGCTTTTACGAGGGCTGCAAAAAGCTGGGATATTCAAAGGCCGCACGAATTTCACCGAGCCCTTTGATCTTGAAGAATGTCTCAGGATCCGGGCAGACTCTTTGATTTGCTGCGCCCAGAGCCCTTCCGAGAGTACCTGGTCTATGAGGCTTCGGATGCATACAGAGCCATACAATCTATGTGGGCTGCCAGGATCTCGTGACAGACTTGAACCCCAACAAGTTTGAAGTGAAGCCCAACATCAAGGACACAATTCTGCTTCACTCCGTTCTAAGAGCTGGTTTGCAGGACACTTACTTGCCGATGAGGTATGTGGCCAAGGATGATGCCACTCAGCGTCAGCTCCGGACGGGTTTTTGTTGTTGCATCCATCTAGGTGCACAATCAAACCCGGGCAGATGACGGTTAGTAAGGGATAGTCGCAACCAAGAATAGGTGCAGCCGCCTTTTTTACTTCTTTGCAAGGGTCTGGGTAGACCACTTTTTGAACAAGTTTGATTTTGACTCCAATAGCCTTTTGTACAGCATGACAGCTTGACTTAACAACTGCCACTCTCTGCTGAAAGCTCGCTAACTGCACAGCCATACCAAGGAGGCACTACGCTGAAGGCGTATGTGCACCTTCGCCTTGGCTACCCATCGATTCGCTTTCACTGAGCAACGAAGTTGCTTGAGTTCAGTTGCATGACGCGCAGCTGGCAATGTTAATGAATGGGCAAAACCGGCTTTGGCATGTGGCGACATCCAGATGCATGCGCTCACACTGCTTTTCCTCCATAGACCTCGCACCGTCCTGTCAGCTCAGTCGCTGTGCAGGAAGTAGAGCCAAAACAGTGCAACTGCTCACGCTGGAGTTGATCAAGCATGACACCTTTGCCAAGCAGGTACTTTTTGGTGCTCACCTGCCTTTGAAAGCAGAGCTTCGCCAGTAAAGCATGCAACCTGCTTGAGATGCACAGAAGGCCGGCCCTGCCATGGCGATTTGGTACGGGTGTGGCTTTGGCCAGCGCCGGCTGCCGCAGCCTCTGCACCAGCCAACGCAAATCAGATGTGCAGCTGCAGGTCTTGCATTTGCCGGACCAGGATCGCCAGGCGTTCGGTCGTGGGGGTTTCTCAAAACAGCGATTTTGCTTTTGGGCGTCGGTTTTAAGAGGAACCCACAGGGACCCCGACCACCTGAAGAATGACTCGCACCCTGCAGGCCAATGGTTTGAAGCCAGCTCCTCCCCATGTCGCTTTATTGAGAGGCGGGTCGACCGCATGTTCAGATGTCGCGTTGAAGCAGCACGCTCTTTGCAAGGTCGCCTGCTTCCATCCCTTCGGCAGGCCCGGGGGGGCTGTCAGATCTTGTTTGAAGCCTCTTTTTGTGTTTGTTCCTTTAGCAGGCCTCGAGCTATGTTGCTGTTGGGGGGGGCGGATTATAAATTATGACAATCTGCACTTTGCATCCAAGGCACGTGGTTTTAATGGGCATACCGTAATACCCATGCAGGCTTCTATCGGCATACCTTTGTTTTTTTTTTTTTCTCGGCGCATGGCCGGCGCTGTCATTGAGCATAGGGAAAGTGGCCTAAGGGCCCAATTGTAACGGCCAGGGCGGCTGGCCTGCCACGCAAAGGCTGGAAAGGAGGACCTTCTGGATGTGCTTGTCACGTCGAAGCCAAGCGGTTTTTGCGCGGTTGCTCCCCGCAGGAGCGGCGGAGGTGGCCTCGTCCTTTCAGGTGGAACTTGGCGAACACATCTGGCCAGTTTAGCAGGTTCTACTGGTTTCGTAAAAGTTACAGTGGTCCCCATATAAACCTCTGCGCTCCGTGCACCATCCTGGCTGACTTCAGAGACAAGAGTCAATGGGCTTGGGCACTGCTCATGTCGGAAGGGAGAGCTGGCCACGCAGGAGCCTGAAAGGGCGTTTTCGCCTGCGACCCAATCAGAGGCTGCGCCAGCCTCAGCGCCCCAGGCGTAGAGTTGCGTGTCCGGAGGATGTGTGCTCGCTTGTGTTGAATACAGGAAAAGGCTGGGCACAAGGCTTTGGACATGTGAGAGCATGCAAGCTGAAGTGAATAATTGTCGTGTATAGCAAATGATTCTTTCTCAAAATGGGTTCCGTTGGGTCGATCTCAATGTTTGTTTTTGCACAAGGAACGCCCCCCCCCCCCCCGGCACGAAGCTTTCTCCAAAGAGCAGCTGAGGTTTGTTGCAGCAGTTGTGGCCTTCTTTGTGGTTATGGCCAGAAACCTGGATTTACGCATCGGGTTGGCAAGCGATGGTACTCTACCAACCAGGGAAGCGCGCAAGGCATTTTTTGGGATGAACAGTTTTCGTTCACGGCACCTGCGAGCGTTCAGATGCGAGCGTGTCTTGTTTTGAGCCCTTGAAGCCAACACGCAAGCCCCAATTGTTGGGATCACCTTATTCAAACACATACCCATATTTTCAGCTTGGATCGTGTCAGGTGCTCCGGCATAGGAGAGCTGAAAACAAGCTGAAGGAGGCAGGTATTGTGCAAAATGCTCTTGCAGCATTTCCATAACATCAATGAGGTTTGGCTGATCCTTCCAAAAGATTTGTGCAGATGCGTGTGCCATGGAACTCCCTTTTAATGCAGTTTTTTTGTTTTTTTCCCCCGCCAGAGGTGACGATCAGTTACTTGCTGGATATCCTGGAAAAGCAGCCAAGTAACTGTGGACAGGCCCGAGCTCTTGGCTTCCCTTCGTGACACCTGGCATTGGACCGAGGCAGTGGTCGGAGCCTCCCAGTGTGATGGGGCCTCAAGAACATGCAAGTTAACTGTGCTGGGCACATCTCAGCAGCGCGCAACCCCTTTTGGTGAAGTGAAGATAAACACTGAAAGGCCCCCTAATATGCAGACACATCACGCTACAAGCCGAGTAGCGACTTGCTGCGCTTCTCAGCTAAGTGCAGCACTTCATGCGTTTGTTTCCAAATTTTGATCGATGGTTTCCGTTCGGTTCAATTTGGTTTTCTTCGACCGATGGCACCAGCGAAGGTTCACCATGCCGCTGCTTCGGCGCGCTCTTAGGTTGTTGTTCTGAAGGATGGCGTGCGCCTCTTCGCCCGCTTGCCGGGCGCTGCCTGGCGCCCACTGAGTCGATCTGTGCGCGTGTCGCAAAGGACTCCTTTGAAAGGGAGGTTATTGTAAATAAGATCAGGGGGCAGTCGAGGGTTGGCTTGTGATTGGTCCATTGGTTTGGGGTTGGCACTTGGGAACCATGCCACGCATGAAATGTGAGGTGTTTGAGGGGTTGGTCTCGCTTTGCAGAGTCAAGGTGTCACCCGCCGTGGCAGAGCTCTGGTCAGCGCTGCGAGAAGCGCAGGCACAGAGGTTTCTTCGGGCGGGCGACGGAGTCCTGGTGTGGCCGTCAGGTTCAAATCCTAGCAGAACGCACTGGCGGAGTGTCACAGCTCGCCGTAAGCACCATGGTCCTTTTCGTCTACTTGACCATGGCAGCTTGGCCTTCAGGAGGCGTTTGGAGTGCTGAGGGTTCGCGCATCGTGTGCTAACGTCCATTCGAGGTTTGGACTATGATGCGGCGAATGGCGGGCGGCGGTCAGGGCAAAGGTTGGGGAGATGCGAGGAGGAAGGTGATGGAGGCCCGATACAGCGAAAGGCTGCAATGCTTGCCCTTGCCAAATTGTTCCATGGGTCAAGCAGGGTCCCCATTTTGAATGGATGCTTCACGAATAGATTAGATTCAGCTGCCTTGTAATTGGATTGGTGGTTTGGAGCTTTGGGGGTAGTTTCCCTTTTACCCTCTAGCAGGGGTTTACATCCACCACCCAATCCAAAACGGAGGGGAACCTGAGCAAAGCTCCCAGATCCTTGGGCTGGGCGCCTTTGGAGGCGCAGAAGGCTTCTGGCGCCAACGCCGGAGATGCCATGGTGACTCGCTTCGAGGACATCGCCGGGATCGAGCGGTCCAAGCTGCAGGCGGGGAAGGTCCGTGTTCTGAGATGGCAACGGTGTTCCCTTTGGCTTTAAACAGAACAACGCAAAGAATATCCACCATTCTTGAGAAAACACGCCACTTTTGGATGCAAATTGTGGCACCGAATTGGATGAGTTGTTTGTTTGGAGGCCACTTGGTCGCAACAGCCACTCCGAATCATGCTCAGGTGAAGGAGGTGGCTGGATGCTTGGAGATCTGATTTCAGCTTCAGTCTCACCTTCGCAAACTGGTTCTTCATGCACAGCATGGCTCAGGTGGAGATGCTTCGATCCCCTAGCAGGCTGCCCTTCACACATGTGCCACATTCGTGTGCAGCGCATGCGCCTGCTCGGTCTGCATGAATCGCTCGTGAATGCGGCTTTGCTTCCTTCTCCATGTGAGCCACAATCAAAACCCGGGTAGATGACGGTTGGTAAGGGACAATCCCAACCATAAATAGCTGCGGCCGCCTTCTTAAATTCCTTACATGGTTCTGGGTAGACCATTTGTGTACCGGGTTTTGATTGTGACTCATGTGACGTAGCTAGGTATGCAGCTTTGGGCGCCAGCGTGCCTCGAGGAGTTCTGCTGGCAAGAGCCCCGTGCATTGCTCTTGATGCTCTTGCGTAGCACGACCAGATTTACATGGGTGTGGATCAAAATTACACAGGAGGGGGTACGCAGGTTTTGGTCCATGTTTCCACTTACCAGGGTTCCATTTTGGGTACCGGTTTTTTGAGCCACAGCCACATTTGCGTCATGGAATCAGACGAAACAACAACATTTTCATAGCCGATAGTACTTGTCTGGGGCGATCTTGGTGTGGGGTGCACTGGGTTTCTGCTCAGCCAGTGGCTTGTCAACTCGCTTTTGAGGGAACTCCCGTCCGTTTGATTTGGCAGAGTGTGCCAGCTTCAGGAGTCCCCTCCACTGGTTGGATGGTGAACCTCTTGGGGTGTAGGCAACCTAAAGCCTTCCTCTGGAACCATGACCTGATTCCGCTGAGTTTTGACCGCGACTCATGGTCGGGATATGCGTTAGGCTGGACCTCCTGGCTCCGGCAAGACCTTGCTGGCACGTGCCTGTGCAGCGGAGGCGAGGGCGGAGTCAAATGATCCACGTCCATGTTGCAAACACTTCCGCGGTGGGTGGCTTAAAAATCGGTGGGGGAAAAAAAACATGTTTGTCAATTGACCCCTCCAAAAGATGGGTTTCTGCCAGCGATCCTGCAAATGCCAGATGGAGGTTCCCCGGATAGACCCACGTAGGCCACAACCCCCGAGGCTGGCGTGGCCTTCCTCAACGTCGCAGCCACGGAGTTCGTTGCGACTTGGATGCGTAATGATCCACCGAGGGGATCACACCAAAACATCAGGAAGTGGGTTGCTCACCCAAATCGCATGGGAACTGTTCTCATTTCACAGCCTGTACCAGGGATTCACCGCACCGTTTGGAACATGCTCATTTGTGCAGGTGCCGAGACCCTACCCTGATGCATCCGAACAACGCCAGGAGCTCTTTGTTGGCCGAGGAGCTGCGCGGGTGCGACAGGCAGTCTGCGCGAAGCGGCTATGAACATTGGTCCCAGTTGTTTTGGTTGGCTTCGTGGGCATGCGTCGGATCCGTTGGGCACGGTTTTACAGGAGACATGCAAATGAAACAAGACACATTGGATCGGTCCTTAGTTTTGAGTCACGCAAACACAAACACACACAGCCGTTTTAGTTTTCCTTCGCCCCCTTAAATTGTGGAGTTTCTCGTTTGGAACATAGCCATGTGCCGTCTGCGGCCACAACGCATGTGGACATCAGAGCGTGAACCATGGAATGTTGGACCTTTTTCTGATCCCTGCAGCTCTTCGAGCAAGCGCGGAAGACGGCACCGTGCATCATCTTCATAGATGAGGCGAGTTGCACGTTTGAACATGGGTGTCTCTTTTTGGGTACTTGTTTTTGTGGTTTTCAACAAAGGAAATCCACGAAAAGACACACCCATTTGAACACGTCGGAAGCCGACGCTTACCCATCGCAGATAGATGCCCTACGTGCGCGGTCAAATGATTTGCTGAAGCTGGGGGGTGGCAACCAAGAGGCGCGAAAGGGAAGTTGCTGAGTTCTAGTCGCCAGTGACTTTTTTTTGCTTTCAAGAAACTTGGTGGCAGTTTTCATTTCCTTTCAATAGGGTCCTCTTCTCAGACTCTTCTCCATGTGTTTCTTGTTTTTGTTGCTTCTTTTGCAAGGGGTTGGGTTTTCAGGTTGAGCATCATTTTGGGTCCCTATGATACCCATTGAGGCGGAGTCCACCCTGAACCAGCTCCTCACCTGCATGGACGGCCTGGTGACTCGAGAATCTGGACGGCCCGTGGTGGTGATCGCAGCTACCAACCGACCGGAGGAGCACCTGGCGCATTGTTGGAGGTCTCAAATTGGGGGCCCCTCGTTTGTTTTTGTTTTGGCTTGGATGGTCAGCCCAAGATGTTGAGAAGCCAACACGAAGCCACGCTGCACGGATGGCAGGTCTTGGATGAAGCTTTGTTGCGCCCCGGACGCTTCGATCGGGTTGTCCAGGCCCGTCAGAATTTGGATTTGACGCTGGGCTCTGGCGTGTGCTCTCGTGCTTGTCAGGTGGATCTGCCCGACGCAGCGGGTAGGAAGGAGATCCTCAAAGTGCACTTGCGCCTGAGACGGGCTCGGAACTTAAAGCGGGCGTATTGAATCAAAGTCTGAAGACACACCATTGGTACGGGCCCTAGGTCTCCTTCAAACAATCCGCATTTATTTGCTTATGTTGGTTATTTGATTGACCAGCCTTTGGTATTTATTCGGTGACTTAGTTACTTATTAGTTGTATGGCTTTGCCTTGAATAGCTCGTGAAGGGTCAGCCAGCCCAAGGTGCCGCTTGGCCCAGACGTGAGCGAGCGAGCTTTGGCGGAGCTCGCTGCCAGGTGCCTCGCTGAGTCAGAAGAGGTGGATGAAAGCGGGTCTTTTTTTTTGCGGGTACCCGTTTCTGGGTTGGAAGCTAAAATGACCCATCATTTTGTGGATGCCCTAAAGAACACCCCAAAGTCGACGAGGATGACATTTGCCCAGAGAGTGCCATTGGCAAGAATCTGGGAGTCCTAACCCACTGCAATCGCAGAGCTTGCGAGGTGTGATGGCTTTCCTGGCGCAGCCCTGGAAGCCATGGTAAACGAGGCGACATCGGAATGCACATGAGCTTGAGTTAAAACCGTTTTTTGGTTTTTTACGCCCGCCTCAAAGTTCACCAAAAGGATTTGTCGGCGCAACCAACAAATTGAGCAAGGTCTCAGAGGGAGGTTTAGCCGATTTGCCATCAGCCTGTTTACGCAAGCTTTTAAGCCTTAGGGTGACATTGGCTTGCAACCTGGCAAGATATTACCATCAAAGCCGCAAAGTTGCTTTGCGCATCCCGACTTGAAACCATATCGGTTGATGGAAGAATGTTCCTAGCTTGTTAAGTGTATTCTTCGCTGACTTTCCTTTAGGTTGGCATACCTCCAAGAAGAAGCCCTCACTACCCTGGCCCAGCTCCATGATGGCAGGCGGCGATTCGTGCGGCTCGACGAGACTCTGCCACTGTCCATGCCTCAAGCTCCGAGTTGGTCCATTTGACGCGATGCGTTTCGCATTGTGCAAAGACCTTTTGACCGCCGGACTCCGCGTTTGCATGTGACCGTGCTGGCTGTGTTTTGTCATTTGCTCATGCTGTGCTAGCGTTGCGCTTGACCTTGAAAGTTCGGAGTGGAGGTCAGCTTGTCAGACTTTGAAGTGGCGGTCAGCGATTTCGTCCAGTCGCGCGAGTCCACCAGGCCGAAAACTGGTGACTTCTGACACCAGACAGTCCCGGCAGAGCTGCCAGGCCCAAGTTTCCCTTCAAGCTTTGACGTGAGCGGGCAGGCGCAGCTTAGCAGGCAGGCGAAAATGCTGGCCGAAGAACATCGCTTTTTTTCCGGGGTTGTCAAGCATACGCTCAACTTTTCAAACGTGATCCGTGAGCTTCCCTATCCCAATCATTTGGAGCTGAAGGGCGCCAGATTGACAACCCCAACCAAAATCCAAGTGCATTACGCCGCCGATGCAGTTGAAAGCAGCGCAAGAGCAGCCCAATGGTGTTTTGTCAAAGATCTGACGACTTGGGTTATACAAGGATTGTCAAACAATCTCCATTGAGATGCATTGAGACCATTCCACCAACATCCTCGCGGACTGACCAGAGTTGCCTTGCCAGGTGGCACCTGTTTCCACATAAGTGCCTGCAGCGTTTGGCTGAAACAGTAGGCAGAGGAAATCGACGAAGCGTGACCTCTTCAGCCGAGCATCCATCCAGTCCAAGCCTTTTGTTTGCTTCTATTCAGATCTTGATTTGATGAGTCCAGAATTTATTACATACATCCAAAATCCAGAAGTTCCGAGTGAAGAGCCCTCAATAGATCCTCGCGTTGGAGGAGGGCCTCGAGTCAGTTGACCAGGCTACTGGCTCAGTGCTGATAGTTGTTGATAGTTCGCTGTTGGTTTATTGTTAGCTTCTGTTAGTTTACTGTTGGCCCACGTATTGCCAGTTGTTTGTTAGTTTCTTGTTGGTCTTCTTTTGTTGTTAATTGTTGTCGGTCTATTCTTAGTTGTTTGTTTGTTCATTGTTGGTCTATTGATGCTTTTGCAAGTTTACTGGTGCTAGTTGTTTGTTAGTTTCATTCTTGGTCTGTTGTTGGTGGTTTGTTAGTACAGTGTTGGTCTGCAAGTTTTTGTTAGTTTATTGTTGGTATCTTTTTGTTTTTAACTGTTGTTGGTCTATTGTTGGTTGTTTGCTAGTTCATGGTTGGTCTATTGTTAGGTCATTGTTGGTCTTTGGTGCTAGTTTTTGTTAGTATCTTGGTGCTCTTTATTCCTATCGTTGGTCTATTGTTAGTTGTTTGTTGTTTCATTGTTGGTCTATTGGTAGCTTATTGTTGGTCTATTGTTAACTTGTTATTTAGTTTATTGTTGGTCTGTATTGTTTAAAATCATTGTTGGTCCAGTGTTAGCTTTTTTTAGTTCATTGGTTGTCTATTGTTAGCCTACCGTTGGGCTAGTGTTAGTTTTTTTTGCAATTGTCGGTCTATTGTTGGTTGTTATAAACAATCTGTAAAAGAAAACGAAACACCATTATTGGTTTGTTAGTTTTCTGTTGGTCTATTCTTAGTCTTTTGTTACTTGTTTGTAGTTTGTCTATTGTTGGTTTCTTGTTAGTGTACGGTTGGTCTATTGGTAGTATGTTGGATAGTTTACTGTTGGTTAATTGCTATTGGTAGTTGTTTTTCCCGGTTACTGTTGGTTGATTGTTAGTTGTTCCCTTTGTCTATTGTTATGTTGCTGTTAGTGTACTTTTGGTGTATTGTTTGCTTTGTTTACTGTTGGCGTATCTTTTTTAGTTATCATTATTTATTTTGTTTGGGTATTTTGTTAGTTTTTTGTTGCTGTTGGTCGATTGCTAGTTTTTGTTGTTTTGTTTGTCTATGGTCAGTTCGTTTGTTTCTGCTGGTCTATTGTTAGTTTGTTTGTTGTGGTTTTATTGCTGGTTTGGGGAGGACGCTCGGGGATGTTCTTGTGGGAAGCCCATAATTGTGTGCATGGTTCACGCGGATGTGTATCTGGATGAGGGACCCCCTCCCCAAATGTATTGTGTGCTTCTTTTTCTTCTTAGAATGCTGTTGTGAACCCCCCTTTTCCGGGGCTGCCCTCAAAACACTCCTTTGGTTGAAGTGAGCCTCACTGGCTCAGAAGATAACATGACAATTCTTGCCATAGCAACATAGGCACACACGGTGGAAGGTCGGGTGGAGTAAGCCACGAAAGGCGAGGCGAGGCACTGCGGCTTGGTCCTTGCAGGATGCCGCCAAAGTTCCAGCGGCAGAAGACAATCGAGGAGCAGTACCAAAAGCTTTCCCAGTTGGAGCACATCCTTCTAAGGACGGGCTGTGCATGTATCAAATGATTTGTTTGCTACCCATCTAGATGACAATTGAGGAATGGATTTTGTACCTTGCTCTTTGCAACATTTGGTTCGCATACGGGACGAGGCCCGATTCCTACGTGGGGTCCGTGGAGTTCCAGAAGGAATGGCAGTGGGCCTTGCGCTTGGCCCGAAGGCTTGGGGCACGGCTGGTGGCTTCTGTTGGTTTCCTCTAAGACCAAACAAAACGGGGTAGCATCCAAAAAACTCCACACACAAATGCAGTACGTCTGCCACATCGGGCACGCATTTGGAGTTGTGCTCATTCGGAGGCCAGGCTGAGCTTGGCAGCTGGTTCTTGTTTGCCAGGCTGTGCATCGAGCTATTCGTCTCAGTTGCAGGTGCAATGCCGGCGCTTCACCTGCCGCCGTTCAGGGTCAAGCGGGCAAAGCCCCATCCCCTGCCTCCATAGGAGCTGCAGGGGCATGAGGCAGCCATGTCCGGATGTAGCTCTTGGTTCTTCCGCAACAAAGTTAGCCCGGCGAGCCCGGGCCTAAGCAGTTCCAAAGTCTGGAGTGATGCGCATGAGATGTTCTTGTGGCCGACTCATGGCGTCCCGCTGATTTTGGTTGCATGTGTGCGGCGGTTTTTGTCGCACTGTTCAGGGTTCACCAGTCTTGCATGCTCAGTTGCTCTCATGTCAAAGAATGCAGCGAGGAACCACACATGGTTATGGGTCAACAATACGTACCCACAATGGAACCCAAGATAAATGGAAACATGAACTAAAACCTGCGGTCCCCTGGTGGCTTAATTTTGGCCCATGCCCACATTGTAAGCTCGGAGTGGGCCCTCGGAATCCGCGAATCGAGGCCCCGGAGCATCCCCAAGATCGGATGAGCTTGCGAAGTTTCCCTCCAGAAGCTCAACTGGAACCTTCCAGACATCGCTCTCCGGCCTCAGCAAGGACGGCTTTGCAAATTTGCGAGCATGCTCAACGGCCACGGAATGTGCAAGCCAAGATTCTACCAAATTCCCAAGCAGGCACACGTGCACAGACAAATGCAGATGCATGCAGGCAAACATTCGCAAAACGTGCTCCAGGCACTCAAAATGAGGGGACCCCAAAGTGGGTGTCTCTTTGGGTTTCCATCTAAACCAACCCCAACAAGGGCACCCCCAAAACCACACACACACACACCAACCCGTGTAGCGATCAGCTCATGAGCACAACGCCTGTCAGGAGCCTGGAGCTGAGGAGGACTCCGAAGATGACGAGATGGAGAAGATGGATCATACTGGAAGCCAATTCGTGATGAAAGAGAGCAATAAGTTTCGGAAGGCTTGTGTCATTGTGCTATTTTTCGGGTTACGCGCCATTGCGCTTCAAGTTTTCTTGAAGCTTTTTTGGTCAAGCCACGCGCCATTGCGCTTCAAGTTTTCTTGAAGCAGGGAACAAACACCCATGTGGCTTGAAGGTGTGGACCGGCGTGGTGACGTTGTTACTTCTGTACATCGCCACCTGGTTCTTGTTTCAGCTCACCTTTCTAGACCTGCACAAGCCTGAGCCGATGCATGCCTCGTCCTTAGTGGTCCCGTGGGCATGAGTGGGTCTGCAAAGTTGCAAGTGGTTCGTCAGATTTGAGAAGTGCAAAGTCAGTGCAAAGGTGCCTGAATTTTTGGGTATGGACCCCTCAGCCTGGCAGGCGGGGGACTCAGCGCTTGTTCAGAAAGGAAGTGCAACGCATTGCAACGCGAATGCCAGGCCTGGTCTATTTTGGTGGATGGGCTATTCTGGGTGGACTCATTCGTATACTTCTTCTTTAGCTTCCAGGATGAGCGCGGTCGAGAGGCGTCGAGAGATGTGCACCGGAGCGCAGTGGTTGTCTAGATTCTTTCAGGTGGATTGCTGGCCGCGCATCATCAAGCGCTATGCGTGTGGAAGCTTTGTCGTTAACATCATCGCTTGCCTACCAGAGGAGGCGGGTTCGAGTCGCGGTGTGCCATGTCGGACTTCCTGCAATGCAAAAGAGACCTGTGCAGGCAGCTGGTGAGATGATGAAGGTTTTTACTGGCGGGGGCAGCTGGGAGCTCAGAAAAGAGAAACAATTGAGCCAGGACAGCAATAAGTCAGCTCGTGAGGTGGCTCTGACACTAACGCCCACCAGGCTGCAAGGACTGTCAGGGGCTGTAAACCGTGTCAATATAGTAGGGACACCCCCCCCACAAAAAAAACAAGTCATTTTCCTTGTGGTTTCCCTTTCCAAGCTGAAAAGGCGGGTCCCGACCCCCAAAACCACGGTGGCTTCTTCGGGTTTCGCGAAGCAGTCAACGGGTCCCGCGCTTTCGTAGGACGATGCGCTTGCAGAGGGCTTCCCGACTCTTTCGGCTTGCCCGGATTGGGCGCCTGGCCAAGCTCACGGCCATGAAGTCGAGCCTTGGCCACTGGCCGAGCCGGGTCTCGGGTTAGTCAGTTGAGCCACAATCAAAACCCGGGTAGATGAAGGTTAGCAAGGGACATTCCCAGCCACAAATAGCTGCGGCCGCCTTCTTAATTCTTTACACGGTTCTGGGTAGACCATCCTCAAAAGTTGGGGGTGGACATCAAGCCCCACCTGAGCAATGTTGAAGTGGTCCCTAACTGAACACATATCCACATTAAGTTGAGACAGAACTACTTTTCTGACATGTTTTGAGCAAGAAGCAAATTCGATTCCCCAGATGAAGAAGGTCTTTCCTTGGAAAGCACACTTACTTTTGCAGCATTTGCTTGAATCGCAAAGCACCACGCACCAGTTGACCAGCCCAGCATTTGGCCAGCTTAACATTTGCCAAGGAGCCCCTTGTGGAAATGGCTGCAGACGCTGCGTGGTGTGCGCATCATCAACGTTCTGGTTGGGCTGTTCTTCAGCGTCCACTTGCTCGCCTGTGGCTGGCCGCCGCCTCAGGGCCAAACGGCTGGGAGTTCCTGGGACAGGCCTTCTGGCTAGTGAGATGGCCATGGGTTGCACAACCTCTGGCGAGCCATTTTGGGGTGGATGAACATCCATTTGCCACCTATTTTGATGTTCATCAGGGGTTTCCTGGGGTTTGACCACCACAGCCAGATAAGTTCACATGCCTAAAAACCCTCTGATCCAGTTCGAAGGTTCTCGCGCCTTGCATGGCGTAGGGCTCAGCGGCTCCACGAAAGGCCCGAAGGCCGAAAGGGGAAGTCCCCACCCCGAAAGGAGTACACAGGCCGACATGACACATGGATTCAGCTCTGACTCCTGTGGCAAGGGGTTCGCCCCACTCTGCAATCTTGTTGGCCAACAATCCTACTGAAGTGGATATCGCTACTAGACTACGTGAGTGAGCGGTGCCGAGCAATTCGAGGCAGTTGTATGACCTTTTGCGAATTGGGACAAGGTACATGTGTGCAGCGCTGCACGCAGATGTTCAAGCACCTTGGACGCAGTGTGGTTCATTGCTCAAGAAGCTTCTGCTCACTTCCCATTTTTTCCCTTCAAACGGAAAGTCTTAGCACAGGTGCACTTCTATGTTTGGGATTGAATTCCGATTCCAACGCTCGCCGGGATTCAGTACCCCAGAATTTTGAGATGTTCCCCCCCCCCCAATTTTTCCCGCGGAACACAAATATGGATATTGATATCGGTCAAAATCAAGCCACCAGGGGACCGCAGGATTTTGTCCATGTTACCACTTGCGGGGTTCAATTTTGGGTACCTATTTTTGACCCACGGCCATATCTTTCCCGGGTTTTTCACCGAAAAGCGTTCCGAAGGCCTCGCGAATCCGCGAAGTCGCTGAGGCCACCTGGCTGGCCAGGAGATATGTCGATCCCCTGCAAGTGCGGAACCTGCTGGACGACAGCGATCCAGGCCTTCAGTGGCTCCATGCTATGCAGCGCGGCGCTTTTGAATTTGACGATTCCCAAGGCGGGTCATTGGTATACGCAAGTCTTTGGGATATGAGAAACAATGATATATGTATAAGCATATACATATATATATATATATACATGTGTATGCTATATGTATATGTATACAGATTCTGACACCAATTTTCTTGATATGACTTTGGTGGCCTTCTGCAGTCAGGATTGCTTGCAGCCGAATGCAACACAAATAGCTCTGCAGAATTCGGACATCTTTCTGATGGCAGTCATGGCGTAGACACAGATTCGCTGAGGTATTTCATCCTCACGGTGTTTACCACCGTAGGCCTTTTGGAAGCATGCTGCGAGATCAGAAAAAAACACGTTGCATGCTTGGGGTCTTTGTCACTGTCGGGTTTTGCTGCTCCCTGGCAGGCTTCGGTGATATATCCGCGTTCACCCCAGGCCTGTCTGCAGAAAAAAAACACACGTAGGCATTAGACCATACAGTAAGACAAAACACAGTTGAACACCTGAATTCAATGGCTCATGTTTCTTCGCCATTCTGTTCCATTGCACCCCAGCTTGCAGACACTTCCAGTTGACTTAACCTTCACTTGTGGGTACTGGGGCTGTCAATATGTGGTTTGCCTGACAGGCGAGATCCTGTACGTGGTGCTTACTTTCTTGATAGGCGCGGTTGTCCACAGTATCATCATCGGCGAGGCCGGCAAAGCACATTGGAGTTGAGGGGTGTCTGGAAGCCATACATGTGTGTGTACACATTTGTACAGTCTGTACAGATTCAGCCCTAGGTGATCAGTGCTGTGACCCGCGTAGATGAGCGGGGGCAGTTCGTCACAGAGCAACGTGGGCTGATGGAAAAGTTCGCCTCTCACACGGAGCTGAACGAGGACTGCGTGGTGGAGCTCCAGAATTGGGTCTGCACTGAGGCTGGTGGATCTCCCGTATCTCTGAATTGCGTCCCAATCTGCTAACCAGTTGAGCCAGGGCGTCAAATTTGATAGATCTTGTTACGGATTGTGGCAAGGTCCTCGTGCATGGAAACGGGCAGAATTTGTCGAAGACAGCTTCGTAGCATGGCGGATATTTTTTTTTGAGGCCACCAAGTGGATGACGCAGAAGTACGACAAGGAATCCGTGAGATCGCTCCTTACTGGAAGGTGCATGCAGCTTGTTGCTCGTGCTGTGCCTTTGTGAGACGAACTGGCACGCTGTCTGCTGTGATAGGCACATGTATCGCTCCCTGGAGAGCATGCTGCCACCCATGCTGTTCAAGGGGCAATTTGTCGCCAACAAATTCTTTGCCAATCTTCCGTCAAGGACTGCGCGAAGCGGGGGTCCCCTTTTGGTCTTTAGGTCGCATGGATTGCACGTCAGGATGCCTGAGCTACCTCCTCGTTTGCCCATGTTGTTGGCACTCAACTCACATCGGCGCCCTTGGTCGCAATTGCTCGACTGCGGAGACAGCGAAAGAGAGAGAGAGAGAGAGAGAGCAACGAATTGGATTGTCTTTGAAGGGTTGCTTAAAATGGGGATGTCATTTTTCTAACGTTAGACCGAAGAGATCTGCCTAAATTGAGACCCTTTCACTTGAAGAACCCGACTCTTTGCGCATTTTCGGCTCAGGCAATTCTTTCAGAAGCAGGAGGTGATCTACCAGCGCCAAGATTTTGCCAACTGCCTCTTCCTGGTATTTGGCTCAGTGAGCTTCATACTCGCAATCCACTTCGGATGAAACACCACCACCACCACCACTACTACTACTACTACTACGACTACGACTACTGCTGCTGCTGCTGCTGCTGCTACTACTACTACTACTGCCTCCTCCTCCTTACTACTACTATACTATTATTACTACTACTACTACTACTACTACTACTACTACTACTATACTATTACTACTACTACTACTACTACTACTACTACTACTACTACTACTACTACTACTACTATTACTACTGCCTCCTCTTCCTCTTCCTCCTCCTCCTACTTCTACTACTACTACTACTACTACTACTACTACTACTACTACTACTAGTGGGACAACTCGCACACTTTTGCTGCAGGATTCTGTCCACAAACATTTTTTTTTTTTTTTTTTTTTTTTTTTTTACGAGGTGACCTCCGGCATATTTTCGCACGTGGGCGTGCCGCGCTCGGAATTGGGGGCCGAGACCCTTTGAAGTTGGAGACACGGCGAGTTCCCGTGCTTCCCTTTGCCTCAAATGGTTTGCCCAAAGACCACTTGCCTCGCTAGGTGCCCTACGAGAGTGGGGGCCAAGAGGTGGGCGTTGTTTGCTCGGGCGTGGACCAGTGGCTGGCGTCTTCCATACGAAAGAGCGCGCGAAGCGCAAACAGCAACTCGGCCTTGATAGAAGGGGTCAGAAGAAACCGCGACTCAGATGGACTCGAATTCATGGTGTTTCTCGTTTTTTGCCGCCCCAATTTGGACCTGGTGCCGTATTGTGCCACCTTTTTAAGCCGGGCATACCACAAAGGGCCACGCCATGGATTCAAGCATCCGCAGTGGGACTGAATGAGCTGGATTTTGCTGAGGTGACCCGCCCATCATGAGCGCCTACCAGATCTTTACCAAGGCATGCCCAAAAAGCCGTGAGTAACCGAGTAACCTGCATAGAGCCTTGTGCAGGGCAACTACTTCGGCGAGCATGGTGCCCTCTTCAACATACCACGAGCATCCACTGCTCGCTGCGAGGAGGGGCCCTCCATCGGCTCAGTTGTTGAGTCGAAAAAAAGAAAGAAAAGACAAACAAAACCGAGCTGACTCAACATTTGATTCATTTGATTCATTTGATGCTTAGCGGCTGGTGATTTGGGACCTTAGTCCTATTCAGTTCACGTCAAACTCGGCTGAGATGGGGACTAAGGCGAGGGGCAGTTGCATCGTGGTGCCGAAGTCTGAGGTCCTGAGGCCTGGACATCATGCATTTTAGAAAATCAGAAATGGTGTCGGTAGGTGGGCGGTGTCTTTTTGTGTGGGGACCGCAAAATGGCTTCTTTCTTTTTGTTTCCCTATGAAACCACCAAAAAAGGGTACCTTCAAAAAAGACACCCAGAATGATCCAAGGGGTCAAAAGGCTTTGTGTTTACCGGGCTGAACCACAGGTCCATGCGTGATTTTCCGGAGTTCTCATCCTTGTGGACGACCGCTGCTTCCAGCCGGGAGAGATACAGGGCGGACCTTCTGAGGAGGCGCAAGAGTGCGTTTCTGGAGTTGGTAGCCTTCTCGGGTTGGTTTCGAGGAAGGAACGCCACTTATTGTTTGGGATCTTTGGGCCTTTCAACACATATCGTATCATTCATATCCACGTAGCTTGAGCGGACTCCCGTGAGCTGCAGCACCTCGCAGGCTTACGAGACCACGGCACTACAAGCAGCTTGCAGCCTCGCAGATACAACGAAGATGGCGGCGCAGGAGAGATCTTAGCAAGACTGAGATGGCGCTGGAGCAAACTGCTTACTCCTCGGAAGATGATCCCAAGCAGCCTGGGACCCCACTCACGCCGATAGCTTGCAGAACGCCAGTTACTACGATTGTAGCTGGCAAAGGCCAGGGGCGAAGAAAGAATTGAAGCTGTTGCTACGGAATCATCACTCGTGAGCTTGCCTTGCTGCCCTTTTCAGATCGCGTTGGTGACCCCTTCAAGACCATGACTTCAGCGGTGATGGTCAGGCGTGTTTTTCCAGAAAAAGCTGCTCTCTTACCAGCTGACTCCATTTGCATCGCGCAGGGCCGACACGAGGGCCGGCGAAGACTGGGCGACCAGAACACTAGGCCTGGGAAGTCAGGGGCTGAGGCAGGCGGGAAGGTCTCGTGTTGCAACTTAGGGTTTCCTCCGAAGCTATTCTAATTTTTGGGCTTGACTAAACGTGAAGTTGAAGCTGAACATCTCATTCTCGTCGCATTTGAGATTTGGGAGGATGTGTTGGACACTGAGGGTACCAACGGACATATGCTTTTTCCCCAAGGAACTCCGATGTGCAAATGGCATGCCAGGCATCAACAACAATGAGGAGATGACAGAACTGATGAAAGAGATCAGGCTCCTCCGCTCGGAGATAACTATGTTGAGGCGTGGCACTAGGAGATCCGGCTGGCACAAGTCGTCTGAAGTCGGTTTACACATGAGCAGCTCACATGGATTTCCCACAGCAGTTTGGGGAACAAAGCACCACTTTCCTTATGCCCATGTTGGTGACTCACCTTGTAAGAGTTTGTCGTATCGTGGAAGGCGCGAGAGAGAAGTGGCACCGCCGTCATCGGAGCCTCAGCTGATCGGCCAAGTAGGCTCGAGCCTCAGCTCTGCGCGCTATCAGCCGCCATGGGCTTTGGTTTCACTGGGATGGCCGTTTGAGAAGACCAGGGGTAAGCGTTGCGAGAGTGCTCCAAGGTTGACTTTCGGCTGAGTCAGCTGAATCTAGCATGCGTCAGGGATGCAGCATTTTAGGGGCGCATTTTGAAAGATGCCGTGGAATCGCGGAGCAGATTTCGGGGATCGGCATTGAGCTCTGGGCCAAGCCCGTGCCATCAACGCCAGTTTCACATGGTATTATATGCTCAGACAGCGGAGCGTAACCTCGAGTCCTTCTGGAAATTAGGGACGCCTTTGGGAGACTCAATGTATAAAGGGGTGCTGGATATTCTCCCCGCTGTGTGGACAGCTGTATTTATGTTTTGGATGCCCCACCAAAACCCAATATTTGAATACCGCAGCAATTCGTAGCATGGCAGCTGCTGGAAAGGCAGCTCAGAAAAAGGCATCCCAATGGCCCTGGCCTGTTTGGCGGCCCGCAGTGCTGTTCGTTGCATTGGGGCTGGGTCGCCATGATTTATGGTTCGCCAAGGTCTACAACGAAAAGGACGGCTCAGTGGAGCAGAAGAACCTCAACTTCGTGCTGTCGCCTTAGGCCTTGAGCCTTTGGGCTGAGTCTGCCTGGAGTTGTGAGGCCTGGACTCTACAAGATCTTTGATGAAATCTTGGTGAATGCAGCTGACAATTATGTGCGCGACCACTCGCAAACCTATATCAAGGTGCAAGCTAGCGAACGGGCTCGGAAGAAATCAGATTGGGCTTCCTCAGGTCACCATCAACGAGAAGGAAGGATTCATCAGTATTGAAAACAATGGCCATGGCTTACCCGTAGAGGCGCGATGCTTTGTACAATGGATATCATTTGATGGCATTCAGGTAGGGAAATCAGAGTTTTTGTTTTGGCCAAAAAATCATAGTGGCGCGCAGCACACTGGTATTGGGGAGGGGAGGTTTGAAATGATCCAACTTCTTCCCTAATGCTAACAGGCGCAATACTTCACCCACCACCTCGCAAGCTTTCACAGCTTGCCAGGAGCACAAGGAGCACAAGATGTATGTCCCCGAGCTTGCCCAAACCTTTGCCAACGCTCTTCGCGTGCATGCGCCTCTGACTCAGGTGTTCGGCCACCTACTGACCAGCGATAACTACGATGATAGCGAGAAGAAGGCCCGGGAAGATGCAAAAAACACTTTTGGAGTTGAGATGCCACAGGTCACTGGTGGAAGAAACGGCTACGGCGCGAAGCTCACCAACATCTTCTCCAAGAGGAGAAGAGCGCTTGAGAGCTTGAGCGCTTGCAAGACTACGTCCTCGGCATACATCGTACTGCGTCACAGGTTTGAGATAGAATGCGGGGATTCCGACCGCAAGAAGAAGTACCATCAGATCTGGGAGGAGCCTCTGCATTTTTGAAGCAGCAAAGCCAACTGAGTGTAATTTGTGATAAAGCCTTGGACATCACGGGGATAAAACGCGTCCTCCAAGCACTTGGTTCCAGAGCCACAATCGAAGCCCGGGTAATTGATGGGTGCGGCCGCCTTGTTAAGTCTTTACATAGTTCTGGGTCCCGACCATTTAAATACCGGTTTTCTGATTGTGACTCACAACTGGATGTGGCTCAAAATTAAAGAGCCTGGGCAGGTTTTAATCTTTGGTTCCATTTACCAAGGCGCCATTTTGGTACATGTTTTTGGAGAGCGGCTGGTTCGCCGCCGTGGAACTGTCATCACTTCGCGTCTTTCGAGTGATTTCGGGGGGGGGGTGCTGATAACGTTCGCTTGACGCTGCCTCGAATTCTCGCAGCTTTCGGCCTATGTTGTGTGCGCGCTCACTTTCGACGCAGCTTGGTTTCGAACCGGTTTAACCCACATGATGGTGTTAGAGCATTTAAGCACGGCAAGCGCGTTGTCGCTCGCGCAACGCTAAGCACCGCAGGATGCTTTCCTTCCTTCTGCTTCTCCGGCTCGGTGGCTTGCGTTCGCTTCCTAACGTTGATCTGCGGCTGGCAGGCTTTTTCTCTGTTTCGGTGGCGTATCTGTAGGATCTTCATCGCATAGCTTGCCTCCCCCTGCTGACCCTTTGGTTCAGTTTGTTCAAGGCGTTGCTTTGATTGAAGAGCGCTTCCCCCTTCTCTTCTCTGCCCTAGCAGAGTCCGCATCCGTCTTATAATTGCTGTAGCTTCGTGCGCTGGCCCATCAACTTGCATCTTGCTCCTGCAGGTTTGTTTTCCTTTTGGCTGCGCAGTACACACTTTTTCTGCGAGTGCGCTCTGCAGTCTCGGCAGCTCCACCGACTCTCGACGCGCCCATGGCTGCTGCTCCCTCCACTCCGCAGACCTTGAGGCCTCCTCGCGCAGCTGTGGCCACTCCTTTGTCAGTACGCAGTCAAGCTGCGGAGGTGCAAGTCTGGAGCCCTATCGCTATCTCGGCAATGATGCTGTAAGTACGTTCGGGAAAAAAGTCGCCAGAGACTAAGACATTGTCGACGAATGCAGAAAGCTGCAAAGGCTGAAAAACGCCCGCCTGTGCAGGTTTTTCACATCACTGACAGGGAGACAGTCTGCTTCCAAGCCAAGACGCAACACAAAAACACTTTTCCAAAACACCCACCCCAGGCATCATGAAACAAGAAGAAACACGCAATCCCATGGGAATTACAAGACGTGACTTTCAGAATTGCAAGAGTTTCGCGGCGGCGAAACAGCCGGCTGCCTTTTTTTGAGCCATTGCCAACTGAGTGTGATTTTTCCGGTTGCACAAATTACGCTGCCAGGGAAATATGCAGACAAAGCAGAAGGCGAAGATCTCCTCCCATTCTGGTGAGAGCTTCACCAAGCGCCGGCCCCGGATCAAGCAAGAAACCAAGAGCTGGCCAAGAGTGTGTGTGTGTGTGTGTGTGTGTGGCCCCCCTGTTTCTAAGGGGTTTCTGCTGTCCTTTTGAGTTTGGAGTCGGACGCCACCTCCCGGCATGATCAGGCGTGTAGTAGTCAAGCAGGTGATGGCGTCCCTGAAGAGGAGGCTTGCTTGACGAACAATGTCCTGACTTGCTCGGAGCCGAAACTCCATTCTCCACTTCTCACCTTCCAGTTGCTCGGGGGTGCACATTGTCAGTTTGGCCGTCTCATATCAAGTGTGTTTAGGCACTGCGTCCGGGCTTCGGTCAGTGTCTTGATCCCTGTTGTGGGCATCTGTTCCGACTCATGCACTGACATTTTCTACAGACAGTTACCGGACCTTGTCGCTCGTGACGCTTGACTGTTCCAGCTGATCTTCTCAATACAGGCTTGGACTTCTCCCAGACCTTCTGGCACCCCAGACTGTTTCCGTGAACCTTTTCTGTCAGACCAACTGTTTGACAACCAATCAGACTACCCGACACATCAGGTGAGAAATCACGACGCCGTCAGCTTGCTCTTGGCTCGCAATTGTTGGCAATAGATGTCTCGCCCCCACGCAGGTCCGATGTCGAACTCGGCAGGCCCCATGACCAAGGCATCCAGGAACACTGCCGGCCCTACGCCGCCCAGGTCTCCAGTGCACCAGTCAGCATCACCGAGCAGGAGTACGCTTGTGACACCAGCTTCTAGCATATCTTGCGCGGTGTCCAGTACCTCAAGGGCTACCAAAGCTGCGGTTCCGGCTCCTGCTCCCGGCGACGCCTCGGCATCGATCCCTACCTTGCAGGTCTGGCCTGCATCTGTAGCTGGCCCACTGCCGCAAATCCTGGTGAAAGCACGCCCGGCCACGCCGATGACACCAATGACTCCAATGACGCCAACCACCCCGACAGTTTCAACTACAGCGTGCCCACCTATGACCACAGCACCGACCCCTATCGCACCGATCCCTACGGCAACCCCATCAGGTCAGATGCTTCCACCGCCCAACCCACCATCCAGGTCACGCCACACAACGGAGGGAGACCGGTCACGTTCCCACAACGCTTCCCCCTACTCCAAGTCAGTGCCCCCACAGCGGCGAGGTCGAGCTCGCTCCCGGACGCCACCTCCGATCTCCCGAAGGGACTCAACATCGGACAACTCCATCACGGCAGCATCGAATATTGCCGCGTCGGCGCCCACAGCAGCCAAGTCCTCATCCCGGGCGCCTACGGCAACTAAAGCCTCATCCCGACGACCGAGAAGCAATCGATCTCCACTTCCGCGTAGCAGAAGCAGTGCCCCATCGGCTCCAGCCTCCAAGGCCACAGGTGCTCACCCAGATGTGGGGTCGTCTTCGAGGAGCATGCAACTACGCCCAAATCCGCAGGCACATCCACCGCTGATCCTGCTTCCCAACCCGGAGTCTGATCCCTGGAGGAATGAACTTCGGGTGCTGGCCGCACCGTATCTCCGTGATGGGATCCCAGTCAATCAGGAGCAGATGGACTATGTGGCCGCTACCTTGAATGCAGCTGGCATACCGTCTCAGCACTCCACTCTGAACTATGCGAAGGTTAACCCGGAACATCACTTTTATAAGACCACCCCGCACTGGTTCATGCTGACCGTCCCTTACCTTGGGGCCACTGTTCGGCTCAAAGAACCGACGAAGACGCGACCCATGCTGCTCTGGACTCACGCTTCCAGTGTTGGAGGTACTCGCGGCATCCTGCGGAGCCGACAGATCCATCCTTCCCGGCAGCACTCCTCGGAGTGCCCAGCCTTTTATGCCCAGGGCTGGAAGATCACTGGACACGCCGACTACGACGCTGAAGAAATCGCTCGCACGATGAGCCAGAACTGGAGCATGTCTTTTAACATGGCCCAATTGCTGTTGTTTGGACGCGCTGTTGGCACCTGTCAGCCGATTCGATCGGGAGGAGAGCAAGCTTGCATTGAGGCCCTGGACTCCAGTGAACGTCCTGATGTCATCCACTATGTGTCGGGCAAGTGTTGGATGGTGATCCCGGAGGCAAGTCAGATCGTTGGACTCGCATGGCCTACCGATACAAAGCCACCCACTGGTGTCCTCCGCTCGTGAACCTGCACCAGGAGCTGCTGTAGCCAATGACAATTAATGATGTTTCATTGCGAATAAGAGCATACTTCGCCACACTGCCGTCTTCGACTACCGACGATATTTTGCGATAAAAAGTGCACGCCAGAGCCTCATTCAAGTATGTGTTGACCTTACTGCAGGGTTTTTCCTTTTTGACGCTTCGTGTGACTAATGCTGTTCCCGGTTTCAAACTGCCCCGGGCCCGGTCGAAATTCGGGTGTCGTTTTGGCAATGTATGTTGTCTCGGCAATGTGTGGCGTACCCCTAGCTTTTAACCCATTAGCAGTGTTGACGGCAACCTCCCATTTCGTGATGGCTTCTCAGTGGAACTATTCATGGCCGGCGGCATCGGCACCCTCTTCCTCTTCGCATCCGGGATCCTCGTATCTTCCGTCATGGTCAGTTCCGCAGTCCCAGCAGGAGGTATATTTCAGCTCCAATCGGATGGAACCCTTGCAACATCAACTTCGAGAGGAAGCAACGTCCCGCGTCAATCCCCCTCGGCCCCCACAGATGGCTCACCAGTTCCCTCCTCAACCTCCTGGTCAGTTTTACAACTATCACGGTGGTGGAACAAACCACATGCAGACAGGTCCCCGTCCTCCACCACCAGCACCGCCAGCTCAACCTCCAGTTTGGGCACCTCTAGGCCAAGGTGATGCAACGCAGTACACTCAGCCTCGATACTCGCAGCTACTCCCCAGCACCTTCCAGTCCGACGACATCTTCCTCGACAAGACGGAGGTCCGTGGTCTGCAGCTGTACCGTCACGTTCAGCCTACTCAGTGGTCCAGAAGAGTCGGGCTCGCAGGAACAGCTATCCTGGATCTTCCACTTACACGACTTCTTCGAGGAGGAGCAGAAGATCACGCATTACGAGCACTGTCAAATGGCCGATACAGCACACCAGTCATGGCTCAGACGATAGCCGAGGCAGTCTTATTGACATCCATTCTCAAAGCATTGAGAGGCAGGGAGGTCGACATCGGCAGGACAGCTCGCTCTCTCCACGCGGACAATGCGCCGGATAAGCGGGATCTCATGGAGTCCTTGCAGCCCGCCAAGCAGGAGAACCTCACTCGCCACAAAATTGCCGAATTGGAACAACAGCTGGAGCGCTACAAGAACAAGGGCATCACTCTTACACCGGATAAGAAGCTGCCATCCTCGTCCCCTTCCAATGCCGCGTCCTGGACCCCAACGCCCGGCCGCTCTGACCAGTCCCTCTACATCAACGCGGCCAACTCAGATCAGCAAGGACCCCCCCTACCAGTTCCATCTCCAGAGGCTGATCCAGCCCCTAAGCGACGACCGGCAAAGAGAAAGACCCCGGCGGCTGCCCCGGATATCACTCTAGACTCAGAACTTCTACGTCAAGGAAACCCCAAAAATCAACAGGTGCCACTTCCCACCAGCCTCACGGACAAGGTCTTCAAGGCATGGCTACACGAACGCACGCTGTCCAACCAAGCGACCTACCTTGATCTCATCAAGCAGGAGCTGGCGTCCGACACAGTGGAGCAGTTGAAAACCATTGCAGTCAAGTGGGGGGCCACCATCTCTTTAGTGAGCAAGGGATCGAAGCGAGCACTCCTGCAGTTCATCACGGTTATGTACATGTGTGGCAAGTGAGGGGCGTGGCGGTAGCGCTCACGAGGAAGGAAGTTAGCACCATTGACACGACTGGCATGAAAAGCCCGCTGCTCCTCACGCCTGCACCTTGCCCTGAGACCATCAGCTGCCTTTTCTCCTTCCTTTTCGTTTTCCTGTGTTTCTCGGGGTCGCGGGCTGGGGCTTTTCCGTTTTTTCCGATCTTTCCTGTTGACCCAATCAATCGTTCAGTGCTCGAGCGTTGGATGCATGGCTAAGCCATGCCGGTCATTCAATCTCCAGAAACGGTTCTTCTTCTGCAACTATACAGCAAGTATGCACGGTCAGAGCTTTACAGTGCAGCCAGACACTATGGTATTCCCGAGCCGTCTTGGCCAGTGAGCTTGCAGCATGGCACCGATTATTTCCTTCCCTACATCGTTGCGCTTATTGCAATCAGACTCGGGGACTCCCTCGATGTGCATGCAGCCCACCAGTATTATCAGGTTCTCTATCTGATCATCGTCACGAGTCGCCAAATCCTCAACATGCCGATGGTCAACAAGCAACTATCTATGTGGTCAGAGTCAATGTCCACGCTGTTGATGGTTCATCACTACGGTCGTCCCACGCACGCACTCACGGAGCTCAGGCGCCGACTTCGGCGTTTGCGCATCCACCCGAACATGTACACTTTCACCCACTTCTTGCAGCCCAACGCAGTGTGCTGGAAGCAGCGAGTCGAACTCCGCCCGGACCTTCCACGCTCCGTCAGCCCGCAGTCGGACGTATACATTGGAAGCACCAGCATCACTTATCCTAGTCGAGAACACAATCGTAGGGCCAAGTTACTGGGTATTCAGCACGGACAGTTTATTAATGCGGAGCCGGCCCTCAGATGGTGGCATCACTTCGGCAACTATGACGAGTTTGCTACATGGGTCATCTTGACAGACTCCGACCACGCCGTCACCTGGACCCAGGAACACGCCTTGATTAGCATCTATCAGCCGTCCCTCAAGTGGCCCTACATTTATCGGCGATACAGGCGTATTTCTACCGGCTATACGGCTACCAGGTTTCTTGCCGAACAGCCCTGGTCCAGGTTCGGCAAACGCCTTTTCCTCCGCTTGCGCAGGAGGAGTTGTACAGTCTATGGCAGGAACTTCCATCGGGTGGCGCTCAAACACACCCAAGCCTGGTCCATCATCGCTCGCCTCACCTCGGAGCACATTGAATCCTGGGAGGAGGAAAAACGACTTCGTAGTGGACGGCATTCAGACTTGGATATATATGCTATATACAGGCTGTCAGGCAATGTGGAACAGCCCCACCGGCATCGAGTTCGGAATATTTTGCGAAGAGTTCTTGATTTCCGCCAACTCCAACAACCCAAGATCAACTTGTTGTTGCGATTACCGTGGCTGTCCCATCCCCATTATCAGCGGTCCACCAGGGAAGTCCTTCGTCGGCTTGTTCTCGACCATCGCAACTGGGCTCTTCCTTTTCACTTACCCAGCACGAAGTTGGCGGAGACCCCTCATCCTCGGGTTCATACAGTCATGTGGAACTTCTCGTCGTTTCAGGACTGTTACCTCCTGACATCCGCAGGACCATCATCGTGTCAGTGCGCAGCCTGGCTAAAACGACAGCCCTGGCTATCTCATGTTCAAGGCCATGTGGCCGCGGGATTGGATGAGTTCCGTTTTCCGGGAACCCCACAGCACGTTCATTACACCTCAGCCCTGGCGTCATATTATGTGGACCTTTCCGTCTACGAAGTGCAGGTTCATGAACGCCTACGAAAATGGTGCCTGCACCATGGTCTGCCCCTGGACCAGTTCCACGCACCCCTCATGCAGCACCTACGCAGTGAATTTCTGAAACATCGGCAGCACGCATCCACCCATCAACTTCTCACCAAGCACCAGCTGAACATCCTGCATCGACACCTCGGCCAGGACTTTGTGTGCCATAACGAGGATCATGACAACCACCACCTCATGTTCTTCTGCCCCCAACTCTACTTCAAAGGCCTCCACAACACCTGGCTTCAGTCCGGCACATTTGCCGCCACTCCGCTGAAGCCCGACCAAGCCGAGGCTCTTATTGTTGAAGCTATCCCCCGACACCTGCAGAAGAGGTACAAATGGGCATACAGGAAGAAGACCACCGCGATCCCGGTTGGAAAAGTCTTTCTCAAACGTAAGAAGCAATGGAAATCGGGGCGAACTATTATAGCCTACCATAAGGTGGTACATCGGCAGCTCTTTAAAGCGGTTGCAATCCTTCTCGGCGAGATCGCCACGAGTACATGGAAGTGTTCGTGGGGGGTACACCCCACGCCGAGGATATGGCAGCACGTCAAACAATACTTTGACAACACAGACGATACAGTCACTCTCGCATTTCACAATGACGATTTGGTCGGCTTCTTCAACAGTGTCCCTCAGGATCAGGTGTGCGCAGCAGTCGAGCAGCTACTAGCAGAGCACCGGCGAGAGCATCCTGGTCTCATCTATTCGGTGGAAACTCAGGCGGCGGTCCACTACAACCGGGTTTTTGCGGATAAGCAATCCTACGGGCGCACGCCGACTACGCGGGTCATTTATGTGGAGGACATCCTGGATATAGTCAAATCCAGCTTCCAATGCATGTACGTCCAGGTGGGGACTCTCATTCTTCGCCAAGTCCACGGAACAGCGATTGGCTCTCAGCTGAGCCCAGTTCTCAGTCACATTTGCGTCGCGAGGCACGAAGTTCTTTGGCAGCGTATTTACGGACAATGGTTCGCCAGCCACAACATCTTCTTGGAGCGATATGTCGACAACAGATTTGTGATCTTCCCGTCTCCGGCTTCCGGTCATCCAGCAGCCCCATTGGAGGCTTTGCTTCACGCTGACTTTTATGGTGCACCCATCGTGTTGGAACAGGTGGGTTCCTCTGAGTTCCTCGGCTTCGTCATCGACGTAGGCGACCGTGCGATTTACTACAAAACCCCAACACAAATCTGGCAGATCAGAGGACCCCACACTGCAGGAAGTCTTTCTACCCTTCTCTCCGGGGCCAGATCACGGTCAGCCCTCGCTACCAAGTATGCGCATCCGGCCCGAGCAGTACAGATGGCGTTGGATCAGCTTCGCAGTATCTATTTGTCCGCCGGCTACAAGTCAGCGGATCTGCAGCACCTGTTTCATCTTCCGGCCATCCCAACCGGAAAGAATGTTTACGTGCTGATTGTCGTTGTTTCTCGAGGTTCGACTGTGTGGCTCTTGTTGGTTCTGTTCTGTTCGGTCTTCTTCCAAACCGGGTCTGGCTCGGTTGGGCTGTTGCGCTCGGTTTTTCTGTTTGGGTTCCGGGGGCCCCTTGACTCTTGGGTTCTTCACGGAGCTTGTCTGGTGGTTCAAGACGTGGGCCTTGTCGCCGACATCGCAAAGCGGTCGTCATGCTCGGACGCATGATAGCACTTCACCACCGAATGACCCAGAACGCTGCGGACATGATGCAGCTCATCCAGGAGACTCTGAATCAGGCTGACGAGGCACACAGTCGCAGGATTCATGGCGGGCACGATTGCGTGCGGCAGCATCATGTCCGAGGTCTGTCGTTGGCAGAATCATCGCGACCGCGAGCACACGACCATGCACGACTCGATGAGGTAGAACCACCTGGCCCCGGGAATTGGCATTCGGTCAACTCGGAGGATCTGGCCGACCCTCCACCTCCAGTCGACTTTCAGTCACTCCAGCTACACGTGGACCACCAGCACAACGCAGTGGTTAACCCCAAGTCGTTGTCCTACGGCGTCATCACGGGGGATGCCAACGAGGCTATAGACCCGCGCCCGAAGAGCTCCATGGCGCACACCCATGCTGGTAGGCCGGGCATCAAGAAGGCCAATATTCCCGGCTCCATCATGGACAAGGGTGGGACCGATCGGCGCAGAACAAAGCGGAAGCGATGCCGTGCTACATCCTCCGAGAGGACGCACTCCCCGGAACCTCCAGTACGTCCAGTACCTCGCACTCCAGCGGCAGCTCCAGCCTCTCCTTGCGTGGGCCTGTTCTCCTCTCCTGAATCCCTTCCTGAAGCTCCTGCTCGTGCTCACTCCGATGCCGGCAATCCAGGAACTCCCCCGGAAGTACCTCGCGCCTGGACAGAGGAAGATGACCAGCAGCTTTGCAGCCTGAAAGCGGACAACCGGTTCAAGTACTCGTACAAATCGCTGGCCAAGAAGCTCAACCGGTCCATCGCGGATGTCACGCAGCGCTGGAGGAGCCTGGAGCGTCTCAGAAAGCTGAAGGAGCAGCATCAGAAAGCAACCATTTCGAACCAATGCACCTGAGCCCAGACGGTGATGCTACATGTCAAAATGACCGCGAGCAATTGAGCATAGGCAGGAGTTCCGCAAACAGACCAAATTACCCATCGGGAATTATGATGGAGGCGGCTTTCAGGCGTTTCGGTTTTTTCCCCCTGCGGGGGGTGGGTGTGGCCCCCCTGTTTCTAAGGGGTTTCTGCTGTCCTTTTGAGTTTGGAGTCGGACGCCACCTCCCGGCATGATCAGGCGTGTAGTAGTCAAGCAGGTGATGGCATCCCTGAAGAGGAGGCTTGCTTGACGAACAATGTCCTGACTTGCTCGGAGCCGAAACTCCATTCTCCACTTCTCACCTTCCAGTTGCTCGGGGGTGCACATTGTCAGTTTGGCCGTCTCATATCAAGTGTGTGGGCGCGTGCGTGCGTGCGTGCGTGCGTGCGTGCGTGCGTGCGTGCGTGCGTGCGTGCGTGGGTGGGTGGGTGGGTGGGTGGGTGGGTGGGTGGGTGGGTGTGTGTTTTTGAGGCTACCCCTTTTTCAGGTCATTTTCAAAAGAACCCCCAAAAAGCGTGCGTTTTTTTTTTGAGGTTCCCCCTTTTTCTGGTGATCTTCGAGGGAACCCCCCAAAAAAGACCGCCGGAATATTTAGAGTCCCCCTAGGTTGACACACACACACACCCAGGTGATTCTTTTAGGGCCCTTCAACTGCGGCTCCTTCAGTTTTGGCTGGAAGAAGTGGTTTTGGGGGGCGAACATCCTCTCAATATGTTGGGTGTGGTGACAATGTCAGAAGCATAAGGTGTAGACTTGGCTAGGCCAAAAGTCTCAGGATCACTTTCTGGCCAGACTTGCAGCGCTTCGGCATGAAGAAGTTGGACAAGGCAGATTGGTTGGTGGTTTTTTCTGGACACTCAATTTCTTCCTTCGGGGTTGATCACAACGTCCGAGATGGCCACTAGAACAGGAACCCACCACTAAATGGAAAAAGTTACTCCCGGCCATTTGGGGCCCAGGAATATTGATCAACCTCCCTTTTTTCCAGCCACGGCAAGCCGTGGAAGGTTTCATATTCTCCACCTGGAAGATTGCTTGCAGCATGTCTTGAAGTTCTGCAGGATATTGTTGGGCTCATGTCCCGGCGCGTCGTCGCAGGCTCAGACTATCACAAAGTCTGGTAGCAACTCAAGGGCTCACTCACAGGTGAGCAAAGGCCACCCAAATGTCCCACCCGAACCAGCGGGCTCGCCAAAGATCCTTATGGTCACAAGACATTTTCTTCGGGGCTTAGGTGGACGTTGCGGGCACCACGCCGAGCAAATGCAAGATCCACCTGAACGGAAAGAGGAGAGAGATGGCTCGAAGGCAGGGACCCGAAGTCAGATCCTGCAGGCTAGACATCAATAGCTTCAAAGACTACATTCAGCTCTACACAGGGACTGAAGACGTTCAGATTGCACAAGCCTCGGTGGCCACAAGACAGGCATCACCAACTCTTGACCCTGAGGTGCACGAAAAATGCCATGAGCGATGGGAGGCGCCTGGTTTCCCTCCTGTGCTTTCAATGCCAAGCTGACTTCCCGGAGGTTGCCATGACCGTGTCAGATGGACAGTTCCAGCAGGACAGAAGGCTCAAGAGAGTGCGCTGAACGGCCGCCGCCGGGAGGTGTCCTTTGTCAACAACATCGCAACCACCAAGGGCGGTACTCATGCTGCAGCCTGAGTTGCCAAAGCAAGGAATCCTCGGCAAGTTGATGCATTCCTTCAGCCTTTGTTCCTCGATGAGGGAAAGCAATGAAAGGATTACATAAAACGCAGTAAATTGGGCTGAGCGGGCTTTCCTGCTCCTTGGCATTGTCGCGCCTCCGAGGTGGTTCATGTCGCCGACCAGCTTGTGGAGGAGGGGTCCAACGGTCCAACCGCGTTCAGTGCCGGTCAGTGGCAAGTGGGTGTCCCGAAATCCTCAAAAAGTGGATTCCATGTTGGTTTCCCTTTTTGTGCCAAGAAAAGGGGGGTCCATTTCGAGAAGCTTTCGAGTGGAGGCCATCACCCACAAAGTCAACAAGCAGAACAAAGGCGGCATGGCTGGAGCCCTTTGCGTTTTTTCCGCACTTGGCTGTTGGCAGTTGGACCAAGGAAATCAAGCCGTGCGCGTGGCTGAGTTTCACTTGCTTGTTCGCAGCCGGCTTGAGACAGAGGTACCACGTGCGAAATTACTTGTGGATCTTCGTCAATGCCCAGATTGAGAACCCCTCTTTCGACTCGCAAACCAAAGAGACCATGACGCTGAAAGCTGCCAAGTTTGGGCTTTCCTGGCTCTTTTGCCAGCTTTTTGGGCTATGGGACGTGAAGGGGCTTTATGGCAGGTCAAGCTGCCATATTCCAGATAAGATGATCGACAAAGTCCTGAAAACTGGCATTGCCGGGCACCTGGGTGCACCGCTGCAAGCCGAGCGAGCTCGAAATGGTCCCATGTCCTGTAGAGGGAACTGCATACGTTGCTCAGGTGGATATGGTGTTGCAGTGGGCCAGGGCAAAAGAAGAGATTGAGCTTGGGAAGACCATGAAGGGTCTGGCCGGCAAGATTGGCCTTGCTTGCAACTCAGATGGTCCCTCCCACCAGGTGGTTCCAGTGCTCCGAACAAGAAGACGAAGAGGCTGCTGAACATTCCGAAGCTGGAGGACATCCGCAGATACTTCACGCCACGGCAAAAATCCCCCACGGAAGCGCAACGCAGGATGCCAACCTCGCCGGTGGACGGGATGGTGGGGGCCTGGAGTTCACTTCGAGCTTCGGGCACTGCGACTGGACAGAGAAATTAGGAAGGCGTAATGCACGTAAGGCCGCGAGTGCACCCTGATCCTCACTGAGGCCTGGCAGTCTTGGTGTTTTGGCGTTTCAACCTTTCAAGCGATGTCTGATAGGGCGACAGCGCCAAATCACTGGCAGTGGCTGGTCTAGGAGCGCACTTCTCAGCTGAGAGCGTCAACTTTGCTGCTTGGGACCATGTTCTTGGGTGGGCATGAAGCGCTTTGGCGAGTCCCTACAGCGGCTGGTTTGCGCTGTCCATGGCCATGAGGTCATTGGCCGCGATCGGTATGGTGCCTTCCCACTCCGCGGGAAGATCTTGAATGTGCCTAAGCAGTCAACATGTGAAGAGATTACTCGACTCTTAAAGCTGGTGGCAGCTTTGGCCTTTGAGTATGCGGTGAGATTCAGGCAGGCAGACAAATACCTCCTACGCCAAGGTCCGCGATGCAAACTTTGCCCAGACAATGAGCAAGTGGCCCAGTTTGAAGCTTCTGTTCTGAAAGAAGAGGCTGCTGAGTTGATAGTTTGCTGCTGCTGCTGATGATGATGACGATAATAATTGTGATAATGATTGTTTGGTGGTGGTGGTGGTGGTGGTGGTAGTGGTGGTGGTGGTGGTGGCGGCGGCGGCGGGGTGATTGTGGTGGTGATGATGAGGATTATGGTTGCGGTGAGGAAGAGGAGGAGGAGGAGGAGGAGGAGGAGGAGGAGGAGGAGGATGAGGAGAATTGGATTAGAGGGATGAGAGGGATGAGGACGAGGATGAGGAGGATGAAGAAGTGGAGGAAGTGGAGGAAGTGGAGGAAGTGTATTGGAATGCCCTTAGCAAGACTCTGCATCAAGGGTCAAAAGCTAGGTGCTGAGTCCACAGAGCCAGGCAATGCAGAGATCGCGAATATTACCAAGATCGTCGGCCTTGAGTTTTTTGGTAGCACTTGGAGCGATGGGTTCCTTGAGTGAAAGGAAGACCACGCTGTTGCAGGCCCAGGAAGGAGTACCACTCCGCAAACTCTCTGAGATACGGATCCATCATGGCGCCAAGCTAAGCTGACGCTGCAGTTAGTGGCTTGTTCAGCATCAATCCATACCACGGGTTTGTGCAGATCGTGGCTTGTCGGGTGGCACAGGTCATGACGGACCAAGATTACGATGGCTCCCACATCAAAGGCCTCATCCTGAACTTCATTCAGCACTGGCAGGGGCACCCGGGCAAGCAGGGCAAGAGTTCCTCTGCCGCTGAGAATGGTAACGCCTTCCGAGGTGGCCATCGCTCTTCAAGCTGCCCGGCTTCATGACGGAGTTTGTGACTCCCATCGCCAAGCCCTGAGGTCAGGGTTCAGCTCAGCTTGGAGCTGCTATTGATGTGTAGGAGCCCTTTGGCCGGGAATCTGTGTCCACCAACCAGTTTTTTCAGGGAGGTCCTTGTAATAAATCATGGCCATGTGGAATTTCCAGACTCTACAAGTTCTCTTCTGAACCTTCGGCTGAACACACAAGCACCAGGCTGCTTTCAGGATACCACATTTTAAGCACCAGCTTAGGCGTCTAGGGATTGAGTGGCCTGTCCTGTGATTCAGCAGCTGGACACACATTGCCTCCTGTTCCTGGCTTGCATGGCTTGTTGCGTATTTTCTCCTCGGAATCCATGTTGCGATCGCTTTCACTGCGTGACCATTGCTTGATGCTCAGCCCAGCGCAGAACAGTGGGCTTGGCTCCACGATATTCCATGTGACCCCGATATTCCAATGTACACCCAATCTAGTTTTCTGTAACCTCAACCTACGACACAATACATCTCTCCCACAAGGGGCTGTGCGAGGCAGGCTGCCTGATAGCTAAACTTGCAGAGTCATTGTCCGGATATTTTGCGCTTTCAGCTTCGGCCAATCCCTTCAGCTTGCAAGCCGGAAAGGTGAAGGTGCATCGGCGAGGCGTGATGCAGCAGTTCTTCACAATGCAGGCCGCTTGATGCGAAAGAGGGTTACCTTTGGCCACTGACATGGCCATGGGTCAAAAGCCCGTACCCCCAGTGAACATCCCAATCCCCACCAAATTGGGTTCTAAAATGGGTGGTGCACCTACCCCAAAAGGGGATCCCATTGGTTTTGACCCACAGCCACATGCCAACCAGGAGTATGAGAAATGGAAGGAAGAGAACAACAACGGACGAGGATGGCACTTGAAGTACTACAAAGGCTTGCTCCTTACATCTTTTTGCACTATCTCCTGTTTGCTCCTATCAACATCACGTGTCAGGATTGGGGACTTCAACAACAGCAGAGGCCAAGGAATACTTCAGCAACATCAACGCGCGGCACTTGAATTTGTTGCATGTTTGCCACCACTGCAGATTCGCACATGTTTATTTTTCCTAAGGACCACAGTTTGTCCTTCAAGTACACTGGGGCGAAGGATGAAGAGGCTTTTGATATGGCCTTCAACAAGAAGAGAGCAGATGACCGCAAGGACGTGGGATGGGGACGCGCGCAAACTCATGGGTGTGTATAGTATGAGTATGTGTGTGTGTGTCTTTTCTTGAATTTGTTCAGGTTGCTTTGAAGGTAAACCAAAGGAACATCAAACTAAGGCCCTATTATGACACATACCCACATGCACGGCAACACAAATTCACCACGACTCACAGATCTTGGCAGGAATGGATAAACGAGGCCGACGACGAAGAGTTTGTTGACCACTCGAAGGACCAACTCTTTCAGTGCAATCTCCATTCGTGACTGGAACTGATCATTCCATTGACCCAGGATTCTGTCACCTACACAGACTTCATCAACAAAGAGTTGGTGCAATTCGCCAAGTATGACGTTTGCCCGGCTCAACTGAGCTGCCTGGATGGAAGCAAAGAAGGTGAATCCAATCTCATCGCCAGGTCTTGCGTGCCATCCCCTCGCTGGTTGACGGCTACAAGCCGGTTCAGAGAAAGATCATGTGGGCAGCGTTCAAGCGGAATTTGAAATCCGACCTTGCCTGAGCATAGTCACTGAGACAACTACTTGTCTATTGTTGGTCTGGGCTGGGGCGAAATTCCAAGTCTCCCACGAAAACCCAGGGGGGGGGAGCGGCACATGTCTCAACAGAGGAAACTAGTAATTCTACCCACAGCTCATACCGGCAAATGTAACGCAGTGAAGTATTGAAAGCAGTGCCAAGGACACCAAAGTGGCACAATTTGCAGGACCTGCTCTGCGTGGGGTGTGCGCTTGTGTAGTGATGGTCGTAGGATACGTGTCTGAAAATGCCGCATACCACCACGGAGAGACGTCACTTCAAGGCGTTCGTGTAACTTTGCATGGCAACGATTGCAAGTTTCTGTGTCGTCCAGCCTGGTTGCCGAGCCAGGTGCAATCGTCGGACTGGCACAGTCCTTCGTTCGATTCTGAGAGGTCTTAGGCATTTGGCTTTTGCAGCGTTCTACTCAGGTTGGCTCAAACAACGTGGGCTTCCTACATCCTTCTGGGCAATTCGGGACGCGGCTTCAGGGTGGCTAGGAGCTTAGCTTGTGAACCGGACCTTGGCGAGTTCCTCCAGAGTAGATTCTGGGAGAAAGTATGGCGTATGCGCCTTTGGGAAACCCGAATTGGAAAAGCACAGTTTTGGGGTGCCCTATTTTCGCTCGTACCTTTATGGATGTCCCCAGGCAAGGATGCGGCAAGTGCCCGTTACATCTACACTCGGCTGGAGAGGTGCGTGTTTCTTGCGACCACCGTTCTCTGGCATCCGCCAGATTCTCTCCGCAGGATCTCAAGGTTGATCTTTCACCCAGCAGATGATGCCTTGCTGGACTTTCAGGCGTCACATGTTGCAAACATGTGGGCTAGGCGGCTAGGCGCTGAAAGGGTTGCCTCCAACTTTCTCACAGCTGGTCATGGATTGCACAGATGCAAGTCGGCAGGTGGAGGAAGGGCAGCGAATCGAGCCCAAGTGGCAAGCTCTCTTCGCATCCCAGAGGGTTCGCTCGCAACTTTCCTGGCGCAGGTACATCCCAGTGATGCCCACTGTCCTGGTGAACGGCGCAGAAGGTGCCTAGAATTGTTTTCCACTGATTGGATTGCCACAAACGAACTGCGCTAGGCATCGGAACTGGCTGGTCCACTTCGCTGCCCAACTACCATCCTCGTGATATCATTGCAAACCTGAAGAGGCCGCGCTGGGGCCACCTGCATACTTCTGTTGGCAAGCTGCCAGAATTCCCAGAATGATGTGCACCCTGAGGTATATCCGATGCCAGCCAATCCAGGCTGGGAGCGGCATGTTTGTTTGACCCAACCAATCATGAGCCAGGAGATGTGCCCCTGGTATGCTGGCTTCAAGGGCAGCATTGTCCTGTTGAGACTCAGATTCCCTTGCCTTTCTCGACTCTTCAGCTGTGGAACCTCAGGTCCCCTGACAAGGTGGGCTACGACACTGTGGGGGTCGTCGAGAAGTCAAGCCCTCGTTGCCGTCATCACGGATGCACGGCTACATTTTGGCATGTCCGATGCCCTTCGTTCTATCTCATGAGAAGCCAGTGTCATGCCGAAGCACCCCATGGCCTTATGAGGTTCCATAGCCAAACGGTTGCTATGGAAGCATTCGACGAGTTAGACGGTGACAAGGATTCCTAGTAAAACAACAAATCACCCTGGCCCCTCAGCCCGACCTATCGCGTCAAAAGTCGAGTTGCCGAGGCGAGGCCCCACAACCTTGGAGATCACTGAGCTGCCCATCAAAAAATGGACTCAGGCGCGGAGACAGTCGCGTAAATAAACCGTCTGAACTTTGCCAGGCGGTTTTATCGCAGGCCTTTTGGATCAGGCTCCAAACCTCACTTTTTCCTTGGGACCCGATTCGTCGGGCTTTGCCCGACGGTTTTTTGGCTGGCATTGTGGCTTCAAGGCCACTCTCTTGTTTAGGGAGTCTCCTCCTTCCCACCCGGGCATTTCTTTCTTGGAGCGCAGCCCTGGGGTGGCTCTCAAAGGGAGATCAAAAGGCAGTTGCCTCGTTTTGGGTGCTCCATGCTGCCGGTCTTCCCAGGGTCCATCGGAGGTGAGGTGTTTGAGTGCAGGACTACAAGGAGGCAGTGTTGCAGGCCATGCTGTCCACAGAAGGTCCGGGCACTGGCCAGATCGAGGATTTCAAGGAACGGGGGGTCCGACCCGGGGTTGATCAATATTCCCTTCGGCCCCAGAATGACCATGATACAACTGAAGTTAATCCGTTCCCCAAATGACGCTAACGCCCACTTGATCCGCTCGAGGTTTGCTTACGCTGGGCCTTCGCACGATACAACTCGAGTTGCTCATTCAGTTCATGTCAAATAGGGCCCACAAAAAACTACCCCAGCGTTTGCCACCTACCGCAAAGACATCTAGTCCATGAGCATTTGAATCTGAAATTACGTAAAAAGTCAAACAAATTCACATGCAGTAGTCTACAGTAGCAACTGCGCGCCTTATCCTCGGCATCTTTGCTCCTCAGTGTTTCTTCTTCACTCCTTGTTTGCGGCTTAGTCTTCTTTTGTTCTATACGCCTTTTTTCAGACAGTTGAAAAGGGTCCCACCCAAAGAGCCCAACCAAAGCAGTCCAACCAAAGCGGTCCATAAACCTTTTTGCCGGCTGATCCAACCTAAGAAATCCTAAGATGGAAAGGGGGGGAGCAAGTTACAGCAAGTTGCTGGGCCAGACTCCGATTCTGGTAGAAAGCGAACATGAATTCGAACAAGACAAACTTAGTTGAACGAAGCACGCAAGACGGAGCCCTTTTGACAAGTGCAGTGGGAAGGGCCTTTGGTTTCCTCGCCAAAGCCAGGTAAAAACTAATGCACCAGGCAACGTCTAAGATTTTGCCAAGTAAGAAAGAAACCAAGCAAACTAGACAGACAATCAAGAAGAACCACAACTAATCCCTGAAGAAAAGACAAACATCACACATGATAGAAGAAACATAACAAATACAAATATTGAACAGCTTGATATACTTGGTCTAGTTTCGCCAGGTTTCACACCATGTCTTGCGTTTGTCACATGTTCTTTCCGGTCTTTACGGGCGCGGTTTGCAGTTTTTGTTCGCCCGTTTGTTTCTTGGCCTTTTTCCGCTTTGGTTCTCGTTCCCCCCCCCCCGCTTGTTTTTCGGCAATTCACACCATGTTTTTGCGTTGCTCTACTCCAACCCCTTCCGTCCGCCGGCAAAAAGCAGAACAAAAAGCGGGAAGCACACATTAAAACAGAAACACACATGTTGAACAACTCAGGGAAGAAGTTACATTTGTTCAATGTTTTTCTCGCAATTTACACCATGTTGTTGTGCTTTTTACACTTTTTCTGCTTGCCCTAGTTTTTTGCTTGCTTTGCTTTTTCAATTGCACATTCTTTTGGTGGGTTCGGCCCTCCTGACGATGTTTTGGAATCGGGTGATGCTGGCGATGCTGGCGATGTTGGCATGATGGGGCTCTCGGGGCAATGGAACACGCCAAGGTTTCCCCTACGCCTCCGAATCCGTTGTTCACCTTTCGCGTGTTTAGAAACCTGCTGAAACACAAACACAAAGCACAAACACAAACACGGAGCACGAAAGAATGGTCCTGATATTCAGGTAGGAAGACCGGTTTGTCTTTGTGTTGTGTGGTTTGCTCAAGGGAAGATGTAACGATGAACCATGCGTATTTGCTGGCAGTGCGCGCAGAATGCACAAAGTTAGCCGGAGAAAAGCGTGGCCGGAGGCTTGCCGCACAAAATTGCGTCGCTGCAAATGCAACCCCTTGAAGCTTTCAGGTGCAGTTGAGCGCAACTTCCCCGCTGGATTTTTGGAAATGTTTGACGAATGCGTGGCCAGCGGGTCCCCTCCTGTGCTGAAAGCGCGGCTTTCGAGCCGAGTGCACTTCGTGTGCGAAAAAGTTGCGACTTTTGAGCTGAGGCTGCGGAAGTTGGGGCTTTCAAGCCGGACTGCGGTGCTACTTGTTTTTAAACAAATCAAAATTGCCCTGCAAAAGTCTGAAAAGCCAAATCGGGCATGTGCCAGAAACACATATCAAGTCCCAACATGTCAAAGAGACAACCAACAAGACACAAGCCAAACAAACAAAGGAATGAAAAAAACACCCACACACACATGCAAAGCAAGCAACACCATTTCCCACACTCTTTGCCAAATTCCAAGCCTGTTGCAAAGGACCTCTAACTGTGGTGGTGTTGCTGTCTTTGCTTGTTGGTCTCTTTGTTTGTTTTAATTTCTGACACCAGGAGTGCCACACCGAGGCCATTGGATGTGCTTGCAAAGCAGTGTTGCTTTTGCACATCTGATTTGATGCTAAGCCTGCACTTAGGCAACTGTCCACTTCGTGATCACAGTGACTGAGGCGGAGTGACAGCCGCTCATTCCTGACGTGAAGATGGGCACTGCTTCAGTATCTATCAGATGAGCAACTGCGTTGATCAGGAGCAAATGGCAGCCCACGAGTATATAGGACAGCCACTCATGTGGGTATGAATGAGTCGAAAAAGGTGTTCCTCTTGGTTTCCCTTCAAACCAAGATGAACGCCACACACCAACACACAGCCAATTTGGCTGTGAGCAGAGAATTCGCTTGCTTTTCAGCAAGGCAAAACCCGCCTTCGCGCCGCCCTTTGCGCCTCAGGACTGGAGAAGTCCTTCAAGCTGCGAAGCTCGCTGTCGACCAACAACATGCCGCTGCCCAATTTGCCGGATGGCACGTCCTTCAGTGAAGTGCCACCTGCAAGGGGGTTATGTCTCATCTCAATTGCTTCCTGAAGCTCAGGATGTTCTTTGACAAGGATGGCAAGATCAAGCGCGACACTCAGTAGACAAAGTCAGTTTGGTCACAGCCCCACTTTAGGCGTGCACGGGTCGTCCTAGATTGAATGTCAAGCGAAGTGCGAAACACACACACACGGGTATATGGCGAAGCTATTCTGAACTGTGCCTGAGTTTGAGACTGAGTATGCAAACTAGGTGCCGCTCACACACGCACACACAAACACACATCGTTGGTCAAGCTTGAGGCGTTATTCGGACGAGAGACAAATCATTGAAGAGTTTGCAGAGCTGCGGCTCGAGTGCCCCAGCATTTTCACGCAGGCCGTTGCTATCCAGCGAATGTTTGACAAAGTGACTCAAAGGATTCATAAAACTTTGAAGCCATTTATGCTTGGTCGTTGCGCTTGTCCCAAATGCGGAGAACAGATTCGCCAAAGTCCTTCTTGTCAATGTGGAGCATAGATGGGTTCAACTTTCAGTTTGGTTGTGGCTGCCATCTTCCAAAACGGACACCTCCCCAGGTACTACCACAAGAGGAAGGCCCACTTGGTTCGGAATCTGAGGCGCAAAATCTCCCGACAGCCAGCAGTCGATTTTGACGGAAGTCGCAAGGATCCAGGCAGAAGTGCTGGCGGCAAAGGCGCGCTTTGTCCAAGAGGCCAGACTGACGGGGACCCGTGTCTTTTGAGTTGCCACCTTCTTTTTTTTGGATGGTTCCCCCGCAGACGGGGGGAACCACCGCTTTTGGGATCCCCTTTTTCAGACAAATGACCCAAATGAAACTTGTTTTCTTTAGAGTTCCTGAAGCCAACCCCAAAAAAGAGGAGCAGGCCCAGCCTTTGTCCCAGTCACGGATTTGTCCCGGTCTTGTTTTGGCACGGGTTTCTCCGCAAAATAAAGCCAACAAAGCAAGGGTGCCAATTCTGATCCCCCCCACCAAGCTTCCGAGGCATTTGTAGCCAAGTTTGGGCATTCCAAAACAGTCTTCCAAAGGCCTTCCTCAAATGTACCTTCCTGTCCACTAACATGGAACCCTCCAGAGGGTTCCTTGAAAAGCGGTCTTCCAGGATCCATCAGTCAGGTTCCATGTGGAAGGGAGGATACCCTCAAATCAAGCATATAATACTCGAGCAGGGGTGACAGCAATCGGTCCCGGAAGGTTATCGATGAGAAGCTCAAGGTCAAGAACCGCAAGAAAGACGTTTTGATCGAGGCCACTGCCCTTGGACCATTGGAGCTAGGAGCGTCCAAGGAATCTGCTTGAGGACCTACGCAACCATGGCTTCAAGACGCTTCATGAGATCACCGAAGGCCCTTCAGGACGTTTAGGTGAAGGTGTGGTAGGTGCAGTTTGTCAGGTGAAAGCCTAGAAGGAGTGGATGGACCTCAAGGGAAAGGTTGGGAGTACCTGCTCGGCATGCCTTTGTGGTGGGTACCTCAGCTTGGGATTCGTGTCTTGCCACTTGGAATGGAGGCTCAAATCAGGCTGAGCCACCTCAGGTGGAGAAGGGGGGGCCGTGTCCGCCGGATTTGTTTTGAGAACCCAGGTGGCTGCGGGTTTTGATAGCACAAGTAGTTGGTGGACATGAATCCCCACCTAAATGATGTCCACCAATTCAGATTCACACCCAGGTCATTGACTGCAGAGAGAGTGGCCTCCCTACTCGCCCAGCTCAAAGAGAAGCAGGCGCTTCCTTTTTTTGGCTCACACCATGCTTTCGGGAAACCGAAACTCCGTGCCACTGTTTTTTTTTTTTTTGCCTTTTGCACCTCACACTTATACCTTTTGCAAAGTTGAGCTAGGAGTTCAATCGTCCCTTATCCCACTCGTATTTGTTTTTAGCCTACAGTAACGGTTTGGAACAGAGGCCGTGCTTCAGATCATAGTTGCAGCTCATTGATGAATGTGAGGCTCCCGTTTTTTCACACCTCGCCGAGTTGTTACGCGTGTTGAACGGGGAACCAACATGAGCAACAAACAAAACTCAAGTTATCTAGAATATGTATTCGGCGGACATAGGTTTTACACAAGTGAAGAAAGCTGCGGGAAGCGATGGGGGCGTCCAAAAAACGATGCCCTGCTCTTGCATCAACAAACACGGAGTGAATATTGCTTGCGCCACTTGATCGCGGAGGTTCAAAGGACACCAAGCAGACACCATCCACTTTGCAAGTCCCTCACAAAACGACAAACCCAAATCAACACTCAGCTGTTGCTAGATGTGCCAGGTGGCGTATGGCTGTGCTTGAAGCTAGACCACCATCATAACATGTAGAAAGAAGATGCGGCGATGCCCAAAGCGATGCCCAAACGATGCCCGAAGCGATGCTTAAAGGTCTTCAAGTTGCCGAGTTGCCCAAAGCCCTTGGTTTTGGTCTACCACCCTGCAGCAGAACCCTGCAACAGCGCTGTGCAACAGCACCCCTGCGCAACTCTGAGTCTCGGCCTGCAGCAGCACCGTGCAACAGCACATTGCAGCATTGATGCGCAAGCTGGTCAAGTAAGTAGAAGAGCCTTAAGGGGAAGCAATTAAGTTTAGTAGCGAAGGTTGGCTTGAAACTCAAGACAACATCTTGTTATGTTTGGAAGCCTCTTGGCTTGGATGTTTGGGGCAATGGGGTCCATTGCAATCAGACACACCCGTGCTTGAACATACAACATGTAAGACTGAAAGAGCGATGCCCTGAAGAAGCAAAGCGCAAAGAAACATGCGGGAAGCAATGGGGGCGTCCCAAATTAGCAGTGTCCACTGCAGGATACAAGGAGTTTAGACAGCACACATGGAGGTTGATACGGGAATAGAATGGGCTCCACCCCGGTTTGCGTGTGTCATGGGGATGTTTTGAGCTCACAGGCCGAGCTGGAAGAGCTGGAATGTACAGCTCCCGAGGAGCTGGATATGTGCCCAAGGGCTTTGGACCCCCAAGGTGTTTGCGGAAAAAAACCCTTCCAAACTGACCTGAAAAGGAAATCGTGGCTTTCCTTTTGGTTCCCCCTGCAAACCAACCAGAAAGGGATACCCTGAAAACACACACCCAAACCCATCGCAGCTGGTAGGACATGTGGGAAGTGGACCTCAACGCCATTATGGAAGAGCCTGGAGCTTTGCCGGCGCCGGTTTTGGTTGGATCAGATTGGATGGGTTGCGCGCAGTGTTTGTTTCGGCCGAGGGACTTTCCCCAGTAAGTTGAGTACATGCTTCCTTTGCTTTTGAGAGAATTTGAGTAAAACATGTTGAAGGAACGAGTGCAAACCCGAGGCTGACAGTTATGGAGGCCAGAATCAAAACTGCGGCTGCAGAGGTGCGAACTTCATGTCGTCAGCGAATGCGTCTAGAATTAGGCATGGGCTTTAAGGCTCTAAGAAGCAGCCCCTTTTGGCGCATTCCCAACGGCATGGACACCTGCGGAGCATTCTTGGTGCGGGTGCTACTCCGCCTTTGGATTTGGTTCCTGCTCCATTCCCCTTTTAGGCCCTTGTGGTCTCAAACGCCTTCTTGGCCAGCTCCTGTTCCAATCCGTATATTTGCCCTTGTTCTAAGCGCCTGTTGGCCAGTTAAGTTTGTGCCAGGAGAGGACGGCTCAAAAGCGGGCAGCCGCAAGTCTGGCGCCGGCGCCTCAGAATTCGCCTCACTCCGAATGAGCTACGCGGATGAGCGAAAGCTTGGTGGGCTTTTGTTGAGTTGGTACTGCATGTACCCCTTTTCGGTTCTGCTTGTGACCCGCGATTTTGTGCAGATCCATGAGGGATGTGTGTCAATCCCGCCAAGGCAGTCATCCAAGAAATCAAAGACCATGAGGCAAGCAATTCGAAGGGATGCTCTCGCACGGAACCAACATAGAACCGCCAAGACAGTTTTCCTCCAAAAGGGACCTGGTGAGTTCCATGTTGGTGGACGGGAGAGCAGCGATCCTTTTGCCGCTTTGAGCCATCAGGTTGACCCCAAAAAGGTGGTTTGGATTTGTCGACTTGAAACCTGGATCTTGAGGGCAAACCAAGCCACTCGGGGCCGGGCGGGGAGCTGAGTGAAGTTGCAGTCCCGCTCAGTACCATGGCCCCGCCACCAGTGCTGACTCCGGGGCAGATTTCCGCGACAGCGCTCGCAGAGATGCAGGACGGATATGTCTCCTGTTTAGGGAACCAGTGTTTTTTGTTGGTGCTTGGTGTAGGGAAAGCATGGGACACCGACCGAATTTGGCTCCCCTTGGATGGTTAAGGGAAACCGCAGGGCCCATTCATGGTGGGCCCCCGAATTCTGCGAACCCGAACCCAAATCCTTCCATCTGCCCGTGCGAGGAGCGGCAACTGAAGTCCACCATCTCAGAGTTCCCGGGCCTCTTCGATGACATCGTCCCGGCACGCTTCTGCGCTTTTTTCCCACCCATTCTTTTTCTTCCGCAGTCAGCCCTTAAGCCCGATGCCGCTTTGGGTTCAAGTCTAATTGCCTTGGGGTGATCCAACAATAAACTCTGCTTCCGTGTCGTGTGGTCAGCTCGATTTCACACAACTGGCAACCGTTTCTGTCAGAAGAAGCCGCCGCCGCCTCCTGGACTGGAACGCCTTGCCAGCAAAGGCCCGGGAGTTGGCACGTTCTTGCTTCGCCTTTGAGCTTGGGGGGTGTCCAAAAATTGGGGGATTTGACAGGGGTGCTGCTAGGGACCATGTGGCTGTGGGTCAAAACCAATGGCACCATTTTGGGGTAGGTGCACCACCCATTTTAGTCTATTTTAGTTGGGATTGGGATGTTCACTGGGGAAACGGGATTTTGACCCATGGCCATGTTTGCAGGCAAAGTGGCGGATGAAGGCGGCGAGGAGTCTGTGAAGCCAAAGCCGGGCTGCCTTGTGTCATATCTTCCGCGGTATGCGCAGCCTTGCAACAGGGATGTCTTCTTTTGATGGTACCCCTTTTTGCGGTTTGAAGGGAAACCAAAAGCAAACCACCATTTGGGGGTGGGGGGCGTTTTTTTTTTTTTTCAACCACACACACACACACACACACGCCGGGATTTGTGAGGGCTAAAGCCTTCTTTGCCAAGAAGGCCCGGAAGTTGCTTTCATTTGCCCATGTACACGGACTAATGCAACTTGTTCGACATGCCCATCTGAGGTGCGGGTGGTAGCGAAGGCCAAAGCCAAGTCGTCTTCCCAGCATGCGATTTGCTTTGTGGTGAACTAACGTCGCATAGCCGCAATATTCAACAACACGGAGCTGCACGAGTCTCTCCTGTGGACATGTTTACATTAAATATGTCCTGGTATATATATATACATTGTATAATACATATCACACATATACATATCGGGTCCGGGCTGTATTCCGAGCCTCCGGATGCGTCATGTGAAGTTTCCCAGGTCCAAGTCCAAAGCTGGCGGACGGGGCCGTGGCAAAGCAGCTCGTGGCGGGCGCGGGCGGAAGTGACGATCCAAATTGGCGCAGCTCGAGTCAAGTGCTCGGCAAAACGTTCCGGCCATGACCCTCTTTAGGTGGAAGAGGAAAGGATGTCAGATTTTTCCCAGCTTTTGTGAAAGGGAATGCCTACCTTGCCCATTTTTCCCACTCAGCCTGACTTGTGTCAAACATTGTTTTGCTGGCTCAGCTCGTGACGTCAGACTGCGCCATATTGGTGCAGTCGGGGTGGGCCTAGTCTGACAGCGCTAGAGCAATCGGAGCGCGCTTGGGGTTTTCGCGTCACGCTTGCAACATGGTGCCGAAGCTGCTCGCCGATCCCATGTGATATCAGCCACAATGAAACCTGGTGAAGTAGGGGAAGTGCTAACCATGAATAGGGTTCAATAGGCGCGGTCGCCCATTTGATTGTTTGCAGTTTTTTTGGGGGCACACATGGACGTGTTAGTCAGGCTACGGAACGAGGTTCGCAGTTTTTGTCCAGGCTGCACGCAACGATTCACTGAAATCCTGATTGGGGTGTAGCCGTTTGGGCTTGAGTTGGCGTAGCAAGCAATCCAATCAAGCCTACGGGACAGTCGCGTTATTATTTGGTTGATACGCGTTTATATGCTGCAAGCAAGCATTCAGAAGCTTAATGCAGCTGTGTGTTTGAGTGGTTGTTCCTAAACCTCGGTTGTATATCGAAAGCCATGGCGGAAGAGTGCCCACGGCAGACTTGAATGCATCTCTTTCACACTGGCCATCTAAGTTGTGCCGGGCGTGCGCATCCTGCCAGGTCACTGGCGATTTTGCCGCGGAGCATGGGCCAACAGCCCACACAGAAGAAGAAAGCCTGCGACTCGGGTCGCTGGGCCGAGAGAGTCGCATGCTGCCGAAATTCGCAGGCCGCTCCGCGGAAGTTCATCCCATCGCAGAAGGGTGGGGCTGAATCGAGATGGGGTGTTTTTGCGGTGCCTGTGGTTTGCCAGGCGCGCTCATCACAGACAATCCATTAGAAGAGGCTCGTACTGGCATGTGACAGCATCTCCTTGTAACACCTGTCCAGGAGTGTGCGTACTCTTTCTCCGACAGCCCTGCTTATCTAAGACAGAAGAAGGCAGGGGAAGGGCCTTCACTTCTTTCACGGGATATCTATGACTCAAGGCCGAAGACGACGCCAAACGTGCTGCTGAGCTGGAGGGCAAGGCCAGTTCATCTCTTTGGCCCGACATTCCCCCCAGTCCGCTGGCCCTCAGGAGGAAACCCGCGGCTTTTTGAAGAGCGTCGAGGATTTGGCTCACAAGCAGAAGCGCTTGGCTCAGATGGCTGGTGGCTTGGAACTAAGCCACTCATGTCAAGGTGGGAAGAAGCCTTCCACGTTCTAGAGAAGCGCACCGCAGTGCCCAGTGGTGCGGTTGCCATTCTGCACTGTCTTAGTCATTGTTGGCTGGAATGCAGGGCTGTTCCTTGTGACTCGCGCGCTTCTTCGGTGGAAGCTTGCGCCTCAGCTGTGGCACATGCAGGCGTTGGGTCACTTTTTTTAGAATTGAATAAACATATCATGGATGAGGAAGCTTTGTGGATAAAGGCCAAAATGCCGAAAAGCTATGACCATCCGCATTTCAGTTTTACGTGGCTCCCAAGTTCCAGACACTCAGGTTCTACCACTATAGCTCGGCACTTCGGGATGCTGAAGAGGCCTGGGCGTGCTTTTGGCGTGGCAGACACGCAATTTGACCGGGGAGGCTGCACAACAAGGTTTTATTATTGAGTCACTCAAACCCGGGGGGGTCATGTACTCCCGACTCCCAAAAGCAGTATTCCTTCGGTTCGGTTCAGTTTCGATTGTAAGCTGCAATTCTTTGTTGAGTTCGTTTCGGCTTCGGTTGCGAGATTTGCGGACTCATCGGTTCAATTCACAATTCTCTTCGGTTCTGGCGGCGTTGCACACCCAAGGCAGTTTGGCAGCCCGTCCATGGACATCTTGTGTTTTTTTCCTTTTGTTTTTCCTCTTCTTTTTTTTTCCCCCCGGAGTCAAACAACGTATCTAGATGCATACATACATGCGTACGTAGGTACATGCATGCATGCATGCATGCATGCATCCGAACCAACCTATCTACTTACATACAATCATACGTACATAGATCCGTGCATACATAAACACATACACACATACACACATACACACATACAAAACTACGTAGGCACGTACATGCATACATACATACACACACACAAATACACTCATACACTCATACATACATACATACATACATACATACATACATGCATGCATGCATGCATGCATGCATACATACATACATACATACACACACATACATACATACATACATACATAAATACATTCATGCATACATACATACATACATACATACATACATACATACATACATACATACATACACACATACATACATACATACACACATAAATTCACACATAAATACACATACATACATACATACATACATACATACATACATACATACATACATACATACATACATACATACATACATACATACATACATACATACATACATACATACATACATACATACATACATACACACATACACAAATACACAAATACACAAATACATACATACATACATAAATTCACACATAAATGCACAAATACATACATACATACATACATACATACATACATACATACATACATACATACATACATACATACATACATACATACATACATACATACATACATACACACATAAATTCATACATAAATACACAAATACATACATACATACATACATACATACATACATACATACATACATACATACATACATACATACATACATACATACATACATACATACATACACAAATACACAAATACACAAATACACAAATACATACATACATACATACATACATACATACATACATACATTCATACATTATATTACTTTAGAGCCTCCGGCTCAGTCCGCCGACATTGTCCTCTCCCTTTTCTCCTTCTTCCTCTCTTCCTTGTCTCCCTTGTGTGTTCTGTCGTCCTCTCTCCCTCCCTCTGCTCCCATCCTCCCCATCCCCCCAAGCCTCTCTCTCCCCAATCTCCCTCTCTCGTATGTATGCATGCATGTACATAAGTATGTATGTATGCATGTATGTATGTATGTATGTATGTATGTATGTATGTATGTATGTATGTAATGTAAGCAAGTAAGTAAGTAAGTACGTGTATGTATGTATGTATGTAATGTAATGTAATGTAATGTAATGTAATGTAATGTAATGTAATGTAATGTAATGTAATGTAATGTAATGTAATGTAATGTAATGTAATGTAATGTAATGTAATGTAATGTATGTATGTATGTATGTATGTATGTATGTATGTATGTATGTATGTATGTATGTATGTATGTATGTATGTATGTATGTATGTATGTATGTATGTATGTATGTATGTATGTATGTATGTATGTATGTATGTAATGTATGTATGTATGTATGTATGTATGTATGTATGTATGTATGTATGTATGTATGTATGTATGTATGTATGTATGTATGTACATATGTATGTATGTATGTATGTATGTATGTATGTATGTGTATGTATGTATGTATGTATGTATGTATGTATGTATGTATGTATGTATGTATGTATGTATGTATGTATGTATGTATGTATGTATGTATGTATGTAATATGTATGTATGTATGTATATGTGTATGTATGTATGTGTGTATGTAATGTAATGTAATGTAATGTAATGTATGTAATGTATGAATGAATGTATGTATGTATGTATGTATACGTATGTATGTATGTATGTATGTATGTATGTATGTATGTATGTATGTATGTATGTATGTAATGTATGTATGTATGTATGAATGTATGTATGTATGTATGTAATGTATGTATGTATGTATGTAATGTATGTATGTATGTATGTATGTATGTATGTATGTATGTATGTATGTATGTCATGTCATGTCATGTCATGTATGTAATGTAATGTATGTACGTATGTATGTAATGTAATGTAATGTAATGTATGTAATGTAATGTAATGTAATGTAATGTAATGTAATGTAATGTAATGTAATGTAATGTAATGTATGTATTAATGTAATGAATGTAATGAATGTATGTATGTAATGTAATGTATGTATGTATGTATGTATGTATGTATGTATGTAATGTATGTATGTATGTATGTATGTAATGTATGTATGTATGTATGTAATGTATGTATGTATGTATGTATGTATGTATGTAATGTAATGTATGTAATGTAATGTAATGTAATGTAATGTAATGTAATGTAATGTAATGTAATGTAATGTAATGTAATGTAATGTAATGTAATGTAATGTAATGTAATGTAATGTAATGTAATGTATGTATGTATGTATGTATGTATGTATGTATGTATGTATGTATGTATGTATGTATGTATGTATGTATGTATGTATGTAATGTAATGTATGTATGTATGTATGTATGTATGTATGTATGTATGTATGTATGTATGTATGTATGTATGTATGTATGTATGTATGTATGTATGTATGTATGTATGTATGTATGTATGTAGGTAGGTAGGTAGGTAGGTATGTATGTAATGCATGTATGCATGTATGCATGTATGTATGCATGCATGTATGTATGTATGCATGCATTCATGCATGTATGTATGTATTTCCCGCAAAAAACACGGTTTTTCCAGCGTTTTCGCAAAGAGGACGTCCAAAAACATTGAGTTTTTCCAGATTTTCGGCAAAAGGATGCAGGAAGCCCAAGCCAGCAAAAAAGCCGGCAGGGGGAATCGAGCCTGGGACCCCTGTTTTGCGACACCGGCTCCCCGAAGACTACGTTTAGTGGAACGTCATCAAATTGCCGCGCGGTACGTGGGGGACCCCCCCCCCCGCGCATGTTTAACAGTTATACTGTCCGGCAGTGTTCAACGTACCCCCCCCCCCCAAAAAAAAAACCTACGTAATAGACGTCGGGCGGGGGGGGGGTTAGGGGGGGGGGTTATCCTCTATCCTCTAGTAAGTATCCGACACGCCGAGCAATGTCGGCGGACATTACAGTACATTACAGTACATTACATTTCAGTACATTACATTACATACATTACATACATTACATACTTTACATACATTACATACATTACATACATTACATACATTGCATACATACATACATACATACATACATACATGCATGCATTCATGCATACATACATACATACATACACAAATACACACATACATACATACATTACATTACATTACATTACATTACATTACATTGCATTGCATCGCATTACATTACATTACATTACATTACATTACATTCATTCATTCATACATACATACATACATACATACATACATACATACATACATACATACAGTACATACATTACATACAATACATACATTACATACATTACATACATTACATACAGTACATACACTACATACATTACATACAGTACATACATTACATACATTACATACATTACATACATTACATACATTACATACATTACATTACATTACATTCCATTGCATTGCATTGCATTGCATTGCATTACATTACATTACAATACATTACATTATATACATACATACATACATACATACATACATACATACATACATACATACATACATACATACATACATACATACAACTGTACGTACATACATACATACATACATAGATACATACACAGACACACGCATACGTATTTTCCGAGGTTGCTTTGAGCTGGCCCTTTCGCACCAGGGCTGCTTTCAGAGAAAGCTCACTGTTTGGGCCAAATCGGGGAGTTTTATTGGAGTTTCCGTGTGGCGTTGCGCTGCACGTTCACAACCCCTCAGACTAGGGATGCGTGCCAGCAAAATAAATGCTTTTTCAGCCTCCACAAGAAACATGTTGGCTACAGTTTTCCTGAGATTCCTGGGCTAGAGGGCGTGGTTTCAAGAAATTATTTTAATGGCTAAAACAACAAAGCAACAAACATCTTGGCAACAGTCTTCCCGATTTTTCAGGGCTTGAAGCTTTTTGATGCTGAAAATGCTTTTGGTGTTTCCAAAAAAGTCCAAAGTCAGCATTCAGAAGAGAAGCAGGGTTCACCATCGGCTTGGCTTCCAACCATTTGCATTGATTTCGGGTTGGCTCGAACAGTTCCAGTTCAATGTCGCGGCTTCAAGGGAAATGTTTGGGAACCAATTTTTCCCAACCAAACCAACGAAATCCCTGGGTGAAAAGGGCCCCTTTGGTGGCCAATCGAAACCTGCAGGCACTGAAGAACTACGGCAGCTCCACCAAGGCTGCGCAGTCTCGAGCCAGTCGAAGCGGGCAATCTCGACAGAAATGTTGGCGTTTCCAAAGGGTTTCCAAAGGGTTTCCTTTGGGTTTCCTGTGGGTTTCTTGTGGGTTTATTGTGGGTTTTTCTTTAAATACCAACCATCAGGGGGTCCACCGTTTTGAGAAGCTCCCATGCATTGTCAATAGACAAAGGGTGGGCCATGGGACGCTCATCCACTCTTTCATAAGGATAGACACGGGATTTGATGGTTGAACTATTCCCTTTAACAGAGAGGAACCGTGACCCATGTTCACCACACTCGACTCAATGGTTTCCACGCGGGGTATATCCTATTGAATCCCGGGGTGTGTGGGTGGAACCTACAGATCGAGCTCAGGCGGGCCCACTGGCAGCGGCGCTGGCATCCTTTGCCCGGCTCTGCTTGGGCTCAGAGGTGCGAGACAAGGTGTGGATGGCCTGAGTGGGGATTGAGGGCCACCTACAATTGGAGCATTGCAATCGAAGCGAGGCTCATGCGGCCCCAGGAAATCCCATCTCGCAGGTCAGAAGGTGAGAACCGCTCCCTTCACACCGCACCCGTCCACACCCGCTTTCTGGGGTATGAATCTGTGCAGGGCTCATGCTCCAAAGAGCTCCGTCCGTTGCTGGAAGAGTGGGAGCAGGCACGTTTCATCCTCTGGTTGAGAGGGCAAGCTTCCCACCCCAAAGTTGTAGATGTAGATTCCTACAGCAAGGACCATTTTGGAAGGGGGTCCTTTTTGCCGCCCCTTTTGTGGAAAGAATGGTCGACCCCCCTGGTAGTGAAGGATTCCTTTTTGAGGGGGTCGCCCATTTTCTCACACAAGGTGGCAAAAAGACCCCCCTGCATGTTGGCCCAACATCACTTCGTCCCGTTGGGATCCTCATGTGTTGTCCGCTGTCAGGCCGAGGATGCAGCGCTGAAGAGGCCTTGATTTTTCGAAATCGCGGGGAGAGATTCACCAGGGAGCTGCCGGGATGTTAGGGCTTAACAGAGATTGTAATGCAAAGAGCCTCCACACTCAACAGTTTTTTTTGGACAACTTGTTTCACTACTGTTCAGGCGACCCTCAGTTGGTGGTTTGGATTGTTGGTTTGGGACTTGACCCCTTGGCTTTTGTAGAGGGTAAATGAGAAACCCCTCTTTTTCCACCAAATCACCACTCCAAGCCACCAAAAGGGAAGCTGAAATTTGGACACAAGAAGACTTGACTACACCACAAGCCACCAAATTGTGTTTGGTACAGGAAGACTTTGACGTCTGGTCGCCTTATTTTTTTTGGTCCCTCGGCTCTCACGAGGCACGCTCTTGGCCAGGACCTCGGCGCATCGCGCATGGGCTGAGGGAAGTGCCTCGCGCTAGGCCAAGGGCTCTTCAAGGTTCGTCAGGAGGAGCGCTTGCCGGGAGCCAAGTGCCAGAGGGTCTTTGGGGGGGCGAGGGGCAGTGGGGGAAGTTGGGGGGGTGGGGCAGTGGGGGGGTGGGGGCAGTGGGGGGGGGGCTCGATGCGTTGGAGGGTGGCCTATTCAGTAGTTTTTGTGTTTTCCATGGAACGAGTCCCAACAGCTCCTTCTGTGCACGTCATCAGTGGCTCTTGGGACAGCTCTCAGGTCGGAGCCCGTCTGCGTTGAGGGTATGCAGGCCAGCGGGGTTGGGCACGCACTCCCAAAACCGTGTTTCTCTCAATCTCCACCTGGTCTTTTTTAGGGCACCCGTTTGTGGTTGCTTTCAAGGGACACCAAAAGGCAACCACCTATTTCAGGGGTTTCCCTATTTTGAGACACATCCACCTAGGGCAACGCAGTTTAAGAGTTCGCTCGTCAGGCGGAGGATGGCACGTACCCCGCCGGAGGTGTCCGCTTGGGGTGGCGAACCTGGAATTTGTCAGAATCGGGACGGGGGGAAGGCGCGCAGCTCAGGTATGTCCTGTTGAAGAATCAGCAGGATGCCACCGCACCCTTTATCCTTCACTTTCACGGTAGCGGCGTCGTTCTTAGACACAGTTGGTTGCTTCAAGTCAAGGCGAACAAATTGGGGGTGGTATGATCAGGGGATGGGAATCAGGCGAGACAGCTGCAGATTATCGACGTCCACAGCTGGCAGAGAAGTACCGGGTGCGTATGCGTTCATTGATCGCGTGAAAGGGAGGGATGGTGACTCCAGCTGTGCACTTGAGTTTGGCAGGATATTCCTGTACATTTACTTGTTGCTGACTACAGGGGCTACGGCATCGCTCTCAGGATGTGTTACGTCTTTGTTAGACATTCCTGGATTGCATCCTGGCTCATTGACATTTGACAGCCGGTTTGATTGGGCATGGGTTTTTGAACCCCCCCCCGTGGTTTTCCTTTTCCCCGTTTTCTTGCGGGGGTTCCCTCAACTGGCTACGAGTTTTGTAAAGGGAATCACCTCGCAAGTTAAACAGAACCAACAAACAAACACATCCAACAATACCTCTTCGGTGCGGCCTTTTTGCTCCATGAGAAGTCACTGGGGTGAAGGCTGGTCAGCCGGCGAGCCCTCGCTGGCGACTTTCCTGAAGGACGTCCCGGACTAAGCGTCGATGGCACGGGGCGAAAATGGTTGGGTACCCTTTGCAACCTGAGGTTTAAAGGGACACGAAAACGCCAGCGCTTGTGGGTTCCCCTACTTTGACACACACACACACACCCAATGGGCCCATTTTGGGTAGCCCGGTCTGCCAGAGGCTATTGAGGAATAGTTGTTATTTACAAAAGAGGATCTGCCAGCAAGTGGCGAAAAGCCGCACCCAGGCAGAAGCCTTGGCAGAAAAGCTGTGGGTGACCAAGCATTGAATCGGCAAAGCCATGGAATGGCACATGCGTGTCACAGTTCACAACAAATAGCTTCCAGACAGTACATGTAATTCAAAAGGACGTGGTGTGGTTGTTTGAATTGACGAGTTTCGCTTGATCCGCTTGGTCGCTTGGTCCAGCCGGTCTGGGAAGGGCGACGTTGTTGAGGCCTGAGCTTTTTGTGCAGCATGGCCTTGCCTGGCCGTATCCTGGACCTGAACTCAACCGGGGGATACATGGGTATGTGTCAGTCAGCTTTCTCCTTGGCTTGCCTTACCCAACTTGAAATGGCTATCCACGGGTTCTGGGCTATGAAAAGGCTCATGGTCGACAGAGACTCAGGCGGTCTGATCCTTTCTGGTAGATCCCTCGGCGCACAGGCAGGAGATGCCGGATGCAGAGCAGCGCCCGAACACCCCCCCTTTGGCCATTTTGGTTGGTGGTCGGTGGTTCTATTAATTACCTGGTTGAATTGGGGCTATAGTAAAGCCTGTATACACCTTTATAACCATCCTAGTGGAATGAAAGGTCAATGGAGTTCGGGCACTGCTCAAGTAAATCTAGTGGAGTTCTTGACATGTTGCCTTTTCCATTCCTGCGCCAGGTTGCCGTGCATCTGGCAGTGATGTTTCCCACACTCTTTAGGCCACTACACCAATTTTTCTGCTTGTCCATGGCCTGACCTCTGACCTTGTGCAGGGCAATGGTTCTTGCCAGCAACTCAATGAACCAGAATGAGTGGCTTGAACCATTGAGTAGGTCTCAACTATGAACCAGCAACTCATCTTATTGACTTGGTCTCACCAGGCATTTGCGGCATTGACATTTGTTGGTTCAAGGCATTTTGAGCTGGAATGTGCTCAGAAAGCCAAGGACTCTGCGATGGCCACTTCCGCAACTGGAGACCGTTCCGCGCTGAGATCATTTTGCACACGGGACACGCGAACCCTGCACTGCAGTGCCAGGCTTGGGCGATTCCAGGTTAGCGGTGCTGAAGCAGTGGCGCAAGGAGGGCCTGCTTCCCACTTCATCCTTCAAAGCTTCCTGGCATGTGGGCATGTGAGGTTCTGTCACCCCACGAAAACCAAGGGACTTACTCATTTTCCCAAGTCCATGTAGGAGCTCGAGAACGCCAATCTGGAGGCGAAATCAGCGGTGCCCAGAAAAGATACATTTGTAGATGCTTCAGGTGCTTCAACCGTTGGACGCAGAGATGTGGACGCTGGGTGCACTGGATAAGATCCGTGGCGACCTCAAAGGTCAGAGAGCGTTGGTCCAGATGCCGTCTTTCCAGGTGCTTTTAATGGACAGCTCTTACTTCTGCATGGTCTCAGCGACGACCTTGTGAGCAGAGGGTAGCTGATTATTCCACGTGAGACTTCGGCAGCTGTCCAATGCGTGTATGTTTTTTTTTTTGTTTTTTTTGAGGGTATCCTTTTCAACCCGGGCACGCAAACACACACACACACACACACAAAAGTACACACCCATGTCATTGTCAAGCTGCCTGGCAGCGAGGTACCTTACGAGGGTAGCGAGAGCCTACATGCCGCTGCGGCATCGCGCCAGAAGGAGATCATCTTGATCAAGGACCGGAAGGAATGTCGGATAGTAGGAAATGTCTGGAAAGTCGGCGATCGAGTGAAGGCTCAAAAGTACAGTAGTCAAATGGACATCAACCATTTGGCACGTCCAATCCATTTGCCGTGTTGCCTTTGCCATTTCGTTCGCCGAAAGTCCTGGCTCATGCCTCAGCGGCTTGTCACAGGAAGCGAACCACAACAACATCGGCCAGCACCAAGAGTATTGGCATTCGTTGCGGCGCTTCGCCCTCAAGGCCAGCACGCAGGTGTGCCGCGATTGATCCTCATGGGCGCATCTATCTCGCATTTTGTCCAGACACTCGCACATATGTTTGTATCTATATATATATATATATAGGTGTGTATACATATATATATATATGTACATATATGTTCGTATACATATATACATGAAGGGCAAGATTCTACACCCCGCACGTGGAAGGCCCTTTCCTGCCATTGGACAAGTCAGCCTTCAGGCGCAAGTCGCACAGGTTCAGCTGGACAGCAGCCTTCCATCCGTGGGCCCGGCGGAGCCGGCAGAGGTTACGAGCCAAGTGTGGCGAAGCTTTGGAGAGAACTCCCCTGCAAATGGCAATGGCTTCTCATGGTGTCCGAGTGGTGCGAATCGGATTTCATCCACAGGGGTGTATGTTCACAGAATTCGGGCAACTTAGTTGGTGAGCGTGGTGTCTTCCCATTTGCTTCGGAGTGCAAGTGTCAAGTTACCAGCCGAATCGCCAGCTAAGGGGTAGATGCTCGATTGGTGCAGGATGCTGCCCATGAGCTGGATGCATTCATGACGCCAGGCTGTGGAACACTTGTGCGCGGTTTGTGCGCAGAAAGCGGTCTCCAAATGCGGCTCACGCCTTAGTGGGGTATCTCCCAGTTGAATTGGTTGCGGAGAGTACTGGTGGGGCCCTTGTTGACCAGTGAGAACCGAGGAGTAGGCATGAAATGCAAAGACGTGGGCCACTATGCAACACTACGATGCCCCACGTTTTTGGTTGCTGAAGCGGACTGAGGCCGTTGCCAAAAGGTGTGGTACTGTTCGCGATCGCACCAGGCGGGTAGATGAGCGCAGACGAAAGCACGCTGCTGACGTTGTTGCAGTCGAGGGATAGCGCCTTCAGAGGGAAACGAAAACATGCGGGAATCCAGGCTCACCAAGTTCATCACCGTCTCGGCTAACATGGAAGCTCCCAGAACCCTTTTGGAAGACTTGGTTCCACTTTTAGTGGCCTGGGAGTTGCCATGTTGGTTTGAGGGAGTGTGAGTTGTGTCATTTTGGTTGTTTCGTTTTACGTTGAGGCCGATCACTGGAAGACTCACAAGGTCTCCTGCCAGGGCTGGGGACTGAATGCACATGAGTTTTAACATGCGCAGATGGTGGATGGACATCAAAAATGTCATGATCCCTGTAAATGATGTCTACAGGGTCCCCAATCGAAATTCACACTCACCTTGGTAGGAGCAAACTGGAATCATGGCTTGAAGCAGGAGTTTGAGCTGAGGTGGGGCTGAACCAACACCCAAGGCGCACATCGACAGTTGAAGCAGATTGTTGTGAGCAAGGTCAATGTTTGCAGCTGCTTTTGCGGGGTTTGATGTTTGCTGCTGTTGCTGCTGTTGCTGCCTGAATGTTTGCTGTTGTTGCTGCTGTTGCTGTTCTTGCCGCTGTTGCTGCCTTTGCTTCTGCTACTGCTGCCGTTGTTGCCGTGGTTCTTGAGGTTCTTGTTCGTCATCAGTGTTATTGCCGTTCTTGTCATTGTTCTCAGTGGTCGTCGTCTTCGTCGTCTTCGTCGTCGTTGTCGTCGTCGTTGTCGTCGTCGTTTGTTGTTGTGTGCTGTTTGTACGTTGTTGGCTGTCGGTTGTTGATTGTTGGTTGTTGTTTGAGGTTTGTATTTTGTTTGCTTGTTGCATGTTTGAGGTTTGCATTTTGTTTGCGTGTCGCATGCTTGATGTTTGTGTTTGTGCTTGTTCTTCTTGTCGTCCTCGTCGTCGTCGTCGTCGTCGTCGTTGTTGTTGTTGTTGTTGTGGTTGTGGTGGTGCTTGTTCTTCTTGTTGTTGTTCTTCTTGTTGTTCCTGTTGCTGTTGCTGTTGCTGTTGCTGTTGCTGTTGCTGTTGCTGTTGCTGTTGCTGTTGCTGTTGCTGTTGTTGTTGTTGTTGTTGTGGTTGTGGTTGTGGTTGTGGTTGTGGTTGTGGTTGTGGTTGTGGTTGTGGTTGTGGTTTGTGGTTGTGGTTGTGGTTGTGGTTGTGGTTGTGGTTGTGGTTGTTGTTGTTGTTGTTGTTGTTGTTGTTGTTGTTGTTGTTGTTGTTGTTGTTGTTGTTGTTGTTGTTGTTGTTGTTGTTGTTGTTGTTGTTGTTGTTGTTGTTGTTGTTGTTGTTGTTGTTGTTGTTGTTGTTGTTGTTGTTGTTGTTGTTGTTGTTGTGCTGTTGCTGTTGCTGTTGCTGTTGCTGTTGCTGTTGCTGTTGCTGTTGCTGTTGCTGTTGCTGTTGCTGTTGCTGTTGCTGTTGCTGTTGCTGTTGCTGTTGCTGTTGCTGTTGCTGTTGCTGTTGCTGTTGCTGTGTGCTGTTGCTGTTGCTGTTGCTGTTGCTGTTGCTGTTGTTTGTTGTTGTTGTTGTTGTTGTTGTTGTTGTTGTTGTTGTTGTTGTTGTTGTTGTTGTTGTTGTTGTTGTTGTTGTTGTTGTTGTTGTTGTTGTTGTTGTTGTTGTTGTTGTTGTTGTTGTTGTTGTTGTTGTTGTTGTTGTTGTTGTTGTTGTTGTTGTTGTTGTTGTTGTTGTTGTTGTTGTTGTTGTTGTTGTTGTTGTTGTTGTTGTTGTTGTTGTTGTTGTTGTTGTTGTTGTTGTTGTTGTTGTTGTTGTTGTTGTTGTTGTTGTTGTTGTTGTTGTTGTTGTTGTTGTTGTTGTTGTTGTTGTTGTTGTTGTTGTTGTTGTTGTTGTTGTTGTTGTTGTTGTTGTTGTTGTTGTTGTTGTTGTTGTTGTTGTTGTTGTTGTTGTTGTTGTTGTTGTTGTTGTTGTTGTTGTTATTGTTGTTGTCCACTCTTCTTCTTGTTCTTCCTCTTGTTCTTTTTTTCTTCTTGTTTGAGTTCTTGTGCTTGTGCTTGTCCTTTTTATTGTTCCCTTTCTATTTTTCCTGTTTTGGCTGTGGCTGTGGCTGTGGTCGTGGTTGTGCTTGTGGCGGTTGTTTATGCTGTTTCTCTTGCTGTTTCTCTTGCTCTTGCTCTTGCTCTTGCTGGCTGTTGCTGTCGATGTCGTCGTCGGTCTTTATCTAGATCGTTTTCTTGCTCTTGTTCACAACGTTCCTAGTGTCATGATTAGTCTTGTTGGTCTGGTTGTTGGTTGTTTGCTCTTGCTCATTCCTGCTTGACTGGAGGTGGTGAAGGAGGCCGAGGCATCGCTGATTGCGGTCGTGCGCACCCTGGGAGAGCGATCTTGACGTTTGCACTTGCGGAGTTGCGGGTGGCTACGCGCGGCGGCGGGTAATGATGGTCGTGAACCTTGTAGGAAGTCTAGAGAACTGTGACAAGGGTTCATTTTTAGGGAAGCATTACCTTGGCCCAGGGAGGAGTTTGGACTGTGGCACCCACACACTTCAGTGTGCATGTTCGGAGCTGGCTCAAGACAGAATTCAAACTTGTGCTGGAGTTGAGAGCCAAGCCGCAGTCCGTGCCTCAGGAATTTGCAGTCAGGGCATGTCACGCGGAGCCAGCCAGCACAGTTTGGCGCATCCTTGTTTTGGTGGTGCTGATGAGCGTAGCGCAGATGCATGAGGCCTATCCTGATGGATGGCAGATGGCTTCAATGGCTGGTCCGCCACCTAAACGCTGCAATGGGTCGGAGTTCAGCCTCATCAATCTCGTTCCAGAATTGTTTGTTTCAGGCACTCGTGATGGCACTCTGCAGCGTGCATGTAGAGGCGGAGGAGACAGAGTGCGCCCGCCAAGCTTCCTTTTCCAAAGGGGTCCTTGTATATACATGTTGGAAGGTAGCTGGAGATCCTCAAAACAGAGGTTGTCCTGACTAGGTTAGCTTTTCGATCACATCAAAAGGTGAATCCGCTCGCTCATGTTGCAACGATCCGGGTGTCAAGGTGCGCTGGTGGACCATCCGCAGTTTGCAAATGCTTGCTTGGCCGCAGACCCGGAGACCCGGTCCGAGCTTTTGGAAGATTGCAAGAGACGCAAAGGAGGGTTTTGAATTCCCTTGCCCTTCATAGACCCTTTGGTTTGACAGCACAGAAAAGAAACCACGAGTCGTCCATTTCTTTGGACTCAAGTTGTGATGGAGGTTGGCTTGTACAGGTCATTGTTGCTTGTATGATTCTGGAGGCATTCACTGTATGGCCGTAGATGTACCTGAAGCGAAAACTTTGGCAAGACAAATTGATGCAACATTGCGGCCTGAGGCTGTGACATATTTGGAGGCCTGGCCGACTCTGCAATAGTCATATTTGCATGCATGAACAACAAGCTACTCGACATGCTTTTGCAGATATATAAGGTTGCAATCTAGTGTAACTGTGCCTCCGCAGGCCTGAACCCTTGGTATCGACTGCATGAATGCTGCATGCAGGGCTTGCGCATTGCCAGGCCACGGCTCCACGTGCGCGAGTGCCGACGATCAGCTTGCGGTGGTAGATTCCGCTGTCAGGGTGGGGGCTCGGGGGGGGGCTGCGGTCCTGGCGAAAGCGGCAAGCTGCGCAGTGCAGGGGGCTCCACCCGGTCGGTTTTCAGGGGAAAGATTAAAAGGAAACCAGTTAAATCAGGGGATCCCAAGACTTTGAGACAAAGCCGTACGCACTTGCTTGTGTCAGGAAGCCATGAAGGACGATGGTGCAGATTGCGATGGCATGATGTGTGTGGTGCATTGCGCCAAGAAGCTCAAATGCTTGGGGCCTAGCCTCATGCCGGCCCTGCATAGCGTGCCCAATCGTGTCAGTGCAGGGAGTGTGTACCAATCCCGAGGCTTGGATGCCACTGTAGAGTCCAGATGCTTGACCGTGAAGAATTCCAACCCCAAGCGCGATCCTCAGATCCGCCAATCACCTAGTGCGGACCCTCGATTTTCACCACGTCCTGATTTGGTTTGGCTGTGATGTAACGAATCTTTTGGGTTCCTTCACCAACTTTAAAGGCGGTTTGTCTTACAGCGAGGTGCGAGCTGAAGTGCAATCATGCAGGGCGAATGGCAATCTCGGCAGTCGTGGTGTTGGCCTTAGGGCGGAAGAACACGGTGCTTGCCCTCCTTGTGACTTCTCATGGCATTTTTGAGCGACACATTTCGATGCGCCGCATGCGAGGCCTTGGTACTCTTTGCCTCGCTGATGTAGATGCACGTGCTGTCTTTACTCGGATGCATGTCTCAGCCCGTGCGTGTCCAGGTTTCAGGTTTCACCTTTCAGTTGCCCAGGTTCATTTGCCCAGTCCAGTGTTCAGAGAGCCCAACTTGTGGATTTGGGCTGAAAGCAATGCTGCCAAACTGGCAAAGCTTGCTGGCATGATGGCAGTAAGGGTTTCCCAATGTGAGGACGCGAATATTCGGATTCCGAGTGCAAAGCTGCTCTGGGAAAAGGCAACGCTGCGCTTGTCAAGCTTGACGAACGTAATGCATTCTGAGTTAACGCGTGAAGCAATCAGTGCTTGCGCACTTGTGTTGGATGTCGAGGTTGCCGCAGAGATCACTTCCGAGAGTTTGGCATCGTTGAGAGCTACATTGGCCTCGGTACTGGCCCAGGCATTTCTGCAGACTTGGTGGCAGGTCATTTTGTTTTCCGCCCTCAGGACCAGCTGAAGGCGCTGTACATCAGCTTTCACGCCTCAGAGCTTGCGGGACAGGCGGGAGGGCTTTCCTTTCCCTTGGATAAGAAAGTGCTCATTTTTGTTCAACATCTTGTTGGACACACACGCGTGGCATACCAAATGTGGCCGTGACATTGGAAAAGATGGCAACATAGGGGAAACATGGTTAGATATGGGTTTCGGCCAGACAAAATTGACATACGGGTCTCCAGGTATGTTTGTTGGCTTTTAGGGCATCAATGGCCTGCCTCCTCGTGGTGTGCATTGACTTTACAACTTGGTGGCCTGCATATCCAGGTGGAATCTGAGCTGGAAGAGCTTCAGAAGAAATCCAACTCAGCAAGTCTCTCAGAGTCGAGTCAAACAGAGAGTTCGATACCCTCCGACCGGCTTCTTGCATGGTGTGCTGGTGGCAGGTCACGATGAAGTGGTCCAAGTCGGCCGATGCCATCTCCTTTTTTGAGCATGTGAAGGTGCACGTGCTGTTTCCACCGGCAGCGTGAGTGCTGGAGTTGCAGGCTGCAATGGCCTTGACCTGTTCAGAGACTGCACAGGCGCAAGTGGAGCAAGTGGGCACAAGTCTCCAGGTATTGCAAGAACATTGCAGAAAATTGCCGTCCCGGCAACTCCCTCCAGGCTTGGGTTTCTTTGGTCAGTCCTGGCCAGCTTTGGAGCAGCAGGCTCGACATGCAAGTGGTGCATAGGCGTGAGATTTTGGGGCTCCTTTTTTGGTAGAGGGAAGCAGGAACCAACCCAAATGCGCCCGAATTAGCTTCAGTTTCACTGACCCCAAGGCTCCGGTCTATGGGACGAAAGAACAAACAGCTAGATAACCCGTAGATGCCTTGGAGTGGAGAATACTGCTTCTTGAGAGTAAATGGGGGTTCCCACCGGACTAGCAATCCAAACCACTCGTCAGTGCGGAGGCTATTTTTGGGAACCCTTCGAGGTATTCCTCTGTCCTGCTGCCGACCTTGCGCCGGGCAGCGGCCGACCCCCGGGTTCTGGCTGTGCGTTCCAGGAGGTGTGCCAGGCCGGCCACGGCCAAAATCGCCACGGCCTACTTGACGAATCTCAACTTGCTGTAGGTGTGAGACCTGAGAGAGCTTTCATGAGTCGCAAAACAACCGATTAGAGCACCCATGGCTTGCTCTACTTGTACTTGAATGCAGCATCAGGCAGTGCCACACAAGTCCTGCGGATTCATTTTACGTTGTTTGCGGTAGAAAGCTCATCCTGGCAAAACATCTTTGGCGACGAGAAGTTGTTGCCCCTGGATCCATTTCTGACAGACGGAACTTGTCCTTTAGAACCCCGTAACACAAACCTTGGGGATTCGGCGGCCTCTCTTGCTTACGCACCTCACGTGACATTGCACCTCGCACTAGCTGCGCGTCAACCAAATATAGGACGTCTAAGCACATTTTATGTATGTGGGAGTTGGTCGAAAGGTCGTGTAGGACTCTAGTATTCCGTGATCATCGGCATCATGGGGCCTCCGCGAAAGATTCGTGACGGAGTTGCGAAAGTAAGCGGCGAACGTTTTGCGCAGCTGTTATCTTGCAAGTCAGTGACATGTGAGCGCACTGTATGTTTTGGAGAAACCCCATCTATGATAGCCGGCTGAATTGAAATCTGTTTCTTTGTAGTGTCTCAATCAGGTGAGAAAGCCTGGTGAGGTTGCGCTTGACTTTTGATACCCTGCTCGGCGGGTGATTGTTCCAGGTGACTGATCCAAGTGTGCTCTTGGTCAGTCTACGCTCTAAAACGTGGGTGATTCTTCGCCAAGTTCTGCAAATATTCCGCGAAAGCCCGCGTGAAAGCGCACGCAAAGATTGTTTCCAGCTGAAGCTGCGGAATTACCTTTCGTGTACTGACTCTGAAGAGTTGCGACTTTCTGACTCTAGCATGTAGAAGTGCACGGTGATGGATGCATGAATAATACTGCATACCATGTATATCATATGCATGTGAAAAAAAATATATATATATATATATAATATACACATGATAGTATTGCAATAATACACCTGTTGACATACAGCACTTTGTAATGCAAACTCCTACTCTTTTGGGTGGGGATGCCTTGGAGCATGTTGCTAGCCCCTGCCGCGAGGTTATCGAGCGGCTCCGCTGCAGAGGCTGCCGAGCTTGGGGCAATGGCTTACGGTCAAGCGAAAGGAGCCATCGTTGTTAGGCATCCGAAAGAAAGTCAGTATTGCCACGACCCGAAGTCTATATAATGGAATTGACGGTTTTTGAGGAATGGAATGGACTTTTAATATAATGGAATGGAATGGAATGGAATGGAATGGTATGGCATCAAACCAAATTTGAGGAAGGAATGATTTTGGACCGGTTGCTCATGACAGGTTGATGATGCATTCGCTGGGAAGATGGCCGAGCTCTCGCAGGTCGGAATCCATGAGCACAGTCGAAACGATTGGACACCCAATGATGCCCACCAAAGAAGCCCCCAATTTCAAAAAATATCCAACTAGGTCCCCATTTCAAAAAAATAACCCAGTTTCAAAAACATCCAACTAAGTTTTCACGAATCCAGATGTTGCAATTCTTTAGTGGGAAGGAGCCCTGCCACGCACTTCTCCCGCTGTGAAATCGATGGCTCATTGCGTGAAGCGTATTGACAGCTCTGCAGGACGAAGGTGTCGGCTCGATTCTGGTGCTGGCCAAGACGCTCCAGGCGCTGTCCAGCTCAAGATGGGTTTCTCAAATTGGGTTCGAGCCCGTGTTGGGGTGGCTTTGAAGGGACACCAAAGGGAATCTACCCATTTTGGGGGCTCCCTATTTTGAGAAGCACCAATCTCCTCTCTTTTTTTGGGCGCATGCAAAGAATGGCAATCGTACTGCTCAGGCATTTCTGGAGACAAGCCCAGTTCCGGCATTGCAGAGCGATCTATGCGCCCATCGCTTTGCACACAAGATGTTGAATGCCTTCGGCAAGAAGGCGCTTTCCAACGACATGTCCGGCTTCTGAGGGTTGGTTACCATAGTTTGCACCAGGGAGGCCAACCAGGGTTTGTTGGTTTTTTCGAAGACCGGCTCATCGGGATGGATCCTCAAAGCGGATTCGCACAACTTGCAGGTCCTGGAAGCCCCACTCCCGGAGGGCGAGTGGATGCGCAGTGTCCTGCACCGAGCGGGAGTTTCTCAAAATGGGTCTCTGTTTGGATGATGTGCAAAGGGAAAGAGAAGGAAACCAACCATTCTCAGGGATCCTTGTTTTCAGTAGTACCATGCAGGCAGAAGATTGGCACCTGACCAAGGTCAGCGAGACTTGCCAGCTGCCGGGAAGTCAGGTTCGGGCAATTTCTGGTTTAGTTTTGTTTGGCAGTGCTCAGCAGGTCACTGACCAGGAGGCAGAAGACAATGCACGGCGTGGGGAGGAGAGGCTGTTTTTCCATCAACTTGTCTGATTTCTTGATCCAAGGGTCATTGAGTACAGACGTCATCGCTAGGAGCTGGTCAAGAGCTCCTCGTCCAGGCCTAGAATGCGGCTTAGAGGAGGTTTGGTCAAAGTTACTGGTACTCTATGGTCCATTCAGGCGCGTCTTCAAATAGCCCCCGCCCAAAAAAAAGGTGGTTCAACCCTAACTGGGTAACTGCATGAAAGACATACGTTTGGAGATGACTTACTAAACTTCCCACCAAGGGACCTCACCAATTTTCCGATAGCCAGGTTTGATGCACCAGAAGCAGAGCGAGAGCAACTGCCGACCAGGCCTTTGGTGGAAGGGCATAGGTCCATCAGGATGCATGCGCTGTTTCTTTACTGCGCGTTGAATTTGGAGCACACACATATATATATATATTACATAAGGTCCAGATAGCCAGGGGAAATGTGTACCTCACGGAACCCCAATGCAAATGTTTATGAATCCCTATTCATGAGGATCCCTAACCAGAAGGGTCCCTGATCGCCAAATTTGAGTACTTCCATTTCAGCCATGGCTCAGAAGTGTTGGATTCAACCTGAGACTGCACCTGTCAGGCTGAGAGACGCCAGCGAAGCTTCAGAGATGATAGGTGCCATAAGGACTGGTTTTGGCGCGGCATGACTCCACACACACGCGCACACATTCACGACGAAAAAAACAGCCGGACGGTGAGTGAAGGCATGACTCAGCATGATCTGGATGTGTTGTTGTTCGTGTCTTTTTGTTTATCTCATTTATTTTGTTTTTACTTTTTTTGGTTTGTCGGGGAACCCTTTTTGGGTTAGTTTTAAGGGGAAACCAAAAGGACAACCAAAATCCATCGGGGGTCCCCTACAAAACAACACTCACATACATGAAGGTAGCAAAGTTGTTTGGCCTTGATTGGCGGGAGGGCTTATCCTACTACTGTAGAGTGCATGTCCATTGACTGCACGCAGGACGTCAATCAGTCGAAGATTTATCCTGCGTGCGGGTGAAGCGGTTGACCCAAAGGAGCTCATGTTGGGTGATGAAGATCATGCTGCGTCACTTCCAGCCACCAGCCACCTTTCAACGAGGAAGTCTACATGTTTGCCAATTAACATGACGAACAAATTGGCATGCAGCAGCTTTTGCCCTGGACGTATTCTTCTAATCATCCATGCTTGATTCATTGAATTTCTTGCCAGGACCTTCGGGAACTTTCGGAGGACTCTGCGATTCCGACGTTGAAGTATAGGTTGGGTGCGAAGAAGTTCAGGCTTTGCATGTTTTCTCAGGATTTGGTGACAGATGCAATCGAGGCTGCTGGTCTGGATCAGGCCAGAGAGTGGGAGGTTGAGAGTTCAGAGATGTTCTGAGTCGTTGGGGCCTAAGGTCATTGGCATTCAAAGCTGGGCACGGAAGACAGCTCTGGACTTGGCACAGGCTGGGAGATGAATTGGGCGAATGGGGCTGGGAATTCCACAGCGCGAGGCTGCAGCGGAGAAGTTCGAGGTTAAGGTGCGTGACAAATAGATGCGAGTGACAACTTGCATGGTTCTTGATCCCGCGTTAATGATCCGTATTTTCAAGCGTGTGAGCCCAGCCCCGTTCTGCTGGCGGAGTTGCGCGCAAAAGGCGCGTCGGCTTGTAGGTAGACATCCTTAACATCATGGCAGTGTAGCCATGCAAAGCAAAGACACCAAAGTGCACGGCGGATAGACGAGCGGCGCACAAAGATGTGGACACTGGCATTTTGCACAGTCAATGCTTTGGGGTACGACTGCAAGACCCTGCCCTCAGTGGCTCGAATCTGGAAGTTCAACGTGTGCCGTTTTTGGCTACAGAAGAGGGTGCTGAATCTGGTCTTGGAAGGTCCGGGCCTTGCGGGGAGGGATTTCATGCAACCACGCCCCGTTTGTGAGGAGGGGAAGTGATGTGGCCGAAAGCTCAGGTGAGAGCATGTCCACAGGTTTTTACGGGATCTTAAAGAGAAGAGGAAATATGTTGGGCAAATTACTTCAAAGGGAGCTTCTCAGTGAGGGGGAAGGACTGAGTAAGCTCTGGGAATGGTGGAGCGCGGAGCCTCCGCGGATGCATTTGCAAGATTGAGCCGCGTTGCTTTGCCGTCGGCAGTGTTGCAGAAACCTAGAGCTCTTGTAGGCGCTCAAAAGCCGAGGGCAGCATTGCTCTGGCATACGCCTCGAAACCCATTCCCCACGAAAGGGGAATGGGGCGTCGCAACTGCCGTGTGGAGTGTGTTGCGTTTGGGCAATAACAAATGCAATACACCGGTGTCTACAAAGTGCAATCCCTGCAGCCGCATCATTCCCAGGTGGGGAACGCCACAGCATGTTAGCAGCCGCAGAGCAGAGGCTGCGGAGGCAGTGACACTCACTGCCTGAGCTATGCTGAGATTCGAACTCTCAGGCCGAGAGAATGGCAGCGGCTGTGCCATCGCTAGGCGGACATGCCCCCACAAGCCCACCGAATTAAGAAAACAAGTAATCGCTTTCCGCATTCTAAAGTGATGGAGAGGGATAACATGGACCCTGCTTTTGCTCACGTTTTGTCATGAGCACTCTAAGCAATTCCAACTTTGGGATAGATCAGCTTCCCTCCATTTGGTGGTTTGGATTGGTGGTTTGGTTGTTTGGGGGTGGTTTCCCATTCTAAAAGAACCAGGGGTTCCAAATCCCAACGCCAATTCAAAGCACCAAGGGTTAGCTGAATAGATTCTCAGTGGTTCTCCCATCCGACTGTCTCTGAGGTCCAACACCCATGGACTTGGATGTAAAGCAGACTGGCAGTGCTGAGAATCTCAGCACAGGAAGCGCAGTCAGAGTTAAGAGATACGCGCGCTTGGTTTCGCTGCGAGGACTTCGATCCTTGCTAGCAAGCAAAGAATGTCGCGCGTCTCAGTTTCTGAATTTGGCGCTTTTCAAACCTGCTTCGTACTTGCATGTCAGGCTGCGATCTCGTTTTTGTAGCCGGCGATGAGCACATTGAAGCTCACGCGGCCTGCCGCCCAGAACCATGAGTCAGATACGCTGTGCGCGTTTGAGGTCGCTTGTGTCGGAAAGAGAGAGAGAGAGAGAGAGAGCGGGGAAAGAGAATGAGAGAGAGATAGACAAGTCAGCGTCTGTTTTTTGAGGGTACGCTTTTCAGGCCGTATCAAAGGAACGCCAACAGGCAATCCTTGGGGGAGGCTCCCTATTTCGACCCATACCCAGGTGGTGTTGGCTGCAAGTAGCTCCAGCTTTTACAACTTCCTGCGGCGGAACCCAGCGCCGGCACCTCACGAGCTGGGTTGGTCAAAATCAAGTCACAAGATCCCTTGACAGATGGATTTTGGTTTCCGATTAGGGATCCGGACCCTTTTGAGCATCTCGGGCACTGTCAATGGATTTTGGTGGGCTGGGCTTGTGAGAGCAAGCTTGATGGAAGTTGTGAGGCTGGGAAAAGCCGCACCCACGGAAGGGAGTGATGAGATGCAGGCGCTTTACATGGTGTTGACGTTCCTTGGTACCTGCTTCACCTGGGTTTAAAGAACGGAAAGCAGCCATTTTCGGGTTCCCCCGCACACACCCATGTAATGTGATCCGCCGTTTTGAGAGGTTCCTCCATGAACAACTATTGGTTTGGTGTTTCAACAGCGCAGACATGTTTCAAGCCAAAGAACTGGAAGCACCAGACACGAGCGATGCCTGCTGCGGAGGAGCTCTTCTCCATGCAGACAGTGCTGAGCTCGGCTCAATGTTTCCCATATGCGTCCAGCTGTGCCAAGGTGCCGGTGCCTCCTGAGACTGGAGGCTTGAGAATCCATGAAGCATTTGATTAGTTTGGAAAATGGGGAGGACCCTCCCAAATGGTTGGACACAATCTTCCTCAAATGACCAGGTGCTCGTTCCCATTTATTATCATTTTTTTTTAGGGGTTCAGTTTTCCTTTTGGCTTCCCCCGAAAAATACGTTTCGACTGACGCGAAGGCGAGGCACCCGAGCCTGCAGCCGAGCCGGTGGCGCCTGTTGCGCCGGAGAAGCCGACGGAGACGAAGCCAGAAACCGAAGCGGCTCCCAGCCAGGCGATGGTCGGGAAAGCGGCAAAGGGGAAGCGAAGTCAGCTAGCTCTCAGTTGCCCAAAGCGAGCGACCTGTAATGACCTTTTTAGTCTCCCCATGTTGCAGTTTCAGTCAAGGTCCCCAAAGATCCACCTTTTATGTCTGGGTCCTTTGGGCAACTGCGAGCAAAATGGAAAGGCTTTGTGTAGTTGTCACACATAGGCTTCATGTTCATGGGGCATGAATTGAGCGACCGGGACGGCGGGGGATCCAAGCCACAAGCCTGGAGGCGCCAATTGAGCTCTCCAAGCTTGCTCCTCAGGGCTCAAAACGCGTGCTGTCCTTTTGGCTGCCCTTTACACCGACCCCGAAAAGGATGAGCTCCAAAAAGGGCACCACCCATGTGGTTTAGCTTTTTCGAGCTCGGGTAGGCCAGCAGACGCTGCCAAGGCAGGGCAGGCAGATTTTTCCATGGACTCCATTGACCTCGCTGCTCAGGCGGAGATGAGGATTCACGTCAATGGCCTGTCCTCAGAGGCAATCGGCTGTTAGAGTGGATCTTGAGGGTGCCTGAAACCATATGGAATGTCCCCATTGTTTGTTGCGTCTTTTCTTGTTTGTGGGGGGGGGAATCCCAGTTCCTGTTTTGACGTACACCCACAGTGGGGCCCTCAACAGGCCATTCGCAGTTTTCGGTGATAGGCCCTGCATGTCATGCTGGACTACATTTACAACGGATGTGGTGGTGCCAGCTGGCAGTACGCCGCAACCAACGCGCAGGCAAACCCTGTGCGCATGCGTGGCCATGTCTGCAAATATGTCGGATTTACAGAAGCCGTGCCTGGAATAGTGGCTGTGCTTCATCCCGAACTTATCCGTTGACTGGCTTCGCGCATGTTATCGTCACACGCAGGTGAACAAGGACGTGCTGCGGTTGGCGCGGAATTTCGGCTTTGGACGACTACACGAGCACGCAGCGAGGGGCTCAGTCACAACCGAGATGGCATTCAGAAGGCTCCAGATATTTTGCTCAAGGCTCGGTGGCTCGGCACGGGCCTCACAACCGAGAATGTGCTGGAACGACTGGTAACGTCAGAATCTCAGCCCGTGCAATGCTTCGAGCAGACAAGTGATTCGTAGACCTTTGAATTTGTAACCTCGCATCTATGGGCCTAGAAGGAAATGGCCGCTCGACTTTGTCGAAATCCATTGTCTTCCGCCAAAAGGATGTGCATTGTACATGATGAATATGAGGTGCGAGGAGTTCGGACTTGGACTTCTCAGGGAGAAGATCACCGAGAGGCGCTGAGCGACTGGTATCTCGTATGCGCAACGGACCAAACCAGTGCAACCTGCGCGACCCATCCCCTGGTCCTTCAAAGGCGATGTCGAGGGATGTTTGGGAGATTTTGGGAGCAAATGTGTTCCTTGATGGCGTCTGCAGGTTGGCATTGAGACCGGCAGAGCTCATGCAGGTGTGCAGCAGTCCAGAGATCACAAAGCACCCTCGAATTCTTCAGGCCACTGTGCGTGTGTGGCACGTTGTCTCTTGATGTGATTGTCAGGATCTACTGGTGCAAGTCGCGACGCTGCGGGATAGGCCGCCACCGGAGAGCGACGTCCAAAGGCCAGAAGCCAAAGAATCTGAGGCGGGCTCGTAGCACCTAGCGAGCAGAGTAAACGGAAAGTCGCAGGAGAAGCCTGACAAGGAGAAGCCGGACAAGCCTGACAAGCCGGAGAAGGCTGTGTTAGTCAGGTCTTGATTGACTCTCACTTCCCCCTTGAAGGCAGACAAGCCGGAGAAGGAGAAGCCGGAGAAGCCGGAGAAGCCGGAGAAGCCGGAGAAGCCCGAGAAGCCCGAAAAGCACAAGGTCAGCAAGGCTGACAAGTTGGCCAAGCAGGCGAGTTTGATGAAAGAAGCAAAAGGGTGTGTGTGTGTGTGTGTGTGTTTTTTTTGAGGGAACCTTCTGTCAGGCTTGAAAGGGAAGCCAAAAGGGAAGTTGGCATTTTTGGGCCCCCTTGTCCCGGAAGATGCCCAAGTGGCACCTCAACAGTCTTTGGAGAGCCTGGCGCAGGAGAAGCCACAGACAGACAAGCAATCTGCGAAGCGGCGGAAGGCAAAGCCATGATTTGACAAACAACTTGCCCTGCTGATCTGCCGACGCAGGCTGGTGCATGAGCCCGCAGAGGACCATTTCAGCTATCTCAGCCACATGCTGTCTTGCTCCGGCCGATCTTGGCTTCCCCTCTGTTGTCACAAGCTTGTGTAGCTGACGTGCATCATCTGTTGCATCACCTCAACTTACCCTTCAAGAAGCCAAAGACTGGAACACTGAAAGATCAAGCAGCGGTTAGTACTCCTCCTCCTCCTCCTCCTCCTACTCTCCTTTTCTCCTACTCTCCTTTTCTCCTCATCATCACTATCATTCATTTCCATGATCATGACCACGACTATCACCATCATCATCGTGACCATCACCACAGCATTACCATGACCGTCGCCCTGGCCTCGCCATAGCATCATCACCATCACCAGAATCATCATTATTGTCCTCCTCCTCATCACCACTGCCATCACCATCACCATCACCATGGTCGTCATCATCATCATCATCATCATCATCATCATCATCATCATCACCATTATCGTCATCACCATCCACTGTTGTTAAGAATGATGAGCTTTGCGCAACGAGCAGAATGAATATTGACCGCAGGCACAAATGGCTGTGGCTCAAAAATGCATACCCAAAATGGAACCCTGGTAAATGGAACCAAAGACTAAAACCTGCGTAACCCCTCCTGTTTAATTTCGAGCCACACCCAAATGCCTCTCGTGTGGGTCATACAGTTGCACTTTGTTAACTGCTCTTCTCCTGTTTTCAGGATCTTGAGAGATTGCAGCCATGTGACAATTCAATGCAAGACTTTCATCGCCCTACCCGTGGATGTCTCACGTGATTCCGAGCGGTAATCGCAGCAGCCTCTGGGGAGTGGAGGCAATTCGTTATCCATCAAATTTGAGAGCTTGCTTACCAGACGGTATCAGCAGGCAAAATGCATGGCACGCACGTCGTTCAAATGGCAAACAGGTCTGTCTTGCACCATCAATTACGGTACATCACCGGCAAGGCACAGACTAATGAATCACGCTTCATTTGTTCCAGTTTCCCCAGACTGAGCAATTGGGCTCACAGCTAGGGGCGTTTCGCGTGGCATGGATGTAATAGGTGCCAGCGTGCAGGTGGGAGTTGTTATCGTCAAAGTGCACAATTTGCAAGCAAGCAAGGCCATTGCTGACGCTGTTCGGATCTCGCGTGTACCTTAGGTTCTTGTCGGCATGCTATTTCAATATGTGGGATGCCAGTTGGTGAAGGCAATGCAGCCCGCAGGTATGGTCCATGTGGAAAAGACCAATTGGTAGTCACGGAAAGTCAAAAGCTGGTGACGAATTCGGCTGGCTTCTCAGTGCTTCAGCCATCAATGCCAAGCTCGGATAGAAGCAATGTGATGCCCGGCGTGCAAGAGTAAGTGCACCCTTGTGGTAAGAATGTTCCCTTATTCCATACGCACCTAGTTTGATATGAACCGGAACCCCAGACACCAGTTGTGTGGAAGGCTGAGAAAGTCTTTCGTATTGCATTCGGCACAGGCCTCGCGAATTCTGGCGCTTGCGCGCCCTGGATCACCGGTTGCCAAGGCGCGATGAGAGGAGGTTTGCGCATCAGAGTGCACTTCAGCCTTATAGCGATAAGTGGCGAAAAGTGGCGCTAAATGATCGTTCGCCAAGTGAACAGACACAGGCATACAATTCCGATTATTAGGGAAGTCTTTGTGATCATGGCTCCTCGCGGATGGCCGCGTTTGGCTTTCCGACAGCGAGGTTCTTCTTCGACATCTTTGCAAGTTTGCGGAGGACGCGGTGTGCTTGACGCGATGTTGTGGCGCACGCCGTGAGCATATTTGCACTTGAAGGAAGCTGGAGATGGCACTGCTACCTTGGAGACTTGCTTGCATTCGTGTGTTTTGATTCAGCTTGCAGCCCCCAAATGGACACTTTATGTGCAACATCAGTGTGCATGTTGGTCTCTTGCCATGCTTGAGTTCGGGTCCCGAGCAACATGCGACATGTTGTTTGAGCTACTCATGGTCCCTCCCCCCTCCAAAACAAAAAAAAACAGGGCCGACGTGCTCGGCCAGTAAAAATATGAGACCTTTGCATCCCATTTCAGGCGCTGCTCCTAGACGGCGCAGTCCGGTTTTGCGTGAAGGCCATCAATGATGGCCGGGCTTCTCGACAGGACACATGACCCTGAGTTCCTCGTGAATGGAATCAGCGAAAGAGGGAAACAGGATATAGAGAGAGAAGCAGCGACCTGCGACGAGCGGTCCTGTGAGGAATTGCTGAGGTGCTTTGCCTTCATTGAGGCCCGCCTGTGATGCGAGGATGTTTATCCTTCGAGTGTTGGACGAGGCAGCGGCGCTGAAAGAGTCGGCACAGCTTCTGCAAGAGATTCAGTCAGGCGAGGCAATGGGTCTGCATATTTAACTCAGCAAGGCTGACTGTGATAGGTGGTCCAGTAGAAATGGTGTTCTCCAACCTGGCCAAGACATTCTTCGGCGCCAATTTCCCTTTGGAAGTGTCCAGGCTGAATTCAATTGCCATGTGTTGTTTTTTTTCTGCTTGACATGCCTTCGAATGACGCGTCATTCCTGCTTGCTTTGCTTGCTGTTTGCCGCCGGACTGCAAAGGTGAGTGGCAAATTGAGCCAGATATGCCACTTTTCTGCAGCCCGAACAAAAACCCGGCAAAAGCCTCCAGCGCTTGTGTGGCTGCGAGGTAAGACTTTGACAGCCATTGGAATTCCTCGCACAAATCGACGGCGTCATTTCAGTTGCCAGTACGTTGCTGATCAGGTTGGCAGTGGCTGAAGGCGAACTCCCGGGAGGTTCGGGCTCCAGCCTTGCTTCGGTTGAAGCCGATTCGTGACAGGAGCTGTCGGCCACTGCCGGAGACCTGAGACGCGGGGAGCTGATCAAGGCCCAAATCGAATGGGGGGTACGAGAGCTTCGGGCATCGAATCGTGCATTGGAGGGACGAGGATTCACCCATTTTCCCATGTCCTTGGCCTTGCATGATTTGACCGCTCACGTGCCATTGTCGCCTCAGGTTCCTCTTGTGGGGCCCACAAGTACAGATGCAGCAGGCGGATGGCTTTCAACCAGTCCATTCAATTCGCTTGTCTCCCTTCAATAGGGCTTAGAGCGTGGCTTTGACCTTTGCCGATGTGCACAGATTCCACTGCTTCGGCAACGTTGGAGCGTCAGCACTTGATGTCAGCAGTGTGCCAGCCTGAGCTGCACGGGATCAATTCACAGCATCTCCATCCCAATGTCTTTGTTTTTCTCCCCTTTTTGGCTACGGGAAATGGCTAATGTGATTTTACTTCAATGCTTGTGTTTTGGCAACGCTCAAACATGCACAGGGTCAGCAGGCTCTTCGTTCCCTCCTGCTGGTCCGACTCTCCATTACTCTTGCCGCTCCATGCTGCAACGTGCTGAGACGCGGGCTTCGGTTTTGAACAAGAGGAGGAAACGGGCGAGCCCTTGGCCATCAGGAAGCATCTTTCGATGTGTTTCTTTACTTGGGCAGACGAGTGAAAGGTTTTTAGCATGGGTTTTGCCTTTTCCACTGCCCCGGCGTAGACATCGTTTCACGGGAGGCTGTTCAAACCCTGTTCGCTAGGTTCACAGCTCCGATGCGCCACTCTAAACGCACACGGGTTGTGGGAAGCAAACGGGCACCTCGCACTCCGAATCCCCGTTTGGGTCTGCGTTTGTGTGTTTTTGCGGGTACCCCTTTGCGTGGTTTGAAAGGGAAGTCAAAAGGAATCCCCCCATTTTCACGGGTGCTATGTAGACACACACACACACACACGCATACATCCATTTGGACACAAGCCCATGGATCCCGAGCTGCTACCGTGAGGCTGGCCCACTCCACCATGCCTTGTGATCTTGGGGAAGGCCGTGCCGCCGTGCTGGATGACCACGTCGTCACACTTCCAGCCGCGTGCTTACGCGCTAGCCCAAAACGAAGCTTGCCATGGGACCATCCCCAAAGAGATGCTCGCAGATATGGACATATCCATTGTCTGCGCGCGGGTCGGGCAAATTTGTTGACATGTCGCGCAATCGAGACGGGATCTCTTATTGAAGGAAGCTCGGCTAGACGCCTATGTCAGAGTCCCTCAAGATCCAGCCGGAAATGCGAGAATTGATGTCCTTGTGACTTCAGCAGGTGTTCCATACTAGAAGGTGTCCTGTGCCGAAGCCAAGGTTCGTGTGACAGCCCCAGGCAACCTCTTGGACAGGCACTCACAGCTCGAGCTAGGGTTTGCTTCACCAAGTTTGGGGCTCTTTCAGACAGGGAACCGGGGACCCATATTTCATTGCTTCGTACATTCATTCCAATCTTTGAGCAGCAACTTGTGCATGGTGTCTTGGCGCGCATAGGGGTTGGAATTGTCTGCAACAAGCATTATGTGCCTCTTGAATCAATGATGAATCAAGTACTTCTGTTGCAGGTTGCAGCAACATTTGTTGCTTGCCGCTGAGCAGCTTTGGCAGGTCTGCTCTTGAAATTTGGGCTTCACCTTGCTTCCACTTGCTACTTGCTGCATGTCATACGCCATCCAGGCGGGAATCCGGCTAGTTTTCTGTGCGTCCTGCGTCCACGAGGCCGACATGCAACCATGCAGTGCAGTCAGTGCAATCACCGCTTGGACCGAACGCTATTGTGGCTTATTGTTGCCAGGAATGGACAGGATCACTGGCTCGCCGTGGCATTTGCTTGCTGCACCTGGTAGACGAAGAGGCTCACCTGGGGCATGCTTGCCACCGCGCTTGGCCAGTTTAGAGCAGGGTTCTCTCAAGTTGTTTTGTTTGGGTTGAAACCACCCATGCGAAGCCTTTTCTGATTTTGGTTCCTGGCAAAGCCAACTTTCGAACCAACTGTCTGTCTTGCACGTTTGAGCGCTGCTCATTTGTACCCGCACTGTCCAAATAAGACTGGAGGAGCTAGGCCTCCTGGAGGGGAAGGTCGGCAAGATTCGCCGAATTCGTCCCGGGAGCGAGGCTGGGAACGCGGATGGTCACACTTGGGCACCCTTTTGGGGTCTGCAAAGACGTTTCTGTTGCGCCTTTCGAACAAAGGTCACACAATTTCTAGCATCGCCAAAGCACCGTTCTGACAGCTGAGGATGTGGCTGCATTGACGGCAGGGTCTTTCTCTCTCCAGTCTCTCAGGCTTGGATCTGCTTTCTTGGCTTGGCCTTGTTGGAGCCTGTGAGGCCGTTTCAGTCCCTTTCTGCAGCAAAACTTGCAGGAACCCGTGCACAGCGCTCAGAAGGCCACTGCCAACCAGAGACGGATCCCCCTACATGATTCAACCACTCTTCAGGCAACATCCTTTTGGTTTTCCTGCGGGGAGGGGTTGGTTGAAACAAATGTGGCCCAACCTTCGTGCCAACTCGCGGCGTGCCAACTCCCAGGCCTTCTGGCATGTGAAGCCGAAAAGTGAAGATACGCCATGCACCCCGCAGATGATTGGAACTTCTGTCGCCAATTGGGATCACCAGGTACCTTGGTGTTGGCAGCCAGCAGCCCTGGGCCAAGAGCAGAGCCCTAGGCATCGAGCAATCTAGATGTTGCGCGAGGCCTAGGCATCGAGCATCGGTTAGCTATTCTGCGACTGCTTGCTGTGGTTGCTCCGGGCCTGGAGGCCAGTAGTTTCTATTCATGTCACGCAACCTCTTCGAGCCACGGGTTTCATGTCGGGCTTTGGGCCCATTGCGAGGACCCAAGCAGCATTGTTCATGGTGGCCACTTCCTCAGATCGACATATGAGTGCTTGGGTGGTCAAGCCAACGACGAGGCTTGGCCTTTGAACTGGGCATGCTTCGACTGGCCCACAGCAAGGTGGGCTTTGATTCTCTCCTCTTGGTTCCAAAAAGTGTTGCACCAGTTTTGCACCCAGTTTCTAAACCAGTTTCCTTGATCTTCTGGGGGTTCGTGGGATTTGCAGCCCGAATTTTCTTCGCTTGTTCGTGGACAGTGGACGGGCACTGCCAAGGTGCTGAGCCTCCGCGCAGGGTCGAGGGCTGGAGCAGAACTCTTCGGCTTGGAGGATGACAAGGTCAGGCGCTCAAAACGCTTGACTCTGAGTACTGGCTGGTCAAAATGAAAACACCACCCCAAAATAGTCTATTTTAGTGGGGATTGGGATGTTCACTAGCAGGTACGTTGGTGATGCAGAGAAGACAGGGATCAGTACACCCCAGCATGTCTTGGGAACACTCCCTTACTTTTTGCTGGTGAAGCAGCTGTTTGAAGAGAATGTATGTCGCGCTGAATTGGTTGGTCTCTCCAACAGCCTGGCCGATCTGGCAAGGGTCCAGCGCAATCGAACTGATTGGCCTATCTATCCTGGATTGAGCATTCAACACTACTCATGGGAGTAGCGCAACATTGTGGCCATTTGCCAGAAGTAAGCGGCGGCAACGCCAAGCTGTCGACACAATCTACATGCGATTGGTGAGGCTGCGCGACTTGAGATGCTGTCTTGGTCACTGCTAGAGGCGTTCAGCTTGGCCGCATGCGCTTGCATTCTGGTCGCTTCAGAGCTTGCACTATGGTGGCAGTGCGCGTGCAGGCGGCCCTCTTGTCTGTCCTTGAGGCGAGGTGCTACTAAGTCAGGGGATTATTGGGATACACAAGCGATACACAGCCACTCTATAACGGGAATGTACCTGTTTTCCCGTGGCTCCCGGTATTGGTTTGGGTTTGGGGAAAGTGGACACCATCTTAGATAAGCACAATGGGCGCTGTACCAAGTGGCGCTTGCAGACCTTCCTGGCCAACATGGGAGAAGGCTCTGCTTCATCCAAGAGGAGCTGCGCGGTAAAATGATGATTGACTCTTGTATTCAAAACACAAATCTTTATGAGCTACGGCAGCTATTTGCTGCATATCTAGCATCAAAACTGTCTCTTCCATGACTGTCACCCGCCCCCCACCTTTCTTGTCTTCCATTTTTCGACCCCTTCCCCCTCCCCTTTCTATACATTTTATTTGGTAATTGACCTATTCCGTTCTCACTTAAAACTTGATATCATATCAATATATATATATATATATATGTATAATAATATATAGCGATATTTCATTTGTGATTTGAAGTCCCTGATCTCGTTTTCCAACGCCGCGTATTTCGCGATCACAATGATTCAATTGTTGGCAGCGCAGTCAATATCGACCTTGCAAAGTTGGTGAAGTTGCCGCCGTGCGAAGGACAGCCCGATTGCTGGTGACCCTCCCTGAAGCAGAGCTTCGCGAAATGTCAGTGACTTGGTCTTCGGCTCTGAAGTGCCGAGCGAAAGCCCCAGAAGACCCCTGAAGTTGCAGCATAAGGGTGTAGGTTTTGGAGGGTGAGCAAGCCGTTTGGTGGGGTCGAAGGGGCAACCACAAATTCCACGCGGAGGGGCCTCTCATTTTAGAGAAGCACCATGACGTCGTTGCCTCCTTCGGCGGTTTCTGCATGCAGCGGACAGCGCCCGTGGCATTCTTCCAGAGCCAGGCCTGGCCTGCAAGCGATTGGACAGAGCAAGGCCGGAGACTTACTCCACCATGGCTCCATCTTCAGCCTGGTTCTTCACAGCTCATCTTATTGGCCGTGAGTTCCCAGAGTTGGAACTCCCCACCAAAATGGTTGGTGGACGGAAAATGCTAAATTTCCGCTGTCCACCGAATGAAATTCGCGCCGATTTTTTGCCAGCCATGCTGCAGACTTGAGGTGCATTTCGGTTTTGTCCTCTCGCCTGGCATTGGATGCCAGGCCAGGAGCGCAGCAAGAGCAGTGGGAGAGCTTGAGTCAGCATTGGTTTGCAGGCCACATGGCAGCCCACAGAGCCTCCGCCTTGAGGTCTGGGAAAGCTTCGGCTGGTTTTGACCTGAATGCCTAGGAGCAGCCGATTGAAGCATGACTTGCTGCGTGCCCTTTGCTCCCTTGGACGCCAGTTCTGTCCCCCCGCCACGTTTGTACCGTGGTCATTTAGGAACCCTTGGCTTGCAGAAAATTTGGGATGCTCGACCCAAACAGTTTGTTACACATGCAAGGATCCCTCAGGGAACAACGAACAGCTTTCGGCTGATATTCAGTTTGATCGATGTCACTGGATGCCAGGCAGGCTGGATCCAGCCACTGTGAAGACATCGGCATCTAGACCTTAGCGGCCCGGCAGACTGCGCCCATTGCCGAACTCGACGAGGGGCGACCAGGGCTGCGACCTGAAGTCGGGCTCACGGCCCGGTGTGCAGAGATCTGTACTAGTGCAAGGCGTCCACAACCTCGCATCTTTTTGGCAGTGACAGCTAACAGTGACAGCCCGCGGAACTACGTTCCTGTCAGCGAAGAAGCAGAGGAGAAGAAGGCAGATGAAAGACAGCGGCTTGTGGATCAGAAGTCTTCTGGTGAATCAGGCAGGTTCTACTGCAAGCCTTACCAGGAAATGCAGGATTTCAAGCCGTGAAGGCAAAATCCTGATTGAGCCTTTGCGCTACGTAGTGCAGACAAGGTGCATTTGTCCGGATATCCTCAGTTTCCATATGTGCCATGGGAACATGTCCTGGCCATGACAATGACGGTACTGGATCCGGCAACCAGGATAAAGATTCCTGGGAGGGTCAGCTCTTTGTTTGTTTGACAGGAGCGCTTGTACCTGGTGTGAATAAAAGCGCAAACTGATCAGTTTGGCCAATGAGATTCAGAACATTTGGAAAGTTGCTTCGTCTCACGCCAAAGAACAATTACTCTCTTTTCTACTGGCTTGATACATACCCGCTGGCCACTAGCTCTTGGTTGTTGTTTGACAGCTTTGTCAATCATTTCCCAATTAGTTGCAACATGGAGGCAATGATTGATCGATTGACACTTCATTTGCTAAAATTGCTAAAGAGGCAGTGGCTGTGTTTCCTTAGCTCTTATCAAGAACAATCAACTTGGACCTTGCTTGCCAATGGCCATGCCGATGGCCGCTGTTTCTGGTACCTTCTACGCTCTCTCCGCACAGCAGGTGTCTCTTGCATGAAATAACCGGACCCGAGTAGGGCCCTCATGCCAATCCAGAAGCAGCTCTCAGACTTTTTTACCAGCCCCTCCTTGCCGGCCCAAGAATATCTGTACTCGGACGATGAGTTTCCCACAGATCCGGCTGAAGTGGATTTGACGCAGGATTGCGATGAGCTGGAAGATGAGCTCACCGAGATGAACACCCAACCCGCCCCTAACACGCAGGCATCGCAAACACGGCTTCTTGCCAATCGCGACATGCTGGGTCGTCGTTATGCCAGGTATCAGTTGTCCGTATATTCCGGCAAGGTGCAGTCTCGGTATGATGCCAAATGGGACCCCAAGTCGACTGATGATGAGCTCAAGGCCGCCCTGCTGCGTTGCTTGCGGAAGATCCCGGACGCCATTTGGAGGAGCTCTTCCAGGGCGAACGTTCGAGCAAGCAAAGAGAAGTCGCATTTGCAGATGTGTCTGGGGCTCGTGAAGACTGCGTCCTGGCGTGGAGTGCCCATGCCCTCGAAGAAGACCTTCGAATTTCTGGAGCTCACGAAGTTGATCCTGGAATTGATGCGCCGCCTGGCGAAGAAGCGATCTTTGGCTTTGGCAGGCAGCAGTATCCAGATCAACAAGAATCATCAGAGCGCGCCCCACGTTGATGGCAACAACTCGGGACCAAGTTTTATGCTTGGCCAGGGATGCTGGACAGGTGGGCAATTGTTTGTTGAAGACAGCTCTGGGGATTTTGTGATTGAACTCCCTGCAGACGTGAAGAAGATCGGAAAGCCTGGCCAGAAAGTGGTCGGAAGCTTGCTGAATATACGGGATGACACGATTGTTGAATTTGACGGCACCAGAATACATGCCACATTTCCATTCCAAGGCGAGCGATATTCAATGATTATGTTTACCATGGGAACAGAATCATACCATGAGACTCCGGATGAGGTGCGGGTCTTCCTTTCGACCTTAGGCTTTCCATTGACGAATGACACGCCGCCGATCAGCAAGGAGCGTGAGATGCTTATTTGCCATGCGGCCACTGGCCAGCCGGTTCACGATCAGCCGGGCCGACATATACCCCCTGGCAGTGGTGCGAAGCGTGCGAAGCGTGCACGATCAAACAAAGGACGGCGATCTGAAGGAGATACGGATAGCACAAATGCTCGGCCAGCTCAGAAGCGAAGGGAAGGGTCCAAGGGAGTCAGAGGCGAGAGCTCCGGTTTCGCCAATGATGTCAGCCAGCCGCATGGAACCGTCTGGACTCCCTGGACCCAGGCTGACGTGGAGAAACTCCAAGAACTGGCTGGAGCCAAGCGCCCCTTGCGCTTCAAGGCCGTCGCTGCGAAAATGGGGAAGACGGAGCAGGAGGTGAGGCAGCATTGGCTGGAGATGAACAAGCAACAATTAAGGAAGTCATTTAGTGCAAGCTTTCGCAACTAGTTAGTTGCCGGAAAGTACACTGGTTGCGATAATTCGCCGCTTGTGACCGCGTGCAAGATGTGGAAGCATGAGCCATTCCAGGATGGCACGATTATCCCGGTTCTGCAATTGCAGAAGGCTCTGGCGGGTGTGGAAAGTGTGTCTTTGCGCAAGAAAAAGGCGCGTGGGCAATTCATAGTTCTGAGGCATGGGATCAACCAAGAACCGTCCACATCCGTGCACTGCTGCTTCATCTCAAGGGGGATGTGCGCCCTGGCTCGTCGCCTTTGCGCATGGCCCTTACACCTGACGCAGACCTGTGGATCAGGGGTCTGTAAGGTGTGAGCCGAGTGAGCCCATGCACTGGCCAGAGCCTCACATGGCACCCATATTTTTGTTGTTTCTTCGAGTCATGTGAGTAAGGCCACCCAAACGACCTTCAGAAGAAGCCCAGGGCGATGCAGGCATCGCTGTGCTGTTCGATGAAAGCTAGGGGCCTTGAGCTTAGGCGGGCAACCCAATGCTGGAGCCTCAAGTGCAGCTTCCGGCAGGGTCAAGTGGGTACGTGTCAAATTCTTCAAGCTCGTTCTTCCTTGCTATTTTCCTCCCAACCACCTTGAAAACTCTCCACCGACTTGTGAGACAGGGTACCAACTCGCAAAAGACGCAACCTCGAGTCAAAGGAAGCCAAGGCGGCTCCCGTGACGCGGAAGTTCTCGGCTCCGCCAGCAGCTCCGGTGCCGCCTCCCGCAACTTGGCGTTGAGAACCGGTTGGAGGCACTTCTTTAGGTTCCACATAGGTTGGTCTTGTTTTTACTTTTATTTTGATCTCTTGTCGTTTTTGTTTTGGGGAAGGGGACCCCTTTGGAAGGGGAACCCTCTTTTTACTTTTAGTTTTTCATCTCTCTTCTTCTTCTTTTTTTTGGGGGGGGACCCTCCTTTTGGTTGGGTTTGAAGGGGAACCAAAAGGACAGCCACCATTTTTGGGGGCATCCCCCTAAAAAGCGACAGGAAGGTTTCTCTTGACCTCCCCCCAGGAAATCACGTCGAAGCAGCTGCTGAAACGGCCACTTTTCCTGTTCGGGCACTGCTCACCTGGGGGTCTTTCTGGTGGTTGGTAGGGAAGCCGGTTTGCCGGGCTGAAAAAGGCTATCCTTTCTCAGGGGCCCCCATTGGTATCCTCTAGGGACAAATTGGGATCGATTGAACACAGGTGGTTGCTGATCGAAGTCGATGCACGTCAGTGATCATGCGGGGCCTACTGCGCAGGCAGAGCCCTCCGTCAAGTACGACCAGATGGACTTTTCAAAGTGAACCCCTGCTCATTGGTTTCCCCAAGGTCTGGAAGTCAGCGTTTCAGACCCCTTCCCGAACAGGTACACCTCAAGCGTGCAAGAGTCGGATGGGCTCCAGGATGCGCAGTACGCGAGGAGGAGCCTGCACCTTTTCCCTTCAAGCCTTCGATTTGAAGCACCGCCCGTCCCAAGGTAGCTCTGATGGCCGGTGGATTCAAAATCCACGAATGCGGCAGTGCTTCAACAACATCCAGCTGGGAGCGCAGATGGGTGTGGGACTTGGCGATTCTCACAGGAGCCTGCAAACATGAGTTCTCAAATTCGGAGACCCCGAAGTTTGATGTTTGGAGCATGGTCCCGGGGGCTACTAGCCTTCACGACTGGGGCAGTTCGGAATCCAAGGCGCCACAGTTGGAGGTTGCTTTGGCCTGCTTACCGGTGCTTATGTGGCGATCACGCAGAGGAGTTTTTTGGTGCCCCGCGCGAATCAGACTGACATGGCCAAGAGGAGATGGCAACACAAGGGGCCCATGTCGAGTAGCTAATTCATACATTGGAACCTCTCAACTTGACTTTGGTTGTATACTTTGGATTGACCGAGGAAAACCAACTCATCAACGCCCGAGCGCAATCAACATCTGCAAAGGGCACACTGCAAAAGGTCACCTCACTTGAAAGTCGAGATCTCTATTTGGGCCATTTGACACGTGCAACTTGTTCAACCACCTCAGGTATTGCCGATCTCTGTCGTTGGTGGCGCCATCAGTTTTGGCTTCTTCCTGGGGTGCGGGATGATCATCAGGCGCAAAAGCTGTGACCCGGGCCAAGGTTCGACTGGGACCCTTTTGGGATCTATGGCCAGTAGTGAAGGGCCACCAGGGCCCTTCAACCCTGCTGCTTTGGTACTGACCTTTTGTTCTTGTGTTGCGCCCGCTGTCCAAGCAAAACATGGCGATTTCTGACAATTGTTTGACCACCTCCCCACGGAGTCAAAGACAAGTGTTTTTGTTGGGCTCCTGGTATTGGATGACATCCCAACATTGCAGGCAAAATCCCAAATGATGCAGATGATGCCGGGCAAGCTGGCAATGTTAAATGAATAGAATGATGGAAAATAGGTGAAGGGAAATGGGGGGAATGAAGGGAAATTATGGAAGGGAATGAACGGAATGAAGGGAACCGAGGGGAAGTGGCAAGGAAAATCACTTCAATTGAGTGACAGGATCGACCTGCCATGCAGGTGTGAAGAGAGACCAAAAGCGCTGCTTGATGCCAAAGCCTCTGAGAGAGATCTGAATGTCACGGCTTCTGGTCAGAAGCGAGTTGTGAGGTACCCAGCCAGCCAATAAGAACAGAACTACGGCCAATCGCTTGGCCCCCAGCTGAGCCAACTGAGCCAATTGCTCGGCTCAGTTTGCCAGGCCAAGTTTGGGCACTGGGAGTGAGGCTTGTACATGGTTTTGACCGGAAGAGGCAGAGACTGACATGTTAACAGGCACAACTCAGCAAGGAAGGGCCTCTTTCATCGCCTTAAGTACAGTTGACAAGCCAAGGGCTCGCCCGTGTTTTGAAGGTGGTGCTCATTGTTTCAAGATGTTCGAAGTTGTGCGGGCGAGCACAGCTCACGTGAGCAGTGCATAAACATGGAGACAGAGCCTGCATGTGCACGATGAGCAAGTTTTTATTGATCTTGCGCAAGCCGCATGCAGGTTCCACGCATTCGCACTCGCAGAGCTCAAGAAACAAACATGTCACAAGTTTGCAATGGCATGCACATACACACAGATTGACTGATCAGGCCTGTGAAACTGAGCTTTGAGATTGCGCAGCTCTTGACATTGATGTGTGACAACAATTGCGCAACACCTCCAAAAAATTGAAGACAGCAACCGCCTGCATACCTCCTTTGGTGCTACATGTGTTGCTCCAGCGAATGGCTAAATCGGAGAAGAAGCCTCCGCCTCGGAAAGCAAGCGAGTTTGCCTCATGTGTATGAGTGTCGCACTGGGCGGGGGACAAAAAAAAATCCAAGGTCCTTGTGGTTTCCCTTGAAACCAACCTGAGAAGGTTGCCCTGAAAAAAAACACAAACCCATGTTTTCGTCGCGGCTTCCTGAGGATTTGCTACTACGAGTTGTTGGGCCGCGAGCTGAGGGTGAAATGGTTGTGGCTCAAGATAAAGGATCCAGGGGACTCCTGACTTTGCTCTCTTTCGCTGGGGGTTGGTTGGGGATAGCCCTCCCAGAACCCTATTTTAGAGTCGAATCCAGCTTGCTTTGCGTGCCAGAATGTATGACGGAACAGCTCACATCCTGCAATTTGAAGCGCAGGTGTGGACAGGAAGTGCGATGCGGCGGAGATCAAAGCCTCGTACCGCAAGCCTTTTGCTTAGGTAAAGAACGATGATTTGGGTGTCCTATTCAGTTCCTTTTCGTGCGCATGCATGTCGTGTGTGTGTGTGCACATGTCATGTGTATATATGTGTGTGAGTGTGTGCTCATGTCATGTGTGTATGCGTGTCAATGTGTGTATGTGTGTATGTGCGTGTGTGTGTGTCGCGTGTCGCGTGTCGCGTGTCGCGTGTCGCGTGTCGCGTGTCGCGTGTCGCGTGTCGCGTGTCGCGTGTCGCGTGTCGCGTGTCGCGTGTCGCGTGTCGCGTGTCGCGTGTCGCGTGTCGCGTGTCGCGTGTCGCGTGTCGCGTGTCGCGTGTCGCGTGTCGCGTGTCGTGTGTCGTGTGTCGTGTGTCGTGTGTTGTGTGTGTGTGTGTGTGTCTGTGTGTCTGTGTATGTGTATGTGTGTGGGTTGTGTCGGCACGCGCAGCTGCCATCAGTTCGTGCCTCACTTTGCAATCGCACCATATTTTGCAAATGATAGTGTTACTTCAGTTCGGTTCGGAGAGTTTCTTGAAATGAGGCTTGCGTTGCGCATGCACCCTGACAAAGCTCACCAAAATGCAATGTGCAACTTGGCGGCACGCCAAGTAGAACACTGGCTTGCTAGTGAAATATTCATGAAGCTGCTTCTAAATCGAGGCCCTGAGGAGGCAACCAAGCGATTCCAGCTCATTCAGGAGGCATACTCCGCGAGTTCCCCAGATAGCCGGTGCACGTTTTACGTACTTCAAGCTCGGACTGCCTCATGCATAACGTGGCGCAAGGTTCTGTCGGATGCGCAGGACACCGGCTATTTCCTGTGGGGATAGCCAACATGTGGGTGTGGTGTTTGCGAAGGTTTCCTTTTTGGGGTGTTTTCGACAAGAAACAAAGGAACATATGTCGTGGGTCCCCCCCATTTTGAGACATTTAAGTCGGTATCTTCTGGATTGCTAGGCTATCCAGCTGGTCGTGTTAACACACTGCTCATTTCGAATCCAGTCGGAATCAACTAGTGCGAGGCAGCCATCGCCGGTGAGTGTTTTAACCGTCTAACCGCTATCCTCCGAAAGGGTCTCAAGCTGACTGATGTGCATGTTTGTGTTAGGAGAGGGCTTGGTATGATGCTCATCGAGAGCAAATTCTGAGAGGTGATGATGGGCCCGGCGAGGACTGCTTGTTCAAGCGCACAGCCATGGGTGAGAAGGAAGACATTTCAGGACCCTTTCAAGACCAAGATCAACCTGTACAAATATTTCAGCGCCTGACTTACTATGCGCAGAGTTGTTTTCGCGACCACCAGCTGCCTTCAGGCGTATCTTGCTTTGAGGGCTTCGGAGATGATGATGGCGGGTTCTTTGCGGTGTACTCGGATCTCTTTCAGGCAAGAGACTCATCCATGTTGAACATGAGACAAGCTTGGTTCTGGAAACAGAGCAAAAAAACAGGTGCACGGATCTGCTTGCCATGGTGTCGGTTGACTGGTTGAATTCCTATGCGTGAGAAGGCTAGAGTGCAGGAATGAATTGTCGGAGCTCATGGTGGATTTTTAGATAGCACATGCACACACACACACACGAAGATGCGGAGTGGGTTTTCAGGCCATGCTTCTCTGTCAGGCCATTGACGCAGAGGAAGAGCAGTGGGAGGCCGATACCTTGGACATTCACTGGCCTTTGGGTGTGGGCGGCCCTGTTTGGAGGCTCAAGGGTGCGCGAAAAAGGACCCCCGCTTTGGATGGTTTCAAAGGGAAGCCAGAAGGAAACACGCCAGTTCTTTGGCCCTATGTGAGAAGCAGCCAAAATATGGTCTTTGCAGCTTGGCGTTAGCCGTTCGCCTGCCAGGATGCGGATGAAGACCACGTGGCCATGCCATCTTTCGGGCGATCGGACACCAGCTGGGCCGAAGTTTCTAAATTCTACAGGCCTGCTGAGCCTGAAAGAAGGGGTTGAGGTGCCATGGACACTTAGAGACCATTCTAGCAGACCGACAAATGCAACAATTTATCTAAGCAGGTTGAAGAATCGACCAAAAGTGTCCATAATAGAAGAGGGGCTTCGAAAGGCCCATTGGTTGGACCTTGGAGGCTTGCTGAACGGGACATTTATTCGGGTCCACAGGAACTGGCTGGAGTTCTGCTCCCGAAAGGCCGGGCGACGCATTTTTTTTCGGTTTGAAAAAGGTAGACTCAAGCCCAGCAGGTTCGGTTTTTCGGGGAAATCAACCACTGGGTTTCAGTCTACCATGGCGCATGGCAGAGTCAAAACATACATCCCTATGTTGCTATGTTCCAATTGAGGCATTTGGCCATGCAGATCAGCCAGAGTCTTGGAGATGCATTCCGGATCCAATCTGGTTCTGAGCGCTGAATCCAGTTTAGGTGCGGTCAACAATACTTGTAGTCCAGTAACTTTCGCAATAACAACCAAAAAGGACTTTTCACCATGTGTCATTTTGACCATCATTTCTACCTGACATCATGGCATCACACAAGGGATGTTGTCTTGCAGCCACGCCCTGCCGCCCTGAGCGAAGGTGGAACCCCAAAGAGGCTCAAAATCGTCAAGTTCGTCGTGCAATGGAGCAGGCCCAGCTTGCAATATGGAGACTATGCACATGTATCACATACTGTATGAGTGCGAGACCTGGGCAGGAGAACAAAAAAGCCCGGCAGGCCCAGTCTGGTGACATGACTGCATAGCGCATTGCACCTGAGTATTGGAGCCATGAGGTGGCAAAGAAGGAGTTCAATGCAGAAGTGCGGCAGATTGTGAAGCCAAGCACCCAGTTGGATTCACCAGCCTCAATTTCGTCCAATGCCCAGCAAGTGTTCCAAAGCTCCTTGCAAGTATTCGGGGACCATGGGTGTTGGTTGGGGTACCTCCAAAGACTCGCGATGGCGCTGCGAACGTAGCATTTCTGTTTGTGCTTGTTGTCTGATAAATCAGTGGCACGTGACATCAGTGTGCGTTTTCCGTAGAATCCTCCATCTATGGTAGGTGAATCAAACCCTGTTTAGATGTTACTTAATACCTGCAATGAGTATCCGGCTTGGCGGGTTAGTGCTCCAAGTGTGCATTCGGTCGGTAGCTTCGCTTTGACATGTGGGCGATTTTTTGCAAATGGTCCACGAAAGCCCCACGCGAAAGGGCAGGCTCCCCTTGCAGGGGGAGACTGTCCAGCTGCGGAAGTGCATTTCACGCACTTGGCACTGAAAAGTCGCGACTTTCGCGTACGAGCTTGGTGCTGAAGAGTTGCGTTTTTCTGACTCTGGCAATGGCGATGAATCGGATTCGGGCGTAGCTTTTTTCGTGGGGAGTGGCCGTTTCGAGACAGGAATTCACAGAACAAAACCCAGCTAAATGTAATTGTATGCTGAATGACTTTGAGTTGTAAGTCGCCGAGGTTCGTGCAAAAGCGTGACCCAAGAGTGCAAGCTCACCAAAAGCAGCAGATGAAGGATCGTCGCTGCCACACGCCAATCATTAGCTTGGATTTGCTGCTCTGCACATGGCAGGAGAACATAGAAAAAAACCAAAAAGACAGGGCAGAGAAGGATAGGATGAAAGCCGATCAGGACAGTCACAATGCAAGCTTAGAAGTTCATGTGAGTGCGTTGTGCTACCTTGTTTTGCCTTGTTTTTTGTCTTATGTAGGCTTGTCTTGTGTTAGCGGTCTTGTGTGTTGTTGGTGTTGGAGTTGGGTCGATGCCGTGACATTTGGGTGTGTCTTGTTTTGATGGTTCCCCTTTTTTGCTTGCTTGTGTTAAAGAAAAACTAAAAGGCAAACCACCATTTTGGGGCCTCCAGGAAAGACACGCCAAATTTGGGGTAGTGGGGTGGAATTGTGACAACATGAGACCCGACCCTGCTCTGCTCTTGGCCCACCTTCGGTCCGGACATGTGTGCCATGGTCAAAGCACGCCTTCACCGGTTGGAAGAGAACCGTGACCACGACCCACAGATTCGGAGTTTTGATTGCAGATGTCAGGTCAAAGAACGAGAAGAGCGGAAAGTGGCAGCCAGGCAAGCTGAGGAGGTGTGGGCTGCACGCTCTTCAAAACTTGCAATCGGATTGCTCCAACTCAGGAACGCTGGGCAGAGGCCAAGGCTAGGAAAGAGGTGCGCGATGGCTATCCA